CACACTGTAGCAGCTCCCGCGGCAAATCGACTAGCTTTAACTTGTCGTGACAAACCCTCCCGTATTCATTGATCTGTTCGGGGCTTCTTTCACCCCACACTACTTTATTTTGTGAATAAACACAATCACTTGTTTTTTGTAGGATAATGTCCAAATTACACTCAACAAATACAGGAAAGTGGTCCGGCCATAAAACATCATAATGCACATACACCCCCACTACTGAGCACAGTGCTGCTCTGGTCACAACACAATGATCTAGCCAGCGTTTAGAGCCGTGCGCCTCGCTTATAAATGTGTATGTATCTGACACAACACCTAACCAGTCCGTATCAATACACGTCCATTGTTGCTCGTCACAAAAATGGCTGAGTTCATTATAAAATCCTTCCGTAGGATGCGCATTAAAGTCCCCCAGTATGTATACGCTTTCGATCCTACTGCTCTCTATAATGGCACTCACCGTACTTATAGTGCCCGTGAACTCGGGCAAGTTTTTAGGCATGTCCGTCGGCATGTAAACACTTATCACTAAGATTGACTTTTTGTCCAGCACTATTTGAATTCCACATATACGCGAATTTTCACACTTTATGACCGACACGTTTCGAAAAACACTACGCCGCCACAAAATGGCAACCCCTCCGTATGGCCTTCCCTGCAGCATACCTGAGGCAGTATCAACAGCCGACACGCCCGTACACTCGAAGTCACTGTCCACTTCATTCGGTTATAACAACTCCTCCGGCAGTAGCCACGTCTCCTGAAGAGCTATTAAGTCAGCATTCCGACATAAACGTCGAATATCAGCAAGAGAACGCTTGATATTCTTACAGTTAAATGATACAAACTTATAAGATTTATTACTAAGCATTTGTATTTTATTTAACGCCTATAACAGAATTATAATAACATTCATCACTGTAAATTTTCATCATCATCAACAGTCTTTACAAGTCCACTGCTGGACATAGGCCTCTCCTTTGAAAGGAGATTTTGGCCTACTATACCAGGCTGGCCAGACGGGTTGGTACAGGGTTTGTGCAATGGTTGCCTTCTTTTTGCAGTGCTGTTGTACTGCGTAGTTTGCTCCCTTAGTCGGCTCTAACGACACCCCGTAATTCGACACACAGATTTAAAAAATCTAAACAACAGTGGGTAAAATAGGCTTTTTTAAAAATATCGTCCCGTTTATTTTGATTTTAAGTTCTTCATAACCCTATAGATCACTTTTTATTGCCATTCTTTATGGAAAATGTTTTTTTTATTGAAAAATGCCACCCGTATCCGTTTTCAAGTATCTTAATTTGCAAAACTGTCGGTAAGGAGCTTAAGACTTAAGCGACAAAGAAACAAAAACCCATATTAGCTATTGTTATAAATATAGGTTATTATTTAAAAAGATTTTATGTCCTAATTCCTTTTCGTTTAGTTTTGAGTCTTATGCATTGTTATTTAAAAGACACAATACAAAACAAAAAGGTGTTTCATACGATTCTATTGGTACAATGGTTTTTTATCTTTATTCATTGTTATTCCTCATTCTTTTTAGGTAAGTGTTTAAATTTTCTTTAAAAAATTAGTATTACGGTGTTTTAAGCTGTCAGCTAAAATAAAAGGCTTACTTTAACGATTTTAACAATATCTTTTAATTCAAAGCGAGTCTATTTTTATTTCGAAAAAAAACGGTCAGTTTTTAAATGGCGCGACATAGAAAAATTTAAAATGTCATTTCAAGTTTTTAGATTGGCACAAAAGCTTTTCAGAAAAATGTTTCATCCTCAGGCCTTTAATAGTCCACTGCTGGACATAAGCCTCTTCTTAGAAAGGAGGTTTTGGCCTACTAAACCACGCTGGCCAGACGGGTTGGTATATGGTTTGTGTCAAGTTTTCCTTCTCTCTGCAGTGCTGTTGTCTTGCGTAGTTTTTTTCCCTTAGTCGGCTCTTAGGACACCCACGGGATGAATGACCCGAGGTATGTCGGGGCACCAGGGACTTCCTTTCTAGGGTATACCTGGTTCCCCGGCTATTAGTATCCGAGACGGCGTGCGGTTTTAGTCGGTTCGAGTCCGACATGCCACCGACAGGTGGTATCCGAGGGGATTTCCACACGGAAAAAAAAGAAAAAAAACGGGTGGTGACACTCTGTATTCTTAATCCGTCACCAAATGTGTAATCTTTTACTTTTCAAACTTCGCTTATCGGATGTCTAATAAGTTAACATTACGACTAAACTAACTAATTATTGATTAAAACAAAGAGCCTACTGCGTTAATTTGTAAAGGCACTTAAAACTTTATCTGGTTAGGTAGGGTAAATTTTAAGTTAGCTATCTGGTTACCATAGCACAGGCTCTGCCTAGTTTGGGACCAGACTGCCGTGTGTGAGATGTGTCAGTTTATCGTTATCTATACTAATATTATAAAGCTGAAGAGTTTGTTTGTTTGAACGCGCTAATCTCAGGAACTACTGGTCCGATTTGAAAAATTCTTTCAGTGTTAGATAGCCCATTTATCGAGGAAGGCTATAGGCTATATATCATCACGCTAAGAGCAATAGGAGCGGAGCAACAATGAAGAATGTTTCAAAAACTGAGAAAATTTATTACTATTGAGAGACGCAGACGAAGTTGCGCGGGTCAGCTAGTAATATTATAAAGCTGAAGAGTTTGTTTGTTTGAACGCGCTAATCTCAGGAACTACTGGTCCGATTTGAAAAATTCTTTCAGGATTAGATAGCCCATTTATCGAGGAAGGCTATAGGCTATATATCATCACGCTAAGACCAATAGGAGCGGAGCACCAATGAAGAATGTTTCAAAAACGGAGAACATTTATTACTATTGAGAGACGCAGACGAAGTTGCGCGGGTCAGCTAGTAATATTATAAAGCTGAAGAGTTTGTTTGTTTGAACGCGCTAATCTCAGGAACTACTGGTCCGATTTGAAAAATTTTTTCAGTGTTAGATAGCCCATTTATCGAGGAAGGCTATAGGCTATATATCATCACGCTAAGACCAATAGGAGCGGAGCAACAATGAAGAATGTTTCAAAAACGGATAAAATTTATTACTATTGAGAGACGCAGACGAAGTTGCGCGGGTCAGCTAGTTATTAAATAAATAAAATACTAACTTTTGAAAGATAAATAAGTAAATAAACCTTTATTGTTTTGAGTCGGTGCGTAGAGATTAAAAAAGAAAAAGAAAATACGTTTTAAAACTTCGAATTCCATTATAATACAAGTTTCGGATTTGACTTGTCACTATCTTCAGAACATTTAGGCATTCATTCAGTTTAGGCGATTCTGCCATACATATTATAGAAATCAAACATAGCTCACGTAGGACCCGTAATATTTGTGGCCGTGGTGCTTCCCTGTTTAAAAGGGTGTATGCCCATTTTACTTCATTTTGTCTCCCGCTTTGCTAAGGAGGGAAGTGGATTTACTGTATTTCCAACTCCTCCAATTTTGTTCTGATTAATTTCGTTGCGGGTTCCAAGACAGTTTAATTTCTTCCTGGGACTTCCCGAGTGTCATAACTCGGTGTGTTCGTGGGTCACTGCTGTGGATCCTGGTGTACAGGAGTTACAGTGGTGGGCGTGTGGGTGGGATTAGTCCCATATGTATCTTCAGAACATCACCAGAGGGCGGATTACAAGTTTTTTATATCGACTCGCTATCGATGGCGAGCGCGTTTGGTTTATTTTTTCACCTGATGGAAAGCGACTACCGCCGCCCATGAACGCCTGCAACTCATTCGTTACAAGCGCGTTCCCAGCTTTTGAGGAAAGAGTACGTTCTTTTCTTGAGATTTTGAAGGTCGGAGACCGTACCAATCGTATCGCTGAACGTGGTCAACTTGACGTTCAGTAGAAGTGAAATGAACTCTCACTTGGGTCTTTGTTTATGCACTACGTGGTCTACTTCTACCAGGCTTCGCATTTACTCAGCTCTTTTTTCTACAACTTTTATCCAAGACCCTCATATTCCTGCTGCAGCTGGTCGAACTGTCTGTAGCCAAGCCTCAGCAGTATAATTTGGTGTATTAGCTTTATGACGATTTCTATTTCACATCATTAGCTAAACCACCAAATTAAACTGTCGAGAACACTCCGTTTACTGAAATATAACGAAAAAAGACGACAAAAGTCCAAACCTGGTTTTTCTTTTATTCAACCGATTAAGGCAACCAGTCTTAGGTGCGTGTGGTGACGGATTAAGAATACAGAGTGTCACCACCCCTATTCACCCCGTGGGTGTCGTAAGAGCCGTCTAAGGAAGCAAACTACGCAGGACAACAGCACTGCAGAGAGAAGGAAAACTTGACACAAACCCTATACCAACCCGTCTGGTCAGCGTGGTATAGTAGGCCAAAACATACTTTCTAAGGAGAGGCTTATGTCCAGCAGTGGACTATTAAAGGCTGTTGATGATGATGAAGGAACCCCTGGCGGTAATTTGGAAACTGCCGAAGAGGATGGGATGGCGGCGACGTCATTGTTGGGCCGATTGGGGAGGAAAAGCTTACAGCTTCGACGAGATAGGGTCTAGTTAGATGCGGCGTCGATTCAGGGACCTGGTCCTGGTTTTCTGTGTTCTTTTTTTATTATATATATAATTTTTCATGCTAAAATTAAATGTTAAAATATGTACTGTTGTATATGACATTTTTAAATAAATTATTGTTTATTTAGAAATAAGTATTATTAAATTAAAATAAGAAGTCATTTTTAATATAGAAACAAACCGAGTGAACCCACGGGCAAGACTCTGTCTTTAATAAACATATATTCCAGTTATAAATGTTGCTATTCTACTCGGGTAACCGCTTACCAAGTATATAGGCCTTGTTTACCATTTTAATGGTTAAAAATAGGTGATGAGTTATTATCGTTTGTATATTTGTCACTTTGTAATCAAAAATATATAATGATACCGTAATATATATGGCCATAATTGATTTTTTTATCAGTTTGTGGTTTCTTAATATATACAGTATGGTAATTTTATATTTAAGCAACTTTAAACAAAATCAGGAGTACTCATCATCTCACACACGGCCGTCTGATCCCAAATTAGACAGAGCCTGTACTATGGTAACCAGACTGCGATAAACATACTTATATATTATTAAATACGTACATATTATAGATAAATTACACACAGAACAAAGTGGTCGTGCTCATCACACAATCTCATGGGTGGGAATCGAACCCACCACCTCTAGCTTAGCAGTTAGGGTCACTAACCACAAGATCTCAATATCAATTATAGGTCCGCACGGATGGCGTAGTGGTTTAAGCGGTCGCAGCTTCCTGAGTGTTGTGGGTCCGATCCCCACATGGGACACACTTTGTGTGATCCACAAATAGTTGTTCTGAGTCTGGGTGTTCCTTGTATCCGTTTCATGTGTGTTCTTAAAGCCTTCAGGATTCATTCCTATTGCGTTGTCTTTTTAAATACAAGATAGTTGTCATAAGCAGGGTTTTTAAAAGACCTCTGTATACCCCTTAGGGGTGTAGCCGTATTTATATGCTAATAGTGATGAGGCTTATCTTATCTATATATATAAAATGTTAAGTTGGTGTGTGTACGCTTCAAAAACTCAAAAATTTCCGCACCGATTGAGGTCAAACTTTGACACAACCTGTTTTAAAGATGGTTTTTATCTACTGTTCAATACCACAGTGTGCCACAGCGAAGGGGTCACCCTACACCTACACCTTGTGGTGTGACTGTTTACAGCCAGTAAATATAAAATACCAGTAAATCTAATAACACACAACGCAAGCTAGTTTCAAACTAGCAGAGCTTGTACTATGAAAGCTAAATTAACTAAACTATTTTGTAAATACATACATATTAAACATAGAAAGCACCCAAACTCCGAAACAAATATTAGCAGATCATATAAACATTTGGTCCGACCTCTGATTCGAACCTTTTTTTTTCACGCGGGGAATGCTTTAACATTCCCACCACACGCAAGGGTTCTCCAGGGCAAATTCAACGACTGCCGCGCAGCACAGGATCTATTGATCCAGACGCTCGCGGAGCAGTCGGTTGCCCCGGCAGTCATTGCAGAGCCCTATACCGTCTCGGACCATCCGCGTTGGTTCGGGGCGGTTGATTCCATTCCTTCCTCTCCATTGCTCTCTCCTAAGAGAGGGTGCTGGCTTCGTGGCTGTGGATTCGAACCTGAGACCTCATCACAGCAATCGCACCACCGAGGGAGATATATAAAGTCAACATGCTCTGTATCTGTTGTATCATTAATGTTAATTTAAATTTAATGACAGTTTATTGTGTGGTTATTCTGATAACGGCTATTGATAACAGAGTGGTCAAATTCTTTTATATGTTTCATTTAATAACTTTGGTCTGTGGTTCTGCCTTACTTTTTTAACCGACTCCGAAAATGGAGGATAAAATCAATGTGGCTCTATTTTTTTTTATGTTTATCACGACAGAACTCCGTTTTTTGCCAACCGATTTGGGATTTTTTTTTGTCCATTTACGAGGGTATCCTTCCCATTTGGTCTGATTTCAATTTGAAGAAAAAAATACCACCTCTAAGGATGGTAAATTAAAGAAAGAAGCATACAGTTTATTATAAACTAGCTTTTCCCTGCGGCTCCGTGTCGGTTATTGCGTTAACTTAGTCTATAGCATACAGGAATAATATACCTTTCTAACAGTGAAAGAATTTTCAAAATCGGATAAGTAGTACCAATGGTTACCACGAACATACAAACTAACAAACTTTACCTCAGTATAGATATTATACTTTTTTGTATAGGATAGACTATTAAGTAAGGAATAATTGACGGGCCTGTTGGTCTAGTGGTTAGTGACCCTGACTGCTAAACCGGAGGTCGTGGGTTCGATTCCCACCCAGGACAAATATTGTGTGATGAGCACGGTCATTTGTTCTGTGTCTGGGTGTAATTTATCTATAATATGTATGTATTTAGAAATATATAAGTATGTTTATCAGCGGTCTGGTTACCATAGTACAGGCTCTGCCTAGTTTGGGATCAGACGGCCGTGTATGTGTGTGTGAGATATAAAAAAAGAAAAAAAAACATCATCGCCCTATCCCAGTCTATTGCTGGACATAAGCCTCTCCCAATCGACTTCATTTCGATTGATTTTCCGCTTTTCACATCCATCAGCATCAAGGAATAAAAATAGATATTGCCTATGAAGTTGAAGACTTGTGAGAAATTTTTATAGACGACCAGACGGGTCCAGTCCGTGTGGTGACGGATTAAGAATACAGAGTGTCACCACCCCTATTCATCCCGTGGGTGTCGTAAGAGCTACTAAGGGAGCAAACTAAGCAGGACAACAGCACTGCAAAGAGAAGGAAAACTTGAAACAAACCCTATGCCAACCCGTCTTACCAGCGTGGTATAGTAGGCCAAAACCTCCTTTCTAAGGAGAGGCCTATGTCCAGCAGTGGACTAGTATAAGCTGTTGATGTGTGATGATGTGACCAGACGGGTCACCTGATGGAAAGTGACTATCGCTGCCCATGAATGTCTGCAACTTGCAAAATATATTTTCAAATACTGATTCAGATGTCATTAAAGTGATAGCAAACGATATGTAACAAGATAACGAAATGGGCATCATTTGTTAATGGATATTATTAAAATCAATTAAGTTAATTATTATTTAAATAATGATATATTGTAGACGCCATTACTATTAAGGAAGAGACGAGAAGCGGGACTAGTCTAGTGGATAGCGATTCTGACTGTTATGCCAGCGGTCGTGGGTTCGATCCCATTCAAGACAAATATTGTCTTTAGTTGATCATATCGTCATGATCGTAGAATAATGTCGGTTTTGAAAAAAATACGAAATTCTGTATTTACCATATTTGGATACTTCATTGTCTAATTATTATTACTAAATTTAAGAAAAAATTGTATTTATTTTAGATTTTAAATTATTCACTGTTTTATAGGCGCTCAAAGTAAAATGAAGAATGTGATTTTTCTAGAAAATTGTAAAATTATTAGTTGTTATTTTCATTGCATTTTAAAACAAACCCTATTTTTTACTTGTATGCCAAATTTTATAATAACAGATTTAGAATTAAAAAAGTTATGTCAAAAAACTAACATAATTATTTGAAATGGCTGACTGCATGGATGGCTTAGTGGTTTAAGCGGTCGCCACGCCGCTTCCTACTACGCCGAGTGTTGTGGGTTCAAACCCCACATAGGACGACACTTTGTGTGATCCACAAATGGTTGTTCTGAGTCTGGGTATTCTTTGTGTCCGTTTCATGTATGTTTGTAAAGTCCCCCGCAACACAGGATATATTCCTAATGCGGGAGTTATCTTTAAAAAAAAAAAAAAAAATGACTGTCCTGTAAAGTTCAATAAATTTCAGATCTGACACTATTCTACGATTCTGACGATTTGTTCTGTATGTCAGATTTTCATATTTACAAAATTAATATGGATCTGTGATACAAAAAAGGACATGGAGTTACTTTGATCTATAAAAAGTGTATCGTTGCCTAAAAATATTAAAAAATAAAATAACTTTAAAAAGGCAACACGACTTTAATACGCCTATATCATGATATTTTTCCAACCTTAGGAGGAATATTTTTTCTTCAAACTTAATTCGGACCAAACGGGATTCCCTTTCAAATAAAATTAAAAAAAAAAGCCGTGTGGTGTCGTGGGACACCCGATAGGAACGAAGTTGTGACGATCGAGTAAAACTGATTTGACACGATTTTAATTACAACGCCATCTATGAAAGCGGCTATTACCTACATATTAAAAACAATTAAAACAATTTATACATTGGTAAAATCTCCTTGCGAAATGATTTCCTATCTATTCGATAGATGGCGCTAAATGTCTGACAAGATGACACAAAAATAAAGAGCAAAAAGCCAACATCACGTGATATTCCCAGGCGGTCACCCATCCAAGTACTAACCACGCCCGATGTTGCTTAACTTCGGTGATCGGACGAGAACCGGTGTATTCAACATGGTATGGACGTTGGCGAACGTTAAAGCAAATTTAATGTATGGTATCCACAGTTAGACGTCAATTTATATTAATAAAAAAATGTCGTTCCAAATTTTCGTACCAATTTTTACCGTCTAGCCCCCTAACACAACGCGCGATAAGGAACTTCGTTCCAAAATAAAAATCGGGTAATAAATGAAAGAGCTCTGAAATAACGTACATTTAAAAAAAAACAAATTGAGAACTTCCTCTTTTAAAGTCGATTAATGAACAATCACATATTAAAACGTAGGCAAATTGTATTCCTAAAGATGTCTAAAGAGGAAAAAAAAATACATTATAAAAACAATATTCACCCGTAACTTAAATGTGTAGTAAAATTGATTTGACATTTCACAAAATGGCTGCCGTGGCTCCCAGTTTGCCCGCCAAAAAGTTCCTTTTGTCAAAACACCACTTTAAAACACTTTTTGTTTAAATTAAATTTATTATAAACACAAATCTGAATACAATATAGTTCGATACTAGTATGTGTCACTCTCCAAACATTGTTTTTATCAAAAGAAAGTATTGTCAGCAATTTATGCGTTGCTTCCGTATTTGTACGTTGCAAAATGTATAACAAATATATATGTGTTTTTTTGTTTATTGAAATTGTTTTATATTACACTTTGTGGACAATTACTCTTGGTGACCCACCAATCTCAGGATAGACATATGGGTACGTGACCAAACTACTTCGAGTTACTGAAAGCTAAGTTCCGTTCCTCACCCCATCTCCCTTCATCATTACATCAACAGCTTTTAAAAGACAAGTTGTCTTAGACAACTGCTGGACATAGGCCTCTCCTTATAAAGGCGGTTTTGGCGAACTATAATACGCTGGTATAGGATTTTTGTCAAGTTTTCCTTCTCTTTGCAGTGATTTTGACGTTCGTAGTTTGCTTCCTTAGTCGGCTCTTACGACACCTACTGGATTAATAAGGGTGGTGACACTCTGTGCTCTTAATTCGTAACCACACAGATGAATAGATAGGCTATCTCCCTTACCGTTTCAATTTTTTTAAGAAAAATAGATTTATTAAATTTAATACATTTTTGTGAAATTTGATTTAATTCATAAAACGGATACAAATAACACCCAGACTCAGAACAACAATTTGTGGATTACACAAAGTATTGTGTGTTGTTGTGTGTAGGGATCAAACCCACCGCATTCAGCGCAATAGAAAGCGGCGAGGTGATTGCTTTAACCACTACGCCATCAGTGCAGTTAAATATATTTTGGAATACTACATTCAGTCAAATATATTTTAAAATAGACTCTATTAAAAATAGAGTAGGCCAAACCCTACCTTCTAAAGAGAGGCCTATGTCCAGCAGTGGACTGTTAAAGGCTGTTGATGTGTGATGAAAGATAAACGAGAGTTTTTCTTGTTCCATCATTGTATTCCCTGTCTGGAGGCAAAACTTCGGGAAATATTCCGACTCTAAATTAAATAGGGAAATAAAGATGTTTCATTATTACACAGCACTACTAAACGTAAAACACTTCCTGATAATTTTTAATTCGAATGTTTTTAAATGCATAATATCCATGCCTGTAATTGAACGGAACGGGGATCGAACCTGTTAATGCTTTCGTTTAAACTTTACGTTTAGTTTCGAATCCGACGGGGACTTTTTAAAATATAGTAGCAGGTTGTTGAAAGAGGACTATCTTTCAGAAGAAAGTTATTAAAATATACCGATCAATCATCACATCAACAGCCTATAACAGTCCACTGCTGGACATAGGCCTCTCCTTAGAAAGGAGTTGATATAGGGTTGAGAAGTTGGTATAGGATTTGTTTCAAGTTTTCCTTCTCTTTGCAGAGCTGTTGTCCTGCGTAGTTTGCTGCCTCAGTCTGCTCTTAAGACACCCACGGGGTGACACTCTGTACTCTTATTAAAATATACCGAAGCCACAAATAAAAGCCAGTATATGCTCTCAATAAACACACTTAATAAATTATTGTCGTCTCAGCAAGGCCATGTTTATTGAAACAATGATTTGCTTACAAAGCGGAAATGTTTTTATTTAATAATAATTATTATTTTTCAATTGTCACGCATGTTATTCCGGAATCGGACTGGATAAGAACCGTTCCGCATTATAGGAGATTTCTGGAATAAAACGAGGTTAGAATATCTAGGGATTTTTGACTAGTTTGTCGATGGAGATTTTAGGGATGATTTTCCACTGGACATGTGACAAAATCACAGTGAACTGTGATTTATCATTCGGTTTTGCGTATGTTACGTAGGTTAGAGTTGCTAGGTAGGTAGGTTAGACGCTATTTAACAGTAAATCTAGTATTTTTTAAATTATTATGTAGGGAATGGTCATCATCATCATCACCAACAGCCTTTAATAGTCCACTGCTGGACATAAGCCTCTCCTTAGAAAGGAGGTTTTGGCCTACTATACCACGCTGGCCAGACGAGTTGGTATAGGGTTTGTGGCAGTTTTCCTTCTCTCTGCAGTGCTGTTGTCCTGCGTAGTTTTTTCCCTTAGTCGGCTCTTACAACACCCACGGGTTGTATAGGGATGGTGACACTCTGTATTCTTAATCCGTCACCACACGGACGGGAATGGTAGCTATATATAATAAAATAAATACTAGATTTACTGTTAAATAGGTGAAATAGGGTCTTTATGCATCGTCTGAAAACTGCTTATTGGCAAAAACGCGTGAGTGAGTAGTAATCCTAATCTACGTACGAAAAAATCGAATGATAATTCACCGGTCTTTCACAGATCACTGTGGTTTTGTCCCATGCAACCTACCTACCTAGCAACCCTAATCTACTTAAGCAAAAATAGAATGATAAATCACAGTTCACTGTGATTTTTTCTCATGTATGTTTGCATGTTTTGATAAATTACACCCAGACACAAAACAAATATATAAGTACTAGCTGACCCGCGCAACTTCATCTGCGTCTCTCAATAGTAATAAATTTTCTCCGTTTTTGAAACATTCTTCATTGGTGCTCCGCTCCTATTGGTCTTAGCGTGATGATATATAGCCTATAGCCTTCCTCGATAAATGGGCTATCTAACACTGAAAGAATTTTTCAAATCGGACCAGTAGTTCCTGAGATTAGCGCGTTCAAACAAACAAACAAACTCTTCAGCTTTATAATACTAGTATAGATTCCGGACATCTGACACACGACGCCATATCTAACAGAGCTTTTACTATGAAAGTTAGATTGACTGATAGAATACTACGTACATATTATACATAGAAAACACCCAAACTCCGAAACAAATATTTGCAGATCATACAGACATTTGGTCCCCCCATCGAACCCGAGACCCCAGCACAGCAGTCGTGTACGCTACCACTGCACCACCAAGGCAGTCGTTATGATCTGTCCTAGGTGGAAATCTTCAAACTTCTTACTTTGAAGCCAAGATTTCTAAAATACCAGTATCTCATTCTAATTCTTGTAATTTCTTGACCAGATCGGCTTCAAAGGATATGGACTATCGCCAGCTCAACTCTCGGTCTCCGCTAGCTTCAGCTATTCTGACGGACAGACATATTCCATCACGCATGGCTCTGTCATCATTGCTGCTATCACATCCTGCACCAACACTTCGAACCCAAGCGTGATGCTTGGAGCTGGTAAGCTTTTTTATATCACTTTTTGTTTCAAGTATTGTAATACACGCAATCGAGTACATCAATCATCAACAGCCTAGAACAGTCCACTGCTGGACATAGACCTCTCCTTATAAAGGAGGTTTTGGCTTACTATACCACGCTGGCCAGACGGGTTGGTATAGGGTTTCTGTCAAGTTCCTTCTGTTTGCAGTGCTGTTTTCCTGTAGAGTTTGCTCCCTTAGTAGGCTCTCACGACACCCACGGGATGAATAGGGGTGGTGACACTCCGTATTCTTAATCCATCACCACACGGACAGTTTCATAGATGCTCGTTTCCTATTGGTGGTAGCGTGATGCTGTATAGCCTACTGCCTTCCTAGATAAATGGGTTATCCAGCACTAAAAGATTTCTTTAATTTGAAGCAGCAGAACAGCACTGCAAAGAGGAGGAAAACTTGAAACAATATCAACCCTTCTTTTTAGCTTGCTATTGTTAGGCCAAAAACCAATAAAATTCAAACAATCAACCAATCAATCCTTTCGAACCAATCTGTGGAACAGGCTATCGTTGACCGATGCGTCCTTCAAACCTTCAAGAAAAGAGCGTACTCCTTCCTAAAAGCCCGGCAACGCGTTTGTGACTCCTGAGTTGCAGACGTTCATGGGCCGCGATGGTCACGTTTCATCAGGTGACCCGTCTGCTCGTCTGCCCCCTCTGACATTTCTAAGAAGAGACATATGCCCAAGACAGTATTTAATAGTCCCCAGTGGACTTTTTTGAAGAACTGGGACGTCTGAATTTATCTCATCTGTTCTACACACTGCCACATACAAATCTCTGCATCACCCTAAGATTGACTGGAAGAAAATGCCTATTACATTAAGTCCCCCCTGTAATGTATTTGCAGGCAGTATAAATAAATGTTAAAGAAACGAAAATGACTTGACTTAAAATATTGTATTCTAGGTCTACTGGCTAAGAAGGCGGTGGAAAACGGCCTTAGTGTACTGCCGTACATCAAGACTTCTTTGTCTCCTGGATCAGGAGTTGTCACATACTACCTCAGGGTAAGTATAGTAGACACTACTAGTACCCCCTTTTTTTTTTCCGTGCGAAAATCCCCTCGGATACCACCTGTCGGTGGCATGTCGGACTCGAACCGACTAAAACCGCACGCCGTCTCGGGTACTAATAGCCGGTTAACCAGGAGGTATAGCCTAGAAAGGAAGTCCCTGGAGCCCCGACATACCTCAGGTCATCTACAGACGAGTAGACGACCCCCCCCCCGTGTGGGAACCCCATGTTCCCTGTGCTCCCTGGAAGCGAGCGCGCTACGCAACGCCTGCTTCTGCTAGGGTGACAGATGGCCTCACCTGTCACCCCCAGGCCTGCGTTTATGGAGGACGGAGGTCGTTCTGCGACCTCCGGCGCCTGAGTCGCCTGCGGTACCTGGCCCGTTCCCGGGCCTGGCGGGCCGGGAGAGTCCTAAACCTCTCCCGGTCCCGCTCCGCCGTCTCCTTCGCGAGCATGACTTGCTCGCAGAAGGAGACGGCAGAGTTCCACGCACTCTCGCTCCGCAAGATAGCCGCAATCAGGCTATCACTACTAGTACCCCTGAAGAGACAGGTAGACTCGTATAAACACCACCATTTTGCCATCTTATGATTTGAGCCGTCAATTATGTCATACGGGACGAAACTACCTGTTAAAAGTAAGTGAGTTCCTCTGATTGTGTGTCTAAGTGTTGTAGGTTCGATCCCCACATGGGACATCACTTTTTGTACAGTTTAGTAGTAGATTCCTATGATATCCTAAATCTACCGAACCCTAAAAATAATATCTTTCTTTATATTTTTTTTTGTTTTAGGAATCCGGCGTGGTTCCGTACCTAGAGAAGTTAGGGTTCGACATCGTGGGTTATGGATGTATGACGTGTATCGGCAACTCCGGACCCATCGACGACAATATTGCCAACACTATCGAAAAGGTAAGACTGCCATCTAGTGAAAGTCGGCCGAACTACTTCGTAACCTTTGATTGTGTATCGCGCTATTATTAAGAGTAAATAAAAATAATGATTCTTATTTTTTTTAATGGTAATTTTAACGATTTTCTTTTATCATTTAACTGATTAAAAAAAGTTCCTAATTCGTCCGTATGTTTTTTTTTATGTTTGTTAACTCAGAACACGTTTATTTATGAGCCGATTTAGGAAACGGTTTTAATTTGATTGCATCAATGGCGTAGTGGCTCAAGTGGTCACCTCACCGATTCATACTGCGCTGAGTGTTGTGGGTTCGATCCCCACATGGGACGACACTGTGTGATCCACATATAGTTGTTCTGAGTCTGGGTGTTCTTTGTGTCCGTTTCATGTATGTTTGTAAAGTCCCCCGCGACACACGATATAGACCTTGTGTGAGTTGTCGTTTAAAAAAAAAAAAAACAAATTTGAGAAAAAAATGGTGAAAATTAAGGAATGAAGAAAAAAATTTTACGTTTAAATTATCTATTAAACACAATTTATTTAAAAAAAACATTGTTAGTTTTTGAGATTGTTATTGTCTGTTGGAAGACCGGATGGACTAGTGGTTTGTGTAACGGATTGCTACCGCAAAGATTGCGGGTTCGATTCCCGCTCAAATCCAACATTTGTTTGCATGAACATTTAATGTTTGATTTGGTCTCATCATCAACAGCCTTTAATAGTCCACTGCTGGACATAAGCCTCTCCTTAGAAAGAAGGTTTTGGCCTACTATGCCACGCTGGCCAGACGGTTTGGTATAGGGTTTGTTTCAAGTTTTCCTTCTCTCTGCAGTGCTGTTGTTCTGCGTAGCTTTCTCCCTTAGTCGTCTCTTACGACACCCACGGGATGAATAGGGGTGGTGACACTCTGTATTCTTAATCCGTCACCACACGGACCTGATTTGGTCTGGGTGTTTCTAAATCAAATCAAAAACATAAAAAAAAGTATATATGTATTTATATCAGTTGTCTAGTACCCATAGTACAAGCTCTGCTTAGCTTGGGACTAGATGGCGTTGTGTGAATGTAGTAAAATATTATTATTAATAGTTTTTTGTATCAAAAGGCCAATGTGTCTCTTCTATAAAGCTTTATACAAAAAATATTTAAATATCTTTTCATTTTATAATTTCAGAACGAGCTGGTCTGCTGCGGTGTACTATCAGGCAACAGGAACTTTGAAGGCAGAATCCACCCGAACACCAGAGCCAATTATCTGGCTTCACCCCTCCTTGTCATAGCTTATGCTCTCGCTGGTACCGTCAACATTGACTTCGAGAAGCAACCCTTGGGTGAGTTTGGTTTCCTGACGCTTCATGACGTTTAAAATCAAAGCAAATCATAATCCCCTAGATCCATGACCCGTCCTACTAGTTTGACCCCTAATCATCACACACATCATCATCACATCAACAGCCTTTAATAGTCCACTGCTGGACATAGGCCTCTCCTTAGAAAGGACCCGTCTGGCCAGCGTGGTATAGTAGGCCAAAACCTCCTTTCTAAGGAGAGGCCTATGACCCCTAATACATAAAAAAAACTTATTTCCTAGAGTATGCCCGTCTTCGAAATCGAATATGAAATTTCAAAAGACTGAAGTTTTGGAATACGGTATGAGTATAGTCGATTCGATTCCGACGTACCAATTCAATTTATCACTGGTGACATGATGACCCGTATGTGTTTCTAAAACTAAGAACGAAAACAATCACTGCCAAGTTCATCATCAACAGCCTTTACTAGTCCACTGCTGGACATAGGCCTCTCCTTAGAAAGGAGGTTTTGGCCTACTATACCACGCTGGCCAGACGGGTTGGTATAGGGTTTGTTTCAAGTTTTCCTTCTCTTTGCAGTGCTGTTGTCCTGCGTAGTTTGCTTCCCTAGTCGCCTCTTACGACACCCACGGTATGAATAGGGGTGGTGACACTCTGTATTCTTAATCCGTCACCACACGGACACGGCCAAGTTAGCCCTTCAGATTAACAGTCGAACAATTTAGAAAAATGGTGTGAAGTAGTATTGTGTAGTGACGGATTAAGAATACGGAGTGTCACCACCCCTATTCATCCCGTGGGTGTTGTAAGAGCCGACTAAGGGAACTAACGTAGGACAACCAGCACGGCAAAGAGAAGGAAAACTTGACACAAACCGTGCACCAACCCGTCTGGCCAGCGTGGTATAGTAGGCCAAAACCTCCTTTCTAAGGAGAAGCCTATGTCCAGCAGTGAACTATTAAAGGCTCGTGATGTGATGATGTGATTTAGAAAAAAAGATTTTTTTTTTAAATATAACAGTCCTTTCATAGGTAATACCATAAGGATCTTGTGCCAACTATGGTGTATTTCCGTGCGTTAAAGCGATTTTACCACACTAATTATAGGAATCAAATATAGCTCACTTAGGACCCATATTGTTTTTGTGTCCGTGGTGCTTCCCTGTTTAAAAGTGTGTATGCTAAGGTCATCGCCATATCCCAGCGGATTAGCAATCTGAACTGGCAGTGGGCTGGCCATATTAGCTGCACAACCAATAACCGTTATGGAAAACGAGTTTTTGAGATGAAACCGCGTTCTAGGCAAACGTAGTGTAGGACGCCTACAGCCCAGGTGGACAGACAAAATCAAATGTTAAACGTTCATGCACACAAATGTTTGACTTGAACGGGAATCGAACCTGCGACCAGTGGCGTAGAACACAAACCACTACGCCATTCGGCCATCGTAGATCGTAGAAAACCTCGTAGTAATTATAAAAAAAGTATGCTTGTGTGATAAAACTTATGGGTACTTACTGATAGGTCTGGAAATATAAAGATGAGCACAGCAAGAAGGAGAAGAAGCACAGAAGAGAACAGCAAAGCACAAGTGTCACATTGTTTATAACACACCGTATTACTAAAATATTAATAACGTCAGTTTAAATAGATGTTTATTAGTCCATTACGCCAGAACGACTATATTGATTTAGATATAATTTGGATCAGAGATAGATTACAATTTGGAATAGCACCCAAAAAATTATTAACAACGACACAACTATCCCGAGCGAGCGCTGTTCAACAACTAAACGAGTAGACCGGGGCCTGCGCCTGCGCCGACCGCACAAACAAAAGCCAAAGATAAAAGACCCTTTTTTATTGCATCCTTAAAGATCTCGACAATGAAATGAATAAAATATTTATTTGCATAGAAAATGGATACATAAAATTATGGTTTTACCAGGAATGGTTTTTTTTTTGTTTTCCTTTAAAAATCTTATTCTTGATTAGATCTAAATAATATACAATGGTAACAACGGATCTTTGAACCGTTTCGAATTTCATGTTTTAATTCATTGACCAGTATAACTTGAGCTATCATTGTATCGTGTACTATTACAGGTCGAAATATAAACTGGATAACTATAATATAGGTACTCTTTAAACAATTAAGCAGGTGGGAATCGAACCCACGACCTCTGTCTCATCAGCCAGGGTCACAACACAATAGACATAGAATTATGAATACGGAGTGTCACCACCCCTACTCATTCCGAGGGTGTCATTTTCATCTAAATAAGTTCAGCAGTTTAAACGTGAAGAGGCAATAGACAGACATACAGACAGACACATTTTCGCATTTATAATATTAGTATGGATAAAAACGGAGATAATATACCGCCTTGAGGGACCCATGCACAATTCAATTCTACCTGAGATGTTTCGTTACTATCTGGGGGGGGTGGGGCGGTGCGTCATCAGTCTATTATCTGAACTGAAGTCGGCCAGAGACAATAGGTTGGTGCTCGCAGCTTTATAAAGGAAGGGTCGATAAGACCCTGACTGTTACCTGATCGCTCTTTATCTCACATGGAAATACAGTGAAATTAGTCTCGAGAAATTTTTGCATATGTAGTGGTGTGTATATTACTCAGATCTTAGAGCGCGTTTCCACTATATCGTTCTGGCCTATACAAAAATGTTTCGATATCCTAACATTACTATTTAATTTTATACTTATCCCTAGCAACACTCTGATTTTTGTTTTCAATAAAAACAAGTTTTTATTTTAAAGAAAAAGGTTTTGACTTTATAAAAAAAAAGGTGTGTGTGCGATTCACACACGATAGAAGTGAAACTTCAAAGAGGAGAGACCGATATTTAAATTTCATCTAGGTTTTTAAAACTCCAGGGGGTCTACGGGGGGGTCAAAATTTTTGTTATTTTTGGCCTAGGACGCACCGTTTCCGAGATATTTCAATCTAAAGCAAAAAATCGTCACTTGATAGTGGAAAGTGGAAACACGCACAAAACCAGAATAAACCAGTTTACGCTGTCCGCTACCATACACTACTACAAACGCAAAAATTTCACCAAGCTAATTTACCTGTACATCATATTTGTTTTAGAAGTAAACAAAAATAAATAAAATTGAAGTGTCTGTTATCTGCATGATTCCTGTCCGTCTGTTTGTTCTGGATAATCTTCTAAACGATTTTGATAATATTTTACTACCAGAAGTCCAATTCTCGTAATAAAAAGTTTGGTCTCAATTCAGTTCCTATTAACCTTCGGTCCCCCAACTGTCATAAAAGGTGTTTTCAAATTCTCACTGTTAAGCCTTCGGCTTGACTGTGAGGATCTAACCACTCGGCCAACAGACCTAATTTGGTACCTTGGACCTGTTCTGATAGGCAATGGAACTCTTCAATGGCTTCTAGCATACCCCTCGAGTTTGGGCTCATATGATTCGTTTTAACTTGGTGTTAGTCTGATGTAGCCAGGAGGTATGTCCATTCGCGTTAAGAATATAGTGACGCATTGATCAAACCCTACATCCTGACCAATCAGCTTCTAAGCTTTCGTAGGAAAGGAAAGTTTCTTATACGAGTGTATTTTTTTTTTTGATCAGGCACTCGCTCTGATGGTACTCCGGTGTTTCTACGCGAAATCTGGCCTACGAGAGCTGAGATCCAGGAAGTGGAGACAAAGCACGTCATTCCAGGCATGTTTAAAGAGGTATGGTACTTTATTTAGATGATAAAGCGACAGTTTGGACAGATGTTTGTTAGTCAGCTAGGTAAGAGACCCATACTTCAGCACAAAACAGCAGAAAACTGGTCTGTCATGTAACTCGGAAACGGCTTGAACGATTTGAATCAATTTTTTGTCATATATGTTTCTTTATCAATACACAATATGACACAAACAAAGAAACTTTAACTTTTTAATGTTTTTCTTTTAACATTTACATGTAGAAGGATTATATCCTTTTAGACGTAGAAGAAAAAGTAAGATTTTTATAGGAAATTGCATCCTAAACTTATTTTGTACTACAGCAACGTTCATTGTTTACCTCCGACTGCTACAAGAGTTAGGTTTTTTTTTTTCCGTGCGGAAATCCCCTCGGATACCACCTGTCGGTGGCATGTCGGACTCGAACCGACTAAAACCGCACGCCGTCTCGGGTACTAATAGCCGGGGAACCAGGTATACCCTAGAAAGGAAATCCCTGGTAAGAAAGGAAGTCCCTGGTAGAAAGGAAGTCCCTGGTAAGAAAGGAAGTCCCTGGTAGAAAGGAAGTCCCTGGTAACGGGACTTCCCCCTAAACTTGCCGAATTGAAATCAAATTCAAATTTAAATAGTTTATTTCAGACATAGTCCATAGGGCTAATACAAACAAATTAACTTAAGGACTAATGTTAATAAACACAATCAATTATTATGGTGACTGGTGTGGATCTTTGCCCAGTGACGCAACAGAGGGGGGTTCCACCGATCCGTAAACACCTTCAGGACACTGTTAGTAGCGGTTCGCAGCCGGCCATGGATGCGGTCCTCTTTCTTAAAATTGCGTAAAAGTTGTCTGTGTGCGCCTCCGCAAACATTCCGGACGCACTACAATGCCACGACAGCCCCAACAGCACCCTGAACGTTTTATTATGAAATGCTTGATAAAAGAATATTTTGTTCTTTAGTCTATACATATAAAAGGACAATGGCAGGTCCCCATACATAATTTTATTTGAACTGAAATGTTAGCGTTTAAATATCAAAAAATCCTTAACACTTGAGAATTTATTCTTGACCATTCTCATATCAAAATTACTTGCGAAAGAAGTCTAGGAAAAAAGATATTGGATTTTAAATGTTTCGAGGTTAAGTACTAACATATTGTTAATGTTTTGTTTGAAACTAGATGGCGTTGTGTGTCAGATAGCCGAAAATATTATTTTCATTATTATTACAGTATATGAAATAAAAAAAATAAAAGCATAACATCTATTCGAGTTTAACACTGAATTAAACAAAAATAAAATAACAAACGTGGTGAGTCCGGAACTTGACAGGATCTAAACCACAGATTAAGAGATATGTACTAAACGACGACGTATCGACAATTTGAAAATATCGATGTATGTCTATTTATGTGCCGTTATCAATGACAATGTATTTTTCTCATCACACTGTGTAGTGGAAAATAACGTAACTATATTCTATTTCTTTAGTGTGTTTAAAATCGTTTAAAGAGAGTCAAAAATATTTTAAATCATTTCTAATTATGTTGATTCAGTCACTCTACCGTACGAGTGAAGACGTGGGCAGAAGCAAATTCATAATCATAATAGTGAACCTTCGGTAAATATTTCAGCCAAAGCTATAAGAATCGATTATCGATAAATTGTTCCATAATATAATATTGCCACCACGCATCCCTAGTCAGTTATACGTGATGGCGAATCTGACATTACGTACTTAGGTCAAATAAAATCTTCAAAAATATCTTATCTTTTATAAGACTTATACTACACATGGTGGTGTAATGATAAATCATAGAAAAATTTTTGATTAAGTTTACTGTGACTCGATTTTTTAAACGCTTAAGTTTTAGGTAAATATGTTTCTGCCATTGTTCTTTCGACTGCACGGTGGTTTAAGCAGTCGCCACGCCGCTTACTACTACCCTGAGTGTTGTCGGTCCGATCCCCACATGGGACGACGCTTTGTGTGATCCACAAATTGTTGTTCTGAGTCTGGGTGTTCTTTGTGTCCGTTTCATGTATGTTTGTAAAATCCCCCTCAACGCAGGATATATTCCTAATGCGAATTATCTTTTTTAAAAGAAAAGAAAGAAAAAATGTGCGTGTCGGGAAGGCTGACAGAAGTGATAACTTAAACTAATCTAAGTTGAACTATTTAATATTGAAATTGTTTAACTTGAGAAAAGCTTAGGTTATTACTTAAATTTTATGCAAAGCGTCTGTCCGAAATACGGCTAGTGCTGTGGGTTAGAGTGAGAGAGGAGGAGCCTGCCTACCGCTGCCGTGTGCGTGAGAGAAAGGGAAGCCAGACAGACTGTCGCCGTAACGCGTTACGTAACGAAGCGGTATACCATATACCCATAAGAAGTTACCGTTTCAAAAATGACTTACTCTGACTGAGTGATTCCTCAACGCAGAACCTAAACCGACAACTTGACATTTTGACATCTGACGTTTTTAATGTTGTAAGCACCTACTAAGAAAGGATTTTGGAAAATTTCACCCCTTAGAGAGTAATATAAGGGGTGAACAGTTGTATGAAAGTTTGTAACATTCAAAATAAGACATTTTCGCGAGCGAAGACGCAGCCAATAGATATTAAATATTATTTTTTTTACCTAGGTTCTCTAACATGTACCGTTAGTTGATACCGCTGGGTGCTTGTGCTAACAGAACAAAAGCAGGTAGCTAGATTCTTTATTATTACTGTTCTAAATGAAATACAGTGAAATTAGTCTCGAGAAATTTTTGCATATGTAGTGGTGTGTATATTACTCAGATCTTAGAGCGCGTTTCCACTATATCGTTCTGGCCTATACACAAATGTTTCGATATCCTAACATTACTATTTAATTTTATACTTATCCCTAGCAACACTCTGATTATTGTTTTCAATAAAAACAAGTTTTTATTTTTTAAGAAAAAGGTTTTGACTTTATAAAAAAAAGGGGGGTGTGTGCGATTCACACACGATAGAAGTGAAACTTCAAAGAGGAGAGACCGATATTTAATTTTTTTTTTTTTTTCCTTTCATCTAGGTTTTTAAAACTCCGGGGGGTCTACGGGGGGGTCAAAATTTTTGTTATTTTTTAATATCTCGGAAACGGTGCGTCCTAGGCACCGTTTCCGAGATATTTCAATCTAAAGCAAAAAATCGTCACTTGATAGTGGAAAGTGGAAACACGCACAAAACCAGAATAAACCAGTTTACGCTGTCCGCTACCATACATTAATACAAACGCAAAAAATTCTCCAAGCTCCACACATTTACAGGTAAATACCTGTAAATGTGTGTATATTGTAATCAATTTTAAACAATCGCCTTCACACGGCCAAAAATAATGAAGTTTCGTAAACCTTTTGCACTCTTAAGGAAGGTTTTTTTTAATACCTGACGACCGAATGGCGTAGTGGTTTGTGTAGCAGACTGCTATTCCAAAGGTCGCGGGTTCGATTCCCGCTCAAGTCAAGCATTTGTGTGCATGAACATTTAATGTTTGATTTGTCTGGGTGTTTCTATGTATAATAAGTATGTATTTACAAAAAAAAAAGTATATATGTATTTATATCAGTTGTCTAGTACCCATAGTACAAGCTCCGCTTAGTTTGGGACTAGATGGCGTTGTGTGAATGTGGTAAAAAAAAAAAAAAATACTTTAAGGAATATTTGAGCAAATTTTCAAACTTCTATACCCAATAGTTGCAGCTGTGCATTAATCGATCATTTTGTAAATCAGTCTGTTAGAGTTTCTTCCTTTATAGATAAAATAATATTCCACACATCTCACACGCGGCTGTCTGATCCCAAACTAGACAGAGCCTGTGCTATGGTAACCAGACTGCTTATAAACATACTTATATATTACTAAATATATACATATTTTAGATGAGGGATACCCAAAGTGGTCGATATCAACTCCTCAGGGTCGAAATCGGTTTCCCAGGGGTCTACATAAACGTAAACTGATTTTGGAGATCATTAATTAACACTTGTTCTTATGTGGAACTTTCAAGATGCACACGTGGTAACCAGACTGCTGATAAACATACTTGTATATTACTAAATACATTAATACTATAGATAAATTACACACAGACACTGAACAAATGACCGCGCTACTCATCACACAAATATTTGTCCTGGGTTTGAATCCGCGACCTTCGGTTTAGCAGTCAGGGTCACTAGACCAATAGTCCTGTCAATAGATATGCCCACTACTTATAAATCTTATAAACAAGAATTTAACATTTAATTTAATTGAATTTTTAAATAACTTACCACAATAACGGTCACATACTTCCAAAGCGCCTAACATCATGATGAGTTGTATTAAACTGTATTCTTCAAGCCTTTGTTTTCCACCTTAAGGGTAGAAAGTCATCATCATCATCAGCCTATAGCAGTCCACTGCTGGACATAGGCCTCTCCCATTGCACGCCACTTAGATTGATTTTGGGCCAATTGGATTTGTACCCCAAAATCAAGGGTAGAAAGTATTCCTTCCCAAATAAAAAAACTAATTACTTTTAATAAATAACAGAGTTTTTAATCTCTTCCTGTCTTTTTAATCAATACACAATCTTATTTAAACACAATTATTACAGATTTTTAACTAAAAAATCTAAATTTCACTTGAGCCCGAACTACCTATTTCGAACTACAAGACACACTGATTTAGTAAAATGGGTCAAATCTGGGGAAACAAAGAAGATAGGGTAGGCGAAGGTTGGAGGAGGGATGCGCCTGCGCATATACACCAATCACTTTTGGTGTTTATCTAATTTAATTAATTACTTCGTATAAATACACATTAGATAATACTGGAGATCGCTTGGCAGTTGAATTTCCATCGTTTTATCTCGTTGACCAGTATAGCTTAGACTGTCACTGTTTACACTTTTGTATCATGACAGGTCAACATATATAGCGGACTCCTATAGTTCTGTGTAGCTGTTTTAACATCATTTTTAACTTTACAGTACTGTTAAGTACCGCATCTATACTAATATTATTAAGCTGAAGAGTTTGTTTGTTTGACCGCGCTAATCTCAGGAACTACTGGTCCGCTTTGAAAAATTCTTTCAATGTTAGATAGCCCATTTATCGAGGAAGGCTATAGGCTATACATCATCACGCTAAGACCAATAGGAGCGGAGCACCAATGAAGAATGTTTAAAAAACGGAGAAAATTTATTACTATTGAGAGACGCAGACGAAGTTGCGCGGGTCAGCTAGTTAGGAATAATATATCCTGTGTCGCGGAAAACATACATGAAACGGACACAAAGAACACCCAGACTCGGAACGACAATTAGTGTTGACATGTGGGGATCGACTCCACAACACTTAGCGCAGTAAGAAGCGGTTAGGTGACCGCTTAAACCACTACGCCATCCGTGCAGTCAATGTCAAAAATTTAAGAGTTATTATGATTTAAGCATAAAGCATTCCTTTGTCTATTTCGATGAATGGGTCCCATAAATATGTGCCGTTTCAAAGATGCCGAAATAAACTAAAACCAGGTGGGATTCATTGTTAGATGTTTATTGCTTGCTAATATTTTGCAATTGTCCATTGGCGGTGGTGGTTGTGTACCATCAGACCCTCCACCATAAAACAATTTAATTATTTGAAAAGAAAATAACAAAAAACTGAACTATGTGCGAATAGTGAACTTAAAATTTTCAAACTTAATTTATTTTTTTCTTTTAAAAAGACAACTCCCGCATTAGGAATGTGTTGTGTCGCGGTGGACTTTACAAACATACATGAAACGGACACAAAGAACACCCACACTCAGAACGACAATTTGTGGATCACACAAAGTGTCGTCCCACGTAGGAAGCGGCGTGGCGACTGCTTAAACCACTACGCCATCCGTGCAGCATTTTGTACTAGCGTTTGCCCGCGGCTCTGTCCGCGTGTATGTGGGTTGAATTGATTTTAAAAATTATTTCACACATACAACACTCGGACGGAGCCACGGGTAAAAGTTTGTTTAACATTTAAATTTTTTTATTAAAAGATTATAAGCTTACATATATATATTATTTTTATTTTATTTTTATATTTTAGGAAAACTTACAGCTAGAGTTACAATTGATATGACTATTAGGTGAAGGCCAATTAAAAGTTTTCACTGCTAGAACAATAAAGACAACTCTGAACATGGTAGGATGATAGGACAGTAGACATAGGTATTATTATAAATGTAATTTGTTTGTTATGCTTGGTCGAAGAAAACGTTGCCCAGTTGTTTTTTAAATTTAGTGATACTAGAAGAAAAAATGTCGATATCAACACTCCGGCATGCTGCATTATACATGCGTCTCGCTCTGATCATGTATGAGTTTTGCCTGTACTTAGAATATATCTTTATATATATAATTCTTCTGTGAGTGTGTATGTCACTGAACTTCTCTCAAACGACTGGACCGATTTTGATGAAATTTTTTGTGTGTGTTCGAGGGGATCTGGGAATGGTTTAGATTCACAATTTTGTCCGCTGGACAATGTTTTTTTAATTAATTTTTAATTTATTAGTAGTTGTTGATTTTGGAATGTTTTACATTGGATCCGACAGACGGCGCTACCATCGCAGTGTCAAATTTGACAGGACTACGTCTGTCGGGTCCGCTAGTATATATATGTTTTTAATAAGGTCTACTAGCAACCGAAATTACTAGTATTCCCGCTAACCCCTCCCGCTAAGCTAAATTGCTTGTGTTAGGAGTTGTTTCACGTCGATAGTGTACTGGTTAGGATTTGAACCCACGACATCTTGATCGCAAGTCCAACGCCTTATCCACTTGGCTACCGCCGCTTTATTATATATATCTATAAAGCCTATAATCGACCCTTTCTATCTATTTCTTAGTACATTTTTGCTTACAGGTATACGAAAAGATTGAACAAGGATCACCGTCCTGGCAGGCTCTCGCCATACCCCAGGGGAAGTTGTACGGCTGGGATCCCAACTCCACGTACATCAAGAAACCACCGTTCTTCGATGGAATGACCAGGGTAAGAATGAATATTCAGAACTCTTTGTAACTCTTTCAGAAGTGTCACTGAATTCAATGCGCCTATATCTGTATTCTTCGTTTCTTAAATTTAATCCATAGGGGTTTTTATAGAATTTTCAAATCGATTCGTAAATTACGGAGTTCTGACGTAACACACATTAAAAAAAGCATACCGAACTTCTTGCCACCATTATTTCTTTTAACTAAATAATAGCGGCATATATTATCACAACACACAACAGCCTTTAACAGTCCACTACTGGACATAAGCCTCTCCTTAGAAAGGAGGTTTTGGCCTACTATACCTCGCTGGCCAGACGGGTTGGTATAGGGTTTGTGTCAAGTTTTCCTTCTCTCTGCAGTGCTGTTGTTTTGCGTAGTTTTTTCCCTTAGTCGGCTTTTAAGACACTTCTTAATCCGTCACCACACTATATACTATAAATAAAATACTATATTCATTACTACATAACGACTAAAACCAACTAAATGTATATATTTAGTTGGTTTTAGTCGGTTAAATGCCGACACACCCACTGCAAACCTCCGTGGGGTGACAAAACCAGGCCTAAGTCTGAGATGATAATGAATTATACCCATAAAACGTGGTTTATACATAAAAAGTTCTTCTTCAGGAACTAAAACTCGCCCAAGGAGTCCAGAACGCCCGCTGTCTGCTACTCCTGGGTGACTCTGTGACCACAGACCACATCTCACCGGCCGGATCCATCGCGAGGAATTCTCCAGCAGCCAGATACCTGGCGACTAGAGGGTAAGAATTATACTAGTAAACGTACTTGTATTGGTATCGACTGCCTCTGGAGTGCAATGGTAGCGTATGTGACTACTGCGCTGAGGTCTCGAGTTTTTTTTATTGTTTTTATTCATGGCACAAGGTTACAGGTCGACGATCGGATGGCGTAGTGGTTTGTGTAACGGACTGCTATTCCAAAGGTCGCGGGTTCGATTCCCGCTCAAGTCAAACATTTGTGTGCATGAACATTTGATGTTTGATTTGGTTTGGGTGGTTCTATGTATAATATGTATGTATTTACAAAAAAAAAAAGTATATATGTATTTATATCAGTTGTCTAGTACCCGTAGTACAAGCTCTGCTTAGTTTGGGACTAGATGGCGTTGTGTGAATGTGGTACAATATTATATTATATTATTATTATATAAACATAGTAACAATGAAAAGTCAACAGTCCGTGTGGTGACGGATTAAGAATACAAATTGTCACCACCCCAATTCATCCCGTGGGTGTCGTAAGAGCCGACTAAGGGAGCAAACTAAGCAGGACAACAGCACTTCAAAGAGAAGGAAAACTTGAAACAAACCCTATACCAACCCGTCTGGCCAGCGTGGTATAGTAGGCCAAAACCTCCTTTCTAAGGAGAGGCCTATGTCCAGCAGTGGACTATTAAAGGCTGTTGATGATGATGACAATGAAAAAACCAAGTGAAAAAAGCAGAGATATTTTCCACAGTATTATTACAAACATAGTCTATTTGTGGTCGCCAGTTGAATTTGTTATCAATAAATAGGCCGAGATAAGCGTGCTGAGATACTGTTTCCAGTGCTGGACATTTGTAGTTAGTACTAATGGTTTAACGAGTCATTGAGGCGCGCTCGTATGATTGACTGCACGGATGGCGTAGTGGTTTAAGCGGTCGCCACGCCGCTTCCTACTACGCCGAGTGTTGTGGGTTCAAACCCCACATGAAACGACACTTTGTGTGATCCACAAATTGTTGTTCTGAGTCTGGGTGTTCTTTGTGTCCGTTTCATGTATGTTTGTGAAGTCCCCCGCGACACAGGATTTATTCCTAATGCGGGAGTTGTCTTTTTTAAAAGAAAAAGAAAGAAAAGATTGGCTTCGAAGTATTCCGTCGGGCCAATCACCGAGCCTTGAGCCACGGTACTATTATAATACAGTAGTGTAACTCGGCCGCATGATAGAAATAAATGCCTACAGCCGCGCGGTACGTAAACATGCGTTAGGGCTGCCCGTTGCCAGTATTTTAATTATATTTGCCTACTTTCTGTTTCTATTTAGATTTGTGATTGTAAATATTCTTTTTATATAAATAAATGAAATACTTTGTATATTGAATAGGAAGTGTTCAATAAAAATGCGTGTTGTTTTTTGATTGGTAGATTTAATTATTTTATTTTCTTTCTGCATTGGAGGAGTTTTTAGTGGTAAATGTTGTTATAGTAGCAGCAGAAACACTTTGTGAAAATTTCGAAAACTATCTAATGACACACAGACGGTAAAAATTTTTTTCTAGTATTATTCATACACACAGATAATAAACAAATATTATTAAAAATAAAATACCACGTCTTTACTTTGAATTATGCAAAGTAACAAAACACACATGCACCGAAGTTTTAACACAAGCGTAAGTAGGTAGGTACCTACCGTATCATGATTAATTCAGAACCTCATATAACTACCTATTTCTCAATAACTTTCCGTTACTCTATTCGCTTTATTAATTAATCCAAACACCTTTTTTTTCGTAAGATAAAAGGAAATACTTATCCATAAAAAAGACACACATTATGTACCTACCTACTAGTAAGTAAAATTATTTTATAGTCTTACCTTTCAGAGTTTCCAGGTAATTAAAAAAAACCTTATGTCTGGATGCGTTATTGACGAATTCATACAACCAAAAACAGCACTATATTTCCTACTCATCATATTAACTGATTTTTAGAGAAAAAAAAATCGCGCGGTTATTGTTAAAAAAAACAACACACCGTCCGTTCGACACTGCTGTACAGCCGTGACTGTCTGCGCCCCGAGCGCACCCCGAGATCGAGGCGCGTAGGTATAGCTCGCGTTTCGTCCGTTTGTATGAAGTTGGAGTACTGTATTATAATTGTACCGTGCTTGAGCCGTGCCTTTTTCAGCTTTCAGTAAGTTACAAGTCTGTCCACAAGAGGGCCTTGTATACCATTTTCTGATATCTTGGAGTACATAGTAAAGAAATTCAATGTTTCCAATGCCTTACTAAAGTCAACAAAAACTGCAATTACATGATTTTACACGCTTTATATTTGTATGTTTGTTTGTATGTTTGTAACCGACTCCTTTGGGCGTGATTTTGACTGACTTTAAACGGTCAGAATTCGTTCAAACTTTGTAGATATATCGAGGACCGATGACAATACACTAATTAAAAAAAAAAAAAAACTTTAGTTTGGTTTTCTATAGAAAGCGTGTTTTTTTAGTTTTTTAAAACTATATTTTTTTATTATTTAAATAAGTGTTTACTTCATTTGTGAATTTACATAATAGTTGGGAAGTGTTTTTGTTTTTTGAAATCCATAATGGCGTTCGTGTATTATGTTGTAAGCTTTTACGTTGTGAGATTTTCGACTCAGAATGATGGTCTGAATACACTATTTCAATATTATGGTATCTTGGAGCTGATCTGATAGGTAATGGAACTCTTCAGTGGCTTATAAAAAACCCCTCGTGTTTAGTTCATATGATTATAGTTAAACCGCCGTAAGCTTGGCCCTCCTGATGGTTTGGGGGACGCGGGGCGGGGGTGCATTCAACCAATTAGCTAGTGCGTCGCTGTCCGCCGGCAGTGACTGACGTGAAAGCATGGCTGTACGTGTTATTTTTCTTAAGACTGCTACACACGGTATTATTTTGCAATATGGATAATCTGCCGACTCTGCGTCACAAAAAGATTTAAAAGCTTGAAGTTCGGCTTACAGAGGTTCTACTGTTAAAGTTCTAATAAAGAATATTTATTATTTCACTTAATTTTTAAATTGTATCTGAATATAATTTACATGATGAAGATAAGGTGATTTTATTAAAATTATTTTACAGTATTAAATTTTACAATTAATCATAAAAACTTACAATACACTGACATTATAATACATGGAAATAAATTCGATTTTTATCACATCGTGTGTAGATTAAATCTCAAACAAATAAATCTGAAGATATCGAGTTAGTACATCGTGTCATGTATAGCCGAGCGCATCACCCGCCCCGCGTCCCGCAAACCATCAGGAGGGCCAAGCTTACGGCGGTTTAACTATAGTTTTGATGAATCAGGGTCATTGACAGCTAGAGCAACAGGCCATGATATTGATGGTGTGTTTTGTTCCAGTTTAACGCCACGAGAATTCAACTCGTACGGCTCCAGACGTGGTAATGACGCGATAATGTCCCGTGGAACATTCGCGAACATCAGGCTGGTGAACAAAATGTCGCCCACGCCCGGCCCCAAGACCACGCACCATCCCAGCGGTGATGTCATGGATATATTTGACGCGGCTGACAGGTATGTTGTAGGTTAAGTGATTTTATTAAGGTTTGGAAATTGATTGGTGCGTGTTTTGTGAGAATCTGAGAGAGCTGATATTGTATTTAATAGTAAGGATGTTGAATGCCCAGATTTATCTGAATGTGTTTGCTTAAAAAAAGAAGGAAGGAAGAGTATTTTTTGAAGAAAAACATTTTTTTTTGTCCATTTTTAACCGACTGCAAAGGAAGGGTTATGTTTTTCGCTCGTATCTTGTATGTTTGTTTGTAACTTCTTTATTACATCGTATCTTAAAAATTGCTGGATGAATTCCTATAAATAATGTATTGTTTTATCCGTCCCGAAAACCCAATTGTCCTTAGATGAATTTTTGAAAGAAAAGAAACAAAATGGCGGATTTTTGGCGCAAACTTGTAATAGGTTAATAAAAAAAAAACAGAATCTATCAAATAGAGTACCAAAATCAAGAGAATTAAAAGGGGATTATGGCCAATGTTTGTGTCGGACCACGTGCTGTTTCGGTACTTTTAATCTTTTAGCAGTCTTGTTTTTGATTTTTAAAATGATTAAGGTACTTATATGTCATTTTCTTTGTTTAATATACAACAATCCGTGTGCTGACGGCTTAAGGGGGAGTGTCACCACCTCTATTCATCCCATGGGTGTCGTAAGAACCGACTAAGGAAGCAAACTACGCAGGACAACAGCACTGCAAAGAGAAGGAAAACTTGACACAAACCCTATACCAACCCGCCTGGGCAGCGTGGTATAGTAGGCCATAACCTCCTTTCTAAGGAGAGGCCCATGTACAGCAGTGGACTATTAAAGGCTGATGATGATACTTTAGCCATGACACATAAATGTTTTTAATATTTTCTCTATGTTACACAGATACGCGTCAGAAAACGTTCCTCTGATAGCCGTCGTTGGCAAGGACTATGGGTCAGGCTCGAGTCGTGATTGGGCTGCGAAGGGACCTTATCTATTGGTAAATTATGCCTTTATTTTAGAATGGTACAAGTTTTACTTGTGTTGGTTGTGATTAAATATTTTTTAATTTCAATCTGCGTATTAAAATAAATACTTACATAACAAATACAATAATTCAGATGATAGACGCATGTTAAATACTGAGCACATGATACGCGGTCAGCTGATGCGAGCGCCGCCATATTGGCATTGGCTTCTCCAACAATGGACGAAAAAATTTAAGGGGATTTAATAAAAGTTTTATTAAAAAAAAAAGGTTTCTAAAACGTAACCACAACCACAAGTTTATTTTCCTTACAGGGTATTAAAGCAGTAATTGCCGAATCGTTTGAACGCATTCACCGCTCGAACCTGGTCGGTATGGGCATCATCCCTCTCCAGTTCCTCCCAGGGGAGAACGCCGATACCGTCGGGCTGAACGGCAGTGAGACGTTCACAATCAACTTACCAGAGAAGCTTAATCCTGGAGACATCATTAGCGTTCAGGTAAAACTTTTAGCTTATTATTGTACGAGTTGACTGCACGGATGGCGTAGTGGTTTAAGCGGTCGCCCTCATCGTACTACGCTGAGTGTTGTGGGTTCAAACCCCACATGGGACGACACTTTGTGTGATCCACAAATTGTTGTTCTGCGTCTGGGTGTTCTTTGTGTCCGTTTCATGTATGTTTGTAAAGTCCCCCGCGACACAGGATATATTTCTAAAGCGGAAGTTGTCTAAAAAGAAAAACCGTGGCACTCCGGGAGTGCCGACAGAAGTGAAAGATGTATTTTTTTTTTATTATAGCACGAAAAAGTTCCGACATGAATATATATCTATGTTGTACGTATATACACAATATATGTTTATATTATATATAGTTTTATTATCAATGTATTTCCACCCAAACTCAACTCTCGTGTAAACGGGGCCAATATATGTAGATAATTATATACAGAGGTGTCGGTAACGGTAACAGGGTCGCGAGTTCAATGGCTTTTTCCCATCGCAAAAAAAGGAAGGCCTTGAACCTTGTGACTCGAATTTGCAGGTGTTACTGTGGCGACGGTAGTCGTTTAAGACAGGCGATACGTTTTTAATCGTTCCGGGTTCGATTCCCTCGCAAAGCTATTTTGTTATCTAGGAATTTTGAAGTTGCTTGAGCCCAATAAATGGCAGGGCCTCCAAAAATATAAATATTTTGAAAATCCAAGGTCATTTCAAGTTTTCAGGTTTTTGCAGTGCTGTTGTCCTGCGTAGTTTGCTTCCTTCATTGGATTATTAACTTTATTGTAATAGGATAAGGTTGACATTTAATCAGCATTTATCTACAATATGTATGTGTTTAGTAATATATAAGTATGTTTATCAGCAGTCTGGTTACCATAGTACAGGCTCTGTCTAGTTTGGGATCAGACGGTCGAGTGAGATGATTCAAGATTTTTATTTTAAAAAAATCCACTCAACTTTAATAATTTGACGGGCGTGTTGGTCTAGTTGTTAGTGACCCTGACTGCTAAGCCGGAGGTCGTGGGTTCGATTCCCATCCAGGACAAATAATTGTGTGATGAGCGCGTTCATTTGTTCTGTGTCTGGGTGTAATTTATCTACAATATGTATGTATTTAGAAATATATAAGTATGTTTGTCAGCAGTCTGGTTACTATAGTACAGGCTCTGTCTAGTTTGGGATAAGGCAGCCGTGTGTGAGTGGTGAAGTTATTATTATTATTGGTTCTTTTTTGCCCACAGGTGGACAACGGCAAATCATTCCAAGTGAAAGTCCGTTTCGACACGGAAGTAGACTTAACTTACTTCCGTAATGGCGGTATCCTGAACTACATGATAAGGAAGATGTTGTAAGCTTTTGTACCTCACATCCTTACGTGTGAGGGTAGACCTTCGCGTAAGAATTATTAGATAATAATCAAGGGTTTTTATTGTCATCATCAACAGCCTTTACTAGTCCACTGCTGGACATAGGCGTCTCCTTAGAAAGGAGGTTTTGGCCTACTATACCACGCTGGCCAGACGGGTTGGTGTAGGGTTTGTTTCAAGTTTTCCTTCTCTTTGCAGTGCTGTTGTCCTGCTTTCTTAATCAGTTTTTACGACACCTAGGGATGAATAGGAGTGGTGATTTGTATTCTTAATCCGTCACCACACGGGCAATTTTGTATTGTATTTATGTATTTATAGGAATAAGTATAGATATTGAAAAATAATGTCTACAGTATGGATAAGACTGTTGTACCGGGATTCAGGAATGAGAGACAATTTAGGGCTTTCTCTTTTATTATGAAACCAAATTATTACCTCCGGTATTTCTAGACTGATACGACCTTTAAGAAAAGAGATGGAGACCTCAAAGGCGCTTGTAGCTTCAAAATTGCAGCCGTTCATAGGCGGCGGTGGTTACTTTCCATCTTCTGTTCTTATTGGAACGAAGTTTCTCATCGCGCGTTACATCTCTGAGGGGATAGGAGCGACACCGAAAAATGTGTAACAAGACTTTTTGCCGACAGTTCAGTTTGCTTGTCGCGTTGACGCTCACTTCTTTTTCATATTTCATATACAGCAAACGTCTACCAAAAAGCGAAAGGAACGTCGTTCCGATCGTGGGTTCATAGACCCCTCACACTGTTTTTGTTTCCACTATATCATAAAAGAACCTTGACGAGATGAAAACTGAGAAAGTGAATGCCACATCACATAATCCCGGTATTATTATGTCGTATCCATATTAATATGACACGTTACTATTAAAATTTAATCTATGGCCTGGTGTTAAAAAAATAATTTCTTTGCGTTGTTAATTCTTCTTTAGATATTAATTTTACCACAAATTGTTGTTCTGAGTCTGGGTGTTCTTTGTGTCCGTTTCATATATTTCTAATGCGAGAGTTGTCTTTTAAAATAAAAACAAACAAACTGTATGCATTTAAGCATGAATCTTATACTAATCTGATTACATTGTAAGACAGCTATTGGCACATGGGCTGATCACAGTCTCACAGGAAACCGTGGGAGAACCAACAGAAACCCAATCCCTAAAGTGGGGGAAGCACTTACAAGGCGGTAACGCACTTGACCCGTTGATACATTTAATGTGTGCGAAAGAAAAATCACCCTTACGTACCATAAGTACGTATCCCATGGAAAAAAAGTCGTTTATCATTAAAAAGGCTCGAAGGACCATGAACGAACTACAAGGCCTATCACGGTGGGGACACAATTAAACTCTAGTCAACGGACAGTTTTTTTATTGTGTTACTACAGTATAGCTAGCTTAGTGCTGCTTAAAATCAAATAATTATATTGACCTTATATATAAATCACCGTTACGAAACCATAGCGCGTTGCACAAAGACACTATCAATGCCATCTATCGAAGATCAACTAAATTTTTACACAGTTTATTAAATTAAAATGTTCACAAGACACTTATGCTCTTTTAACGTTGGACCATAGATTAATTTTTATTCTGAATTTATTATTTGATATTATTTACTTGGTTCTATTTAATTATAGATTTATTATTAAAATGGGTTCTCGGTTAAGTTAAGGGATTTGTGAAAGTTAATTTTATAAAAAAATCGTATTGATATTTAAAAAAAAAACTATCTGACTCAACCAGAGTGTGACTGCGGCCTCAGAGTAAAACAATTCGTTCGTCGCTTTTATGGAGGGTAGAAGCAAGGAAAACCATCTCTGTGTATGAAAAGTGTCCGTCAAAATGCGTTAAATTGGGGGCGCTACAGTAGCATACGGATAATTACTAGGGTTCCGTACCTCAAAAGGAAAAAACGGAACCCATATTGGACCACTTTGTTGACCGTCTGTCTGACTTTCTGACCGTTTATCTCGAGAACGCGTGAAGATATCAAGTTGTAATTAAAACCATATATTCAGGTCTACGGTCCCTTGGAGCCGTAAAATAATCAAACTCCTAAGTTAACTTAGAAAAAAGATACCGCAAAAAAACGCATATTTCGACACTCTCAAGGGAATCAAAATTCATAGGGTACTTCCCGTTGACCTATAACTCTGAAATTTAACAAGTAACATCGTCTTTTCGATTCGATTCCGGAACTATTTATAATATGTACCCACAATTGTGTACGGAACCCTCCATGGGCGAGTCTGACTAGCACTTGTCCGGTTATTTTTCTAAAGCAAGCGCCAAAAAAAACCATGGAAGGAAAAACATTGGGCAAAATATATATTGGCTTAAATAATAATAATTAGACACTGTATACCAGACTGCGAAAATAGTCAATGAGTTTTACAGACAATTAATAAACGTGTAATTAGGTTCAGACCATAAAATTATCATAATATTTTAACTCAGCACTTTCACTCCGTCTACAACAGCTATGTTTATATCTCTATCTATACTAATATTATAAAGCTGAAGAGTTTGTTTGTTTGTTTGAACGCGCTAATCTCAGGAACTACTGGTCCGATTTGAAAAATTCTTTCAGTATTAGATAGCCCCATTATCGAGGAAGGCTATAGGCTATATATCATCACGCTAAGACCAATGAAGAATATTTCTAAAACGGAGAAAATTTATTACTATTCAGAGACGCAGACGAAGCTGCGCGGGTCAGCTAGTTTTCAATATACAGCTGGACACTTTTTCAACTTTCCCCCTCTATGAGATGGTTCTCCTTGCCTCTACCCTCCATAGTTGCTTTGCACCGAGTGTATTAGCGGAGTTATTTGGATATACACTTCTCCTTAATTCTGATCAAAGAAGTTCCAGGTGTTCAATGGCGACGTTAGTCACGTGTAATCAGGTGACCCGTTGTTGCTCCTTTGCCCCCGTATATTAAAAAAAATACTTCCATTTACAAGAAGGTTATAAAATAATAAATAAAATGTATCTGTAATCATGGTGTAGTTGTAAGAACAAATAAATTTGTTATATTTTGTTTTTTATTGTTTTATTCATTCGTCATCAACAGCCTTTAATAGTCCACTGCTGGACACAGGCCTCTCCTTAGAAAGGTTTTGGCCGTACTATACCACGCTGGCTAGACGGGTTGGTATAGAGTTTGTTTCAAGTTTTCCTTCTCCTTTGCAGTGTTTTTCCTGTATAGTTCCCCTAGTCAGCTCTTACGACACCCACGAGATGCATAATAAATATGCGTAAGATAAAATAATTTTGTATGACGAAAACTACGAATGGGAATTCGGAGTAGGTCGTGGTACACCCATATGACCGCCCTATGATTTAAAAAGCCACTAAGATGGAAAACATTAACAAACAAACCTACAGTAACATATAAATGGATGCTACCGTGATGTTATGAACGTGTGGTATTCAGAAAATAATATCTTAGGAATTATGATATTTTTTTTCCCATATTTCCCATGTTTATATAATTATCTAGCTGCTGCCTGCATCGAATAAGTACTGCTCTGAAATTCACCAGCATAGTGGTGATCATCACATCAACAGCCTTTGGAGCCAGAAAGGAGGTTTTGGCCTTACTATACCACGCTAGGGTTTGTGTCAAGTTTTCCTTCTCTGTGCAGTTTTGTTGTTCTGCGCAATTTTTGCTTATTCGGCTCTTACGACACCCACGGGATGAATAGGAGTGGTGATACTCTGTCTTCTTAATCCGTCACCACACGGTCCGTACATGCGACCGTAGTGATCATACATTGAATATAGTTCTATTTCTAAACTTTACAAGAGAAAGCACTCACTAAACATTCTTCAAGTACAGGGTGTAAGGGACATCGTAACGAATACTGAAATAGTGTATGCCATGATTCTGAGTCGAATATCATTGGAATTTTCCGCCGGTTTTTTTTATAATTTTCCATTTATTTTTGGTTAAAAATGATATCACAATGAGTAAACAGAAAATTTCACCGAAAATAAATTAATAAATATCGCGTACAGCGTAAATTAATCAAACAGCCGAAACACGCGGGGCCTCCCCTCCGGCCGCAAACTTATGTTAGTTTGCGTAGACTGTTTGCACGGAATACACATGTAGTTTTTACTTTTGTGCGATACCTACGGGGAATTACCTTTATCTTTGACAGCTGATTGCATAAAAAGTTTAATTTTCCGGCAGAAAATTCCAATGATTTTCCACTCAAAATGATGGTCTGAATACACTATTTCAGTATTCGTTACGATGTCCCTTACACTCTGTATACTCTAACAGCTCTAAAGTCATTGCATTTTTTTCAAAATTCCAGACGTTGTCATGTCATTTGGACAAATTAAACATTACCTTTATGCATTATAGTTTCTATATATATCTATATACTGTTTAATCCGTCGCCACGCCGCTTTCTATTGGACAACACTTTGTGTGATCCACAAATTGTTGTTCTGAGTCTGGGTGTACTTTGTGTCCGTTTCATGTATGTTTTTAAAGTCCCCCGCGACACAGGATATATTCCTAGTGCGGACGTTCTTTAAAAAAAAAGTTTGCTAAGTTATAAGTCGAGTTATTCAGAATTTCGCGTTCAGTAGGTTTCTCGAAAATCAGTAATAAAGTCAAGATACTTTCGACTTTATTTTAAAAGGAGTATAAAATACATTTTCCATCCAATACAAGTTGGAACTTAAGACATTTCTCTAACAAGCCGATAACTACACACAAATGTTCTTATCTGTTGTGGAACCAATTTTATGCCAACAGCCAAATTAACTTTTTCATACTGTCTTCCAACATCATCAGCAAATTCTAAATTACTATCATTACCGTAAACATCATTAAATTTCTTAACAAATTTCCCTTTTTGCCATTCCATCTTGAAATAGTCCGAACGCCGAATATTCGTACCCAACATTGTCTCTTCACAACCTGTTATCAAGTAATCGTTAAATAGATTTAAAATATTTACAATTTTCACTCCGTTTTTGACTACATCGGTTGATTCTAAATAATTTTCGAAACGAATCAAAAGTTTTTCATTCCATTTCTCGAATGATAATACGTGCAAACCTATAGGCAGTTTCTTGTTTAAAGCAGAATATTCGTTTCTACATTCAGACCAATTTGTGTAACCAATACTGGAGTCGTAGAATGGATGTGCTGACGTAAATATTTGAGGCTGTATTTCCAACTCCTTGGCAAATTTCTTCTCGAAGAATTTGTTGGGTTTATAATCAGCTTTTGACAGATACAAGCGATGTTTTCCCCTGATCACAAGACCTGTTTCGACTGCAGTATCGTTGATGCCATCAGTAGGTCCATTGTTATCTATTGCGAGCCGTCTATGGACCATAACATCAATCTCACCTTCGTCCAAAGATGTGCAACCTTCGCCTCGGTCGGGGAAAATTGAAAATCGGATATTTTTATTAGTATCTTCGATGTACACTTTAGATGTTATTGGGTAAATGTTGGCTGAAACGAAATATATTAACGTAAATATTTTAACGTGGGAGAGCCATGCTTCGGCACGAATGGGCCGGCTCGACCGGAGTGATACCACGGCCTCACAAAAAACGGGTGTTAAGCAATTCTTTCGTTGCCTTTCACTGAGTGAGTAAGGTTACCGCTCCCGCTGACTCGAGCGGGAGGGACTCCAAGGGCAGCAACGCATTTGTGACTTGAGTTGCAGTTTGATGTGCGGTGGTAGTTGCTTACCATCAGGTGACTCGTCTGCTCGTTTGCCCCTTTATACCATAAAAAAAAAAGTAAATCTTGATACTTTCAATCCAATTTCTTATTGGCAAGATAAGCAGGGGTCATCATTTCACGGGCCATCGGTGGAGTTTTATGGTACACAGAACTATTTTCTAAAAAATTCTGTTTTTTTTTTTTAAAACATAACTCTGCCAAACTCACCTGATATATCATCAGTATACACCATCTGATGTGTATATCTTTTATTCTTTATCCTTTTTATTGTCTGTCGTCCATTACTGTCCGTATAGAAAACTCCATTATTCTGTAAATCTGTGGAGTATCTTACAAAAACTTCTCTGCCAAATGCGTCATCAACAGGAATGGGCCCCACACACCAATCTATTTCTACGTAAGGTAACTCTTTATACAGTCTTAACGCTTGTAAATATTGTGTGATAATAGTGTACGCGTAATGTAAATATTGTCTTTAAAATATAGTTTTTTCGAAATAACTAAAAAAATTAAGTGAAACAAATTTAAAAATGTTCCTAACAATAACAGAAGGGGGGCGAACGAATTATCTATAACGTTTAAATGACCATTTTCGACATTATTTTGCTGGGGTAACGCACACCAAGTATATTGTAATGTTTAAAAAGCTGTTTGAGCCATCTAGCGAAAACAAAATTAACTACGTTTCAACGGCCGTTATGGTTTGTGTAAGCAACTGCTAAGCTAAAAGTAGCAGGTTCGATTCCCGCTCAAGCCAAACATTTGTGTGCATTAAAATTTAATGTTTAATTTGGTCTGTTTCTATGTGTATTATATTTGTATCTATAAAATAAAAGGATATATATATTTATATCAGTTGTCTAGTACTCATAGTACAATCTCTGCTTAGTTTGGGACTAGATGGCGTTGTGTGAATATCGTAGAATATTATATTATTAATATATTATTATACTTATTAATGGAAAAAATATACATTCTAATTCTGACAGTTATAAGTTCCTTACTTCATTTTTAATATAATTATCCGAAGTATGAATACTGTGGTAACGAGTTCTCTCCAACCCCCTGAACATGAGCTCCTGCTCCCAAGTCACTTCTCCGTTATTCTCTTCATCATTCGTAATATTAAAACTTCCTTCGTCACCATAATAATCAGTCGCCGTTTTGATAGTGGAAGTTAAAAGGGGTGTGATGGAAGCAGAGGTGGTAGTTGTGGTGTCAGAGGATTTTTCGGTTGAGTTGATAGTAGGCAGTTCTGTGTGGTCAGGAGTAGGAGCTCCAGTACATGAAGAACTAAGGTTTAGTTGGTGTGGGCTGAAAAGGCAGAAACAATATTTAATGGGGAACTGTTTATAACACAATAATTGATCCGCGCAATTTCGCCTACGTCTCTCAAAAGAAAAAAAAACTTGAAATTTGCAACATTTTTCGACTTAAATGCTCAGCCTCCAGCTCCTTATTGGTCGTCACGGTCGGCCGACGTGATGTTTTGATGACCTCACTGAATAAATAAGCTATCCAAGACTCAGACAATTTTGCAATTCAAACCAGTAGGTTTCTGAGAATAGCGCTTTTAACCAAAAAAACTCCAGCCTTAAAATAAAAACTTAAAAGTAGGAAACTTGACACAAATCCCATACCAATCTGTCTGTAAAGTAGGTAAAGTAAGCCAAAGCCGAGAGATGGCGCTCGTTGCCATGTTAACATCCACTCCTAGTATAGGCCAACCCGCAGAAAGGAGCGCGCGGCACGAACCTGGGATACGACATTATTGGCGTGGGGCTTCATAGAGCGGGTGCGGTCACGGCGAGGTATTTTACCGTCGAGGACCACTCGATGTCGAGCTGGTGTGTCGTGAAGTGGTCGGCGCGTAATCCGAACTGTTCGTCCCGTGGCTGAAGGTGTGGTGTCGAGGCAGTAGCAGTTTCTCGAACACCGTCAACGTCACAGGGTTCTCAGCCGGGGCTATCGGCCGCTCAAAGTACAACTCGAGTTTCCTCTTCACCTCTGCTACGTGCTATACGTTGTAGACAGGATTCGGTCGGAACTGCGCTTCCAGGAAGTCGGCGAACATCTCCGTTCGGTCCTCGGCACGGTAACGTGGGGTGCCGGCACCGGCCATCAAGGCCTAATCAGAGCTGGTTTCCCGGAAAGCTGGCCAGGCGGGTTGGTATAGGGTTTGTTTCAAGTTACCCTTCTTTTCAGTGCTGTTGTCCTGCGTAGTTTGCTCCCTTAGTCGGCTCTTACGACACCTACGGGATGAATAGGGGTGGTGACACTCTGTATTCTTAATCCGTCACCACACGGACGCTAGTTTAATTACTCACGTGATCGAATCAGTCGAAATGTTATCAAGGTGATGTGCTTCGATACCACCTTCTCTTTTAGGGGCTTCGGTTGCTTTATAGGTCTCATTGGATTTACTTCTTGGTGTCAAGACATAGCCATATTCCTTTAGTGAATCTTCTTCGCCCTGGAGACAGTGAAAAGAGTTAAACAATAATACGAGAACGCACTAAACTGATCGATATAGCCCTTAAAGTGTCCAGATTAAAGTGGAAAATGTGCTGGCTGCATTAGCCGCAGAACAGATTGCAGATGGCCACTTAATGTTGCTGAGGGGAGATCCCGATCAGGAAAAGGCTAGGTCGAAGACAGTCTGAAGAAAATAGCGGGAAAACACGCTACTCAGCGTATTTATAGAGACCTATAGCCATCAATGGAAGAAGAACAGGAATAAATAGATTTTATCTACTAACTATCACTTAAGGGGTGAAATTCGAAAATAATAATAATAATCTTTCATTCATGAAATGGTCAGTTATGTGTTATTACTGTACTCTCTCTTTTTAACTTGGCCTCATATTGTATAATCATCATCATCATCCTCATCAACAGCATTTACTAGTCCACTGCTGGACATAGGCCTCTCTTTAGAAAGGAGGTTTTGGCCTACTACACCACGCTGGCCAGACGGGTTGATATAGGGTTTGTGTCAAGTTTTCCTTCTCATTGCAGTATTGTTGTCCTGCGTAGTTTGCTCCCTTAGTCGGCTCTTACGACACCCACGGGATGATTGGGGGTGGTAACAATCCGTATTCTTAATCCGTCACCACACGGACAAAATATGCATCACCAAAAAAAAAAACAGTCCAAAATCCATAGCATTTAAGTAATTTTGGTTTAAACAAATAAGATAATGTGCATGGATGAAGGCGGACTGCCCAAGATGGCGCTAGGTAGTGCCACCTAGTGTCAGTAAAACTCAAACAAAATTTGACAGTACCTTTGACACGTTAGCGAATTCTATAATTGTAGGCTTATGAGTCAATTCATCCAAATAATAATCATCATCATATTGTGTTATCAGGTTATTGTCAGAAGCTTTCACGCTGTGTGACTGTCGCGTCAGAAACTTTCTCTTCTTATTCTTTGTCATTTTCTTAATGATCGCCCTCTTCGTTCTAGAACCTTCTATTTGTAAATAATAAGAACGGTAGCCCATAGGTGGTATCTTCTCCGCTATGAATACCATTTCATCGAATAATGCTGGCGAGTGACTTGGCAGAAATCTTTCTGGTATACGTCTGGCAAATTCTGGTATTTTTATTATGGAATGGTCAATTGTGTCGCCTGCAAATACAATGGAGGAAGTTGAGTGAACTTCTATGCTACAAGACGTTCTCTTAAACTCACATAAAATTGTAACAAAATATTCTTATATGTGCCTACTCCTCCTAAAATACAGAGAAAAAGAATCTGCATAATTTTTTTAACTTGGTTTGTGTATGCTTAAAAATCTCGAAAACTTCTTCAACGATTAAGCCCAAATTTAGATAAGATATGCAAACTGTTTCAAAGATTGTTTTTATCTTATTTTTATGTCAGTTTGGTTCCTCATTCCTCATCAATGCATCCACGATGTGACAAGGTTCATCTATTAATTTTATAAATCAGAGTCCATGAGTAGTCTTAGCACCAAAAGTTATCTCTTCTCTAAGATGGAGTTAAGACTAGAAGTATTTAATAAAAAGCCGTGTGGTGTCGTGGGACACCCGATAGGAACGTTGTGACGATCGAGTAGAACTGATTCGACACGATTTTAATTACAACGCCATCTATGAAAGCGGCTATTACCTACATATTTTTCAGTTGGTTTCTAATTAAAACAATTTATACATTGGCAAAATCTCCTTGAGAAATGATGTCGAATACAATATTTTTTGCTCAACTTAAGAACATAAATTTTAATTTTACTGAGATGAAAAGTAATGATTTCCTATCTATTCGATAGATGGCGCTGAATGACTGACAAGTGACAATTCAAAATAAAAAGTGTCGTTACAACATTTCGTGAGAAATTTTACCGTCTAGCCCCCTTTCACAACGCGCGATAAGGAATTTCGTTCCAAAACTTAGTAGTCGGTTGCGTTCTATTCGATGTGTAAACAAATACATATACAGGTTGTTAGAGAAGTACTGGAACAGCAGAATAATTCGATACTGATGCATTTTTCGGCAATACGTAATTTATGTCTCTTTGCTCTCTTTGCTAAGAAGAGAATTGGATTTATTATATTTCCAACTCCTCCAATTTAGTTCTGATTAATTTCGTTGCGGGTTCCAAGACAATGTGACTTTTTGTGGGACTTCTCGAGTGGCATAACTCGGTGTGTTCGTGGGTCACTGCTGTTGATCTTAGTTTATAAGGGTGTGTGGGGAAAATTTGTCCCAGAAAAGGGACCTATGTATGATTATAAAGCTATAGTTATACCTTTATTGTCATATAGGTTATATTTGACTCTCTGAACTGGCAACCTCACTGGTAGGGTCACTGGCCACGCGAGGGGGTTGTAAATAACGATCTGTGAAACCAAAAAGGTAATAATTACTGATAATAGACGCCCCTATTCCTTTTCTATATTTTGTGGTATAAGGAACGAGCAGACAAGTTATATTTTGGTAAGTGAGTACCACAGCCCATGCACACCTGCAAATTAAGAGGAACTTCCGTTAAGTTTCTTCTGTTGGTGCGACCTCAATACTGGCGTCCCCTAAGGCGGCATTTTATCTCCTCTTTTATTCTCTATATTTATGAACCTCATAACTCAACACTTTCAGTGTATATATGTATGTGTGTTTATGTATATGTTAGTTGAAACTATAAATATGCTACTATTAACGGTGTTAAGCAATTCTTTCGTTGCCTTTCACTGAGTGAGTGAGGTTCTTCTTCCTACTAGTTCCCTCACTGCTGATGATCATAACTCCCTATCATTCTGTCAACCATCTGTTTCCAGCAGTTGCGATCAGTCGCTTGGTGGAGTGCCATACTTATTGGCATTTCTAGTTGTTCAGCGATCTGGTCTGACTATATTCTGGCACTTCTGCCACTTTGTCTCTACCCTTCTGCCTTTCTAGTCCAATCTGAGCCCAAATCAACACTCTAGCGAGAGTCTAGCGCTGACTCTAGCGAGAGGGGCTCCAAGTGCAGCAACTCACTTGTGACTTTTGAGTTGCAGGTGTTCATGGACGGCGGTAGTTGCTTACCATCAGGTGACCAGTCTGCTTGTTTGCTCTTTATACCATAAAAAAGAAATATTACAACTGTAACCTCAGTGCACCTACGTCACCAGATTCCTACACCACCCAAAGGTTGGCTGGTAGAGAATGCCCTGGGTATTTTAGTCCGCCGATGTACAAAAGTGCATAAAGATATAAAATAAATAATACCTTGGCTTATACTTACGTAAGATCTGTTATGCGAAATGGTCCAGCAGCTGCTTACATTAAATGGACACATATAATATGGAGTCTTATTTGGTGCGCCACGGAGCTGGCTAAGAAAAAACACAAGATTTTATTATTTACAACAGCCTTTAATGGTCCACTGCTGGACATAGGCCTCTTTTTAGAAAGGAGGTTTCGGCCTACATAAATCGCTGGCCAGACGGGTTGGTATAGGGGTTGTGTCAAGTTTTCCTTCTCTTTGCTCCCTTAGTCGGCTCTCACGACACCCACTGGATGAATAGGGGTGGTGACACTCCGTATTCTTAATCTGTCACCACACGGACAACTAATATATTATTTAACTTGCAATGTATATATATATATTGTTTATGTATTTGTGTATGTGTATTTATGTATGTGTAATGTGAACAGATGTTTATTTGTGTATCAATGCTTTTGTTTATATTTTTAAATATTCACGTGCATTATGCGTTACGTGTATATGAACTACCCAACTTTTTAAATATCTAATATCGGTATTAAGGTTGTCTGTAAGAGATCGCCGTGAGCGATAAGACCGCCGATTGTTACGTCTATATATTTGTAATGTCTTGTGTTAACTATAAACAGTAAAGATATAAATTAAAAAAAAGCCGTGTGGTGTCGTGGGACACCCGATAGGAACGAAGTTGTGACGATCGAGTAAAACTGATTCGACACGATTTTAATTACAACGCCATCTATGAAAGCGGCTATTACCTACATATTTTTCAGTTGGTTTCTAATTTAAACAATTTATACATTGGTAAAATCTCCTTGAGAAATGATTTCCTATCTATTCGATAGATGGCGCTGAATGACTGACAAGTGACAATTCAAAATAAATACTGAGATGAAAAGTAATGATTACCTATCTATTCGATAGATGGCGCTGAATGACTGACATAAAAAGTGTCGTTACAACTTTTCGTAAGATTTTTTTCCGTCTAGCCCCGTTTCGCAACGCGCGATAAGGAACTTCGTTCCAATAAATAAAATTATAATCCTGTTGAGTACTTACTTAAACGCTTGGCGTATTATTTGCATACACAACTCCTTTCCTTTATGCGCTTTCATAGTGTAATATGAATTGACATGTTCCTGCATGCCTCCGGTGTGGACTGTGTGGTCTAATAACGAGCCTGGGAAACAAAATAATAATAACATTTATTAATTTGCCACCGCCATGTATTTAACAGATTTTTTTTAAATGACAACTCTTGCACTTGGAATATGTCCTGTGTCGCGGGGAAGTTTACAAACATACATAAAACGGACACAAAGAACATTCAGAACAATAATTTATGGATTACACAAAGTGTTGTCCCGTGTGGAGATCGAACCCACAACACTCAGCGCAGTAGGAAGCGGTGAGGTGACCTATAATTTATGACTTTATGACCAATTTGCTTGTTTGACTCTAATATTGTCCTGTTGGTCTGATGGTTAGTGAACCTAACTACTAAGCCAGATCTTATGAGTTCGATTTCCACCCAGGACAAATAATTGTGTGATGAGCAGAATCATTTGTTCTGTGTGTAGGTGTAATTTATCTATAATATGTATGTATTTAGTGATATATAAGTATGTTTATCAGCGGTTTGGTTACCGTAGTACAGGCTCTGAATAGTTTGGGAACAGACGTCCTTGTGTGAGATGTGTGAAGTTATTAATAATAATAATATTTCCGATATCTAACACACAACGCCATCTAATTTTAAACTAAGACGAGTTTTTATTACAATAACTAGATTGACTGATACAATACTTATGTATATACTTTTTTTGTAAATACATACCAAAAAGTAAAAACACTAACTCCGAAATAAATATTTGCAGATTATACAAACATTAGGTCCGACCCGGGAATCGAACCCGATTATTATTAGTCTTGTAAAATAAAAACAACTTGTTCATCTATACAAATAAATAAAATTGGAGTGTCTGTTTGTAATATTAAAATAACCGCTTTTTACTAAATGCATATGTATGTTTACACGGTACATATGCCAAAATAACATTTATTACAATTTTTGTCTGTCTGTTTGTTCCGGGTAATCTCTGGAACGGCTTGACCGATTTCGACGGGACTTTCACTGGCAGATAGCTGATGACATAAGGAGTAACTTAGGCTACTTTTTTTTAGACTATACCAACAAACGCGGGTAACACCGCGGTTCTCAGCTAGTGTACAATAAAGATTTTTCTATTTTACAGCATAATATTTAATATTGTTTACACACAACGCCATCTAGTTTTAAACTTGTAGCTTGTACTATGAAAGCTAGATTGACTGATAGAATACTTATATACTTCTTTTTGAAAATACATACATATTTTACATAGAAAACACCCAAACTCCGAAAGAAAGATGTGCAGATCATACAAACATTTGGTCCGACCCGGGAATCAAACCCGAGATCTCAGCGCAGCGCTCGCATACGCTACCACTGCACCACCGAGGCAGTCATGTATGTTAATAGAGTGTGTGTTACCGGCAATCCACTGGATATCTTCGAAGAGCTGATCATGGTTCTTCAGGTGACCAAACATCTGCAGCTGTTTTGCTATCTACACATACAAAATACATCTTTACACAGTATAAAATAAAGACGATTTTTTGTTGTACACGCACATCTTTTTGTGCGGTTTTTACCAATAGAGAAGAAGGAAGAAGAAAAAAAGAAATTCAAGAGGAAGGTTTATCTGAGAACTTCAAAAATCTGTCTTAAAAAACATGACGTTATGAATTTAATGTAGATGATAATTGCTGTTTACAGCATATTATTAAAATGAATATTTTAGAAGATATTAGGGGTTTAAAATCTGGAGACAAAGCGTCAGGATCGGCGCGTGCTAATAAATATTGCACATAAAGATATCCTGTGGTATAGTCCTATCATAATAATAGTGTAATGAATTACTTCACACAGACACCACATTAGTAGTATTAGTACTTGTAGTATCTACGTTGCACCCGTGCGATGTCGGGGCGGATCGCTAGCATTTGATAAAAAATAACATCTCTTAGAAGGCTCAGACTTCTTGGCAACTGCTAATCCAACTGAGCTATAGCTGACCTAACCCCATCCATCCACAGAACCCCGCTATTAAGAAATTTTCTTCTTTTTTTATGGAGCAGACCTGGGGTCACCTGGTGGAAAGTGACTATACTGCAATTCAGGAGTCATAAGCGCATTACCGGCCTTTTAGGAAGGAGTACGAAGGTTGAAGATCGTATCGGTCCGGAAATACAGCTGACGATAACTTGTCCCACAGATTGGTGAGGTGATGGAAGCCCAAAGGTCAGAAATGTACTAGTGTCACTTGAGTCGCATGAGTCTATGGGCGATGGTGATCACTTCAGGTCTGTCCCGTCTGCTCGTCTGCCCCATTTACCATCATCATCATCTCAGCCGAGAGATATAGACAGCCAGCAGTGAACATAGGCCTCCTCCAAGAATTGCCACAACGACCGGTCCTATCCAACGGCTTCCCGCTACTTTTACCAGGTCTTCGGACCTTGTGGAGGACCTACCCACGCTCCGTCTCCCGGTATGCAGTCGCCACTCAAGTACTAACCATTGGTCATCGTTTCTCCATGTGCTCCGCCCACTGCCACTTATGTTCGGCAATTCTCCGGGCGATGTCGTTAAACTTGGTTCGTCTTCGGATCTCCTCATTTTTATTCGATCACGTAGATAAACTCCAAGCATTGCCCTCTCCATTGCTTCATTTCATACCACAATTATATATTATTATACTTACCAATAAGTATAAATGTAGTTCCCTGGCTAGATATTTAATCGCAGGCCTCGAATAGAACATACCAGTGAAATAAGCGTTTTTGTCGTTGGCTATCGGCAAGAAATCGTCTTGTTTCGTTTTCAGGACAGGTCTGGAATAAAATCAATAAGGTTTATGAACCAACTAACCCGCGCAGTTCCGTCTGCGTCACTTACAAGAAATTGAAACATTTTTCCTAGACGCTCGGCTTCTAGCCTCCGTCATGTTAGCCTATATTCGTCCTCGATAAATCAAACATCAAACATTAAAAAAATATTTAAATTTGAAGCAGTAGTTCCTGAGATTATCGGCATCATCATCCTTAAATAGTCCAATGCTGGACATAGGCCTCTCCTTATAAAGGAGGTTTTGGCCTACTATACCACGCTGGCCAGACAGGTTGATATAGGGTTTGTTTCAAGTTTTCCTTCTCTTTGCAGTGCTGTTGCCCTGCGTAGTTTGCTTCCTCAGTCGGCTCTTACGACACCCACGGGATGAAAAGGGATGTGGTTATGTAGAAATAAAAGAAAAAGTATATAAGATCTTATGGGACTAATCCCGCCCACACGCCCACCACTGTAACTCCTGTACACCAGGATCCACAGCAGTGACCCACGAACACACCGAGTTATGACACTCGGGAAGTCCCAGGAAGAAATTAAACTGTCTTGGAACCCGCAACGAAATTAATCAGAAGAAAATTGGAGGAGTTGGAAATACAGTAAATCCACTTCCCTCCTTAGCAAAGCGGGAGACAAAATGAAGTAAAATGGGCATACACCCTTTTAAACAGGGAAGCACCACGGCCACGAAATATTACGGGTCCTACGTGAGCTATATTTGATGTAAATTTCTAAGTTGTCAATTTTAAAGGATATTTGAGTAATTTTATGAAATATTTGTCTTAGTATTCATTATAAGCCAGGATGATTTCAGTGAAAAAACTGTGGCACTCCGGGAGTGCCGACAGAAGAGAAAACTTGAATTTTTTTTTTGATCCCAACAGGTTTTTTCAGGAAAGGTCCGACATTAATATATATCTATGTTGTACGTATATACACAATATATGTGTATATTATATATGGTTATATTATCAATGTATTTCAACCCAAACTTAACTCTCGTGCAAACGGGGCCAATATATGTAGATAGTTATATACAGAGGTGTCGGTAACGGTAACAGTGTCGCGAGTTCAATAGTTTTTGCCATCTCAAAAAATACATTATTTTGTTTGTTGTTCAATTGTTTGCAGAGAGAAGGAAAACTTGACTCAAACCCTATAGCAACACATCTGTCCAGCGTGGTATAGTAGGCCAAAACCTCCTTTCTAAGGAGTGGTTCTCCTTTCTATGTCCAGCAGTGGACTGTTAAAGGCTGTTGATGTGATGTGTGTTCAAAAATGCCCAAAGCGCCTAAAAAGAAGTTTTCATTTCAAAAATGTTATTACGTCTACTTACAAAGCTTTTTTGATCTCCTTCAAATAACAGGCTGGCGTTGAATACATCAAATTGAGATGCACTTCGTCATCTTTTCTTTTTGCTTCGTTTATTGATCTGAAAACAAATATTATTTATATCTAATAACTAGCTGGTACCCGCGTACTAATGACGAAGTGTTCGCGCTGCCTTAGTGGGTTCAAGGCCGGACCGGACAAAGTTTTAAAAGGTTTTTCTGAGAGGAAAAATAGCCTAAGTTATTCTTTTTGTAGACAGCTACCTGGTAGTATAATATTACCGAAATCGGTTCAGCCGTTTAGAAGATTATCCGGAAGAAACAGACAGACAAATAGACAAAAAAAAAAAAACTGGTTTTTAGGCATAATAACCGTGTGAGCATGAAAAAAACACCTATAATTTTGACATTACAAACAGACACTTCAGTTTTATTTATTTGTATAGATATCTATAATATTCAAGATCCTGTACTACGGTAACCAGACTGCTGATAAACAGACTTATATATTACTAAATACATACATATTGTAGATAAATTACATCCAGACACAGAACAAATGATCGTGCTCATCACACAATTATTGTCATGGGTTGGAATCGAACGCACGACCTCTTAGCAGTCAGGCTCACCATACCAATACATTGTTTTCTAATTGTTCCAGTAAATCTAAAAGTTAATTTATTGTTTTGTAGATGATAAAACCGCCATTAAAAGATTCCATTACATAGATAAAACAGCGTGAGGGGTCAATGGAGCCCCGCTCCTTTCGCTTTTTGGTAGACGTTTGCTATATACATATATAAAATATAAAAAAGTTGTGATCGGCAATTGAAGTGTTGGCAAAAAGTCTTGTTACACATGTTTCGGTCTCGCTCCCATCCACTCACAGCGTGTAATGCGCGAAAAGGAACTTCGTTCCAAAAATAGATACTAGTCGAACTAGTATAAACTAATTTAAGTATAGTGGACTACTCGAATGGCGTAGTAGTTTAAGCGGTCACCTGGCCGCTTCCTACTGCGCTACAGGTAAATTAGCTTGGAGAAATTTTTGCGTTTGTAGTAGTGTATGGTTGTGCGTGTTTCCACTTTCCACTATCAAGTGACGATTTTTTGCTTTAGATTGAAATTTCTCGGAAACGGTGCGTCCTAGGCCAAAAATAACAAAAATTTTGACCCCCCCGTAGAACCCCCGGAGTTTTAAAAACCTAGATGAAAGGAAAAAAAAAAATTTAAATATCGGTCTCTCCTCTTTGAAGTTTCACTTCTATCGTGTGTGAATCTTTTTTTTTAATAAAGTCAAAACCTTTTTCTTTAAAATAAAAACTTCTTTTTATTGAAAACAAAAATCAGTGTTGCTAGGGATAAGTATAAAATTAAATAGTAATGTTAGGATATCGAAACATTTTTGTATAGGCCAGAACGATATAGTGGAAACGCGCTCTAAGATCTGAGTAATATACACACCACTACATATGCAAAAATTTCTCGAGACTAATTTCACTGTACGTGTTGTGAGTTCGATCCCAACATAGCACAAACTTTGTGTGATCCATAAAGTGTTGTTCTGAGTTTGGTTGTTCTTTGTGTCTGTTACATGTGTGTTTGTAAAGTCTCCCGCGACACAGGATTATATTCCTAGCGGGAGTTGTCTTTTAACAAGAGATTTTATTTAGATAGTTGGGCTAATCAACAGTTGATTTACCGTGAGAGAGTCATGTTACGGCAGAAATGGGCTGGCTTCACCGGAGTGATACCACGGCTCACAGAAAACTGTTTTTAACCAATTCTTTCGCTGCTTTCCACCGTGATGTTACCGAAGTCTAACCTCCCCTCCCCTTAATCCTAGGGGGCTTAAAGGGGCCACTTGTGGCTCTTCAGTTACAGGTATGGTAATAACTTACCATAGGTGAGCTAGGTGACCCATCTGCTGGTTTGCCCGTTTGCAGCTTCTCCATTAGTTCTCTCTTCAAATAAATCTTACCTGATAAGAGTGTCAATATTTGTGAACCAAATCTTCGCGTCGTGGTATCCCATTTTTTGTCCCATGACCACCATCACGTTGTTCGTGGTATAGAAAGGACTTTGGTGTTCTAGTATCTGCTTCTTGAAAGCCTGGATCTGCAAGGATAACGAGATTTCGTTCATATGTATACATTTATATGTAATCTATACAAATAAATAAAATTGGAATGTCTGTTTTTAATATTAAAATAACCGCTTTTTACTAAATGCATATGTACTCGTATGTTTACACGGTACATATGCCAAAATATTTTTTTTTACAATTTTTGTCTGTCTGTCTGTCTGTTTGTCCCGGGTAATCTCGGTAACGGCTGGACCGATTTCGACGGGACTTTCACTGGCAGATAGCTGATGACATAAGGAGTAACTTAGGCTACTTTTTTAGACTAGCTTCGCCCCTCGGCGCCCCGCGGTTATAACAACAAATTCGGGTAACACCGCGGGTCTCAGCTAGTAATTAATATGTAAGTGTACACTTCAGCGTAAGCAAAAAAAAACGACGGGTTGCTCTCCGGGAGTGCCGGCAGAAGTGAAAACTTGAATATTAACGTTGTGCATTTATAATATTTTGGAATGGTTAGGGAATAATTTTGCACGAATTGCTTTAATTATCAGTATAATAGTACTATCATTTATGTAGAATACAATATTTATTTATTGCGCTATCGTACACAAACATGACAATTTATATTACATTAAAAAGTTTATCTCTCAGAAAAACGAACATTCGTGCAAGCGCCCTGCGCCGCCTAAACAGCGGGCGCAGGCATACATTTTCACCGCGCCGTAGAAAGAGAGGGGGATACTTCCTCTCCTACGCCGCGCCGGCTGTCTACTCTCCATCCATCTCTCTTGTCCTATATCGGTTCCACTTACAGACAGCTGTACCCCGTGTTCTCTCTATGCTTAAGTTCAGCGTTTTTTTTTTTTTTTAAAGAGTAATATTGCAATATTAGGAATATATATTCCTGTGTCGCGGGGGACTTTACAAACATACATGAAACAAGAACACCCAGACTCGGAACAACAATTTGTGGATCACACAAAGTGTTGTCCCATCACAACGTAGTAGGAAGCGTCGTGGCGACCACTTAAACCACTACACCATCCGTGCAGTCAAATTACGTTAAGGTTAAAGATTTGTTAATCTGTGCCACTGTTTTTAAATACTCACTCTTTCAGCGACATTATTGAACTCAGCATCAACCACAATCATAGGATCGGTGCAGCCAATGCCGAAGCAGAACCCTGGAGGAGACCAATAGCCGTCGAATAACTTGTGAGTAAAAATGTCAGTTTCAGCTCCTGGAACATGTATCAGCTACCTTAGTCATACATACTGGGCATGGAAATTATTGCTACTTTTAAATCATAATCATTTTATGACTGGTTTTGGACACTGTGATTTCATCTGTGATAAATCACTACTTAGGTGTGGTCACTGACAAACCTGCCCTCTATTCCATAACAAAAAAAAATCAAGATATTAGACTTTTAAGATTTTGTATAAAAATCTCTGAAATATGCCTTCTGTACTTCTTAAAACCCTAAGTTTTTTTTTAATTCTGATAGTATTCTAGACTATTATACCTTGTTGGAAAGCTCAGAATACGTATATGTTTTCTAATAAATCTGCAGTTTAACTGTCATAGATTTTTTTAAATAATATTAAAAAAAAACCTTTCTTTTTACAAATTTTTAACCTTATACTTCGGGCCCAGTTTGTTAACTACAATTTTAGTAATTGAAATTATAAAACAATTTATAAAATACACAAAAACAGTAAAAAAGCATAAAATAATAAAAGATGTAAGTACTAAAAAAATTATATTAGACAACATTTCGGAGATTTTTATTAAAAAAATTAAAAGTCCAACATCTTGAAAATGGTTAGGTTTGGGATATAGTATTTCATAGAGAAATCTATCAGAAATGATGCAAACTACCACCCCTTAAAGTATTTAGGTCGAGTTAACCATTTATCCTGTATATTTATAAATATAATAATAATAATAATATTCTACCACATACACACAACGCCATCTAGTCCCAAACTAAGCAGAGCTTGTACTATGGGTACTAGACAACTGATATAAATACATATATACTTTTGATTTTTGTAAATACATACATATTATACACCCAGACCAAATTAAACATCAAATGTTCATGCACAAAAATGTTTGACTTGAGCGGGAATCGAACCCGCGACCTTTGGAATAGCAGTCCGTTACACAAACCACTACGCCATCATCAAATAACACTACCTTTAGTATTTAATAAAATAGTTTTAAAAGTATACAAGAGTAAAATTTGGGCTTAGGGCACATGGCTAAGTGGTAACTGAGTTAACAGCAATACTAGCCAGTTCAGTCTCTGGATGGGTGACCATTCTTAACACATGAGACTCCTCCGTGCCTCGGAGAGCACGTTATGCCGTCGGTCTTGGTTTAGTATCTGTGGTAGATCTCAACCTCGGCTCGGCGGCGACTCGGCAGATTAAAATATAAATAAATATTATATTATTATATTCATCATCATCATCATCAACAGCCTTTACTAGTCCACTGCTGAACATAGGCGTCTCCTTAGAAAGGAGGTTTTGGCCTTGACCACGCTGGCCAGACGGCCAACCCGGTCTATATAGGGTTTGTTTCAAGTTTTCCTTCTCTCTGCAGTGCTTTTGGCGGGCCTGTTGGTCTAGTGGTTAGTGACCCTGACTGCTAAACCGGAGGTCGTGGGTTCGATTCCCACCCAGGACAAATATTGTGTGATGAGCACGGTCATTTGTTCTGTGTCTGGGTGTAATTTATCTATAATATGTATGTATTTAAAATATATAAGTATGTTTATCAGCGGTCTGGTTACCATAGTACAGGCTCTGCCTAGTTTGAGATCAGACTGCCGTGTGTGAGATGTGTGAAATTGTTATTATTATTATTTTTGCCCTGCGTAGTTTGCTCCCTTATTCGTCTCTTACGACACCTACGCGATGAATAGTGGTGGTGACATTCTGTATTCTGAATCCGTCACCACACGGACTTTTATATTGAAAATATATAAATATTTAAAAAATTAAAAGATTAAAAGCGGGTTGAATTAAGCAACTGCTGACCCAGATCATCACTCCCTCTCCAGACGAACTCCAAACTTCTAGATGTCATTCTCGCCAGTTCATCATCGAAGCTGATAGGGCTGATGAAGTGTCCGTCGAAGCCCATCTGCGCCATCAGAGATGCGAATTCCCTTGAATGTCCAAAGGTATCAGCTTGCCAGGTTACCAGGGGTCTAGCACACTCCAGGAAGGTGGCGTTGAGTTTCCTGAAAGGGACCATTTAATGAATCAAGCCACATGTTCTGATGATGACGTAGTGGTTTAAGCGGTCACCTCGACGCTTCCTACCTTGTTATTTATTTACTAGTTATAATATACATTGTTATCTATACTAATATTATAAAGCTGAAGAGTTTGTTTGTTTGTTTGTTTGTTTGAACGCGCTAATCTCAGGAACTACTGGTCCGATTTGAAAAATTCTTTCAGTGTTAGATAGCCCATTTATCGAGGAAGGCTATAGGCTATATATCATCACGCTAAGACCAATAGGAGCGGAGCACCAATGAAGAATGTTTCCAAAACGGAGAAAATTTACTACTATTGAGAGACGCAGACGAAGTTGCGCGGTTCAGCTAGTTACAGATAAACCAATACAATAAGCAAGACTAGAGCTAGTCAGTACATAATATACAGCCTTTTAACAATTACTATTCTTCTGAGTCTGCGTGTTCTTTGTGTCCGTTTCATGTATGTTTATAAAGTCCCCCGCGACACAGGATATATTCATAGTGCGGGAGTTGTCATTAAAAAAAATCTGCATGAAGATTTGACATTTCTTATTACTTCCTTCATTCCTTAATTATCCACACTCAGGGGTGCTATTAAGTAACTATCCCTTTCCAAAAAAAAGAATTTTCCAAATCCATTTATAAATAACAGAGTTCTGGGTTAAATAAATATAAAAAAACAACCACATGAACACCTTATACGACCTTCAAACCTTCAAGAAAAGAGCGTACTCCTTCCTCTAAGGCTGGCAACGCGCTTGTGACTTCTGAGTTGAAGGCGTTCATGGGCGGCGGTAGTTGCTTTCCATCAGGTGACCCGTCCGCTCGTTTGCTCCCTATTCCATAAAAAAAACACTTTCAAATAGGTTACTTACAGCACTTACAAATCGTTTTTTTGATGAGACTAATCCCTCCCAATGTAACTCCTTTACACTGCGATGAACAGCAGCGACCCACGAACACACTGAGTTATGACACTCGGGAAGTCCAAGGAAAAGTTAATGTCTTAGAACCCGCAACGAAATTTATCAGAGGTAAATTGGAGTTTTTTAATTTTTTATAAGACAACCGCATTAGGAATATATCCTGTGTCGCGGGGGACTTTCCAGACATACATGAACTACACATGGAACGACACTTTGTGTGATCCACAAATTGTCGTTCTGAGTCTGGGTGTTCTTTGTTTCCGTTTCATGTACGTTTGTAAAGTGGTGATATTCCTAATGCGGGAGTTGTCTTTTTAAAAAGATAGAGAGATAGAGATGAAAAGGTCACAAAGAACACCCAGAGTCAGAACAATAATTTGTAGATGACACAAAGTGTTGTTCATGTGGGCATCGAACCCGTAACACTTAACAGCGGCAAGGTCACCGCCTACAACACAAATGCCATTCTTACAGTCAAGGTGGATGTTTAAAGATTGCAATAAATACCTGAGGCCGTAAGTGTAGTGATCGATTATGGCGTGATAATGGGTTGTTGATTCATCACTCATTCCCCAGCCACCCCCTACGAAGAACAGCCTCCCTTGACGAATTAGTTCATATACCATGCGTCGAACTGAAACCAACATTCATCTATAAATCATGAACGAGATCATCAACAATCATTGAGAACGCCAATTCTGGTAATAAAAGTCCCATTAAAATTCAGTTCCTATCAACTCTTGATCTCACATCATCACATCAACAGCCTTTAATAGTCCACTGCTGGACATAAGCCTCTTCCTAGATAGGAGGTTTTGGCCTACTATACCACGCTTGCCAGACGGGTTGGTATAAGGTTTGTGTCAAGTTTTCAACACGGACAACGGTCGTAAAAGGTATTTTCTCAATAAAATTGTAAAGTATTGCTGAGACTAGCGGAATACCGATACAACTATTGGTCACAATTAGAGGATTCGACCGGGTTCCCGAGATCCGGGATCCCGGGATCCCGGTCATATTTTAGTCCCGAAATTTTCGGAATCAATTCTTGATTTGACGTTTTGACAGCCATCTTGTCTACACAGTTGATTTCATTTGTTTTTGCTAACAACCGGTTCTGGATTATGCGTAAAAGTGTGTAATTTATAAAGTTTCTCGACAATTGAATTAAAAAAATATGAGTAGGTATCTATAAACATTGCAAACATCTCTTAAGCATATAGTTTTTTTTTTATAGTTTATCTAAATAAGTCTAAAGAAGTTGATTTTTTGAAGTTTATTGTTAGTTTCATAAATTATTTACCGAAACACAAAACAAACTAGGCGCTAGATTGTTTATTTTATAAGAAGAAAGTATAATTTTGTTTAACCGCCTTTTTGGAGATTAAAAACTTAAATATTCTATGTCCTCACAAAACTAAATGATAAGCAAAAAATATATTTTGATATGTTTTACTGTCTTTTTGTTACCACTTTCCATTGCCAATACAATCCCGGGATCCCGAGATTAACTGTTGATAATCCCGAAATCCCGGGATTATAAAAATCGACCGAGATCGAATCCTCTAGTCACAATACAATATAATCACATTACAGTCGACGTTGAATGTTTAATACTTTACTACGAATATAACTTTTATGCCAGAGTCGGAACTGTATTGTGTTCGAATTTTTACTACAAGAATTGGCCTTCTGTTCTTGATTAGGCCTTGTCAGGTCGGGCAGTCAGCAGACACACACGGTCTTACTTCTTCTTCTCTGTTGATCGACCTGATTGAATTTTTACTTGGAAAAATAGGCCTATTGGTCTAGTGTTTAGCGATCCTGTCTGCTACGTCAGAGATCGTGGGTTTAATGCCCACCCAAGACTAACATATAAAAAAATATCACATCACACATCAACAGCCTATACTAGTCCACTGCTGGACATAGGCCTCTCCTTAGAAAGGAGGTTTTGGCCTACTATACCACGCTGGCCAGACGGGTTGGTATAGGGTTTGTTTCAAGTTTCCGACAGCTTGGTCCGAAGCTGGTGGACACTGCCTCCGCCCTAGGGCGACTGTTGCCCAATTTGGGCGGGGGCAGTGTTCCCACGAGGCGGCTGTACGCGGGGGTTGTCCGGTCCATGGCGCTGTATGGTGCACCGGTGTGGGTGGCGGCTCTGACCGCCCCGAATAGGGCGCGCCTCTGGCGCCCCCAGGGGATATTGGCGGTCAGAGCCATACGCGGATACCGCACGGTGTCCACCGAGGCGGCTTGCACGCTGGCCGGAACACCCCCGTGGGATTTGGAGGCGGAAGTGCTCGCCGAAGTTTATCGGCGAGTGGCTGATTCCGGGCGGAGAGCGGATTTCGCCCTCCGCCCGAAGACGTGCGCGAGTGGCGCGAAGCCGCTCGCCGAGCCACCATGGTCAGATGGTCGTTCCGGCTGGAGACTCCACGCGCTGGCTTCGCCGCCGTGGAGGCTCTCCAGCCGGTCGTCGCCGAGTGGGCAGGGCGGCAGCACGGGACCCTTTCCTTCCGGCTGACGCAGGTGCTTTCCGGGCACGGTTGCTTCGGAAAGTACCTGTACTCGGTCGCTAGGAGGGAATCGAGTCCCGCCTGCCACCACTGCGACTGCAGTGAGGATTCGGCCCAGCACACGCTGGCGGTTAGCCCCGCATGGGCGACGCAGCGCCGGGCCCTCACTGCAGTCATCGGAGCAGATCTCTCGCTACCGGCCGTAATTCGCTCCATGGCCGGTAGCGACGGTTGTTTTACCGCGGTCGCAACCTTCTGCGAGGAGGTAATCTCGCAGAAGGAGGCGGCGGAGAAGGCCCGGGTGGACGACCTCCACTCGGACCTGATCCGCCGCCGGCGGACCGGCCGGCGGAGGCGCGCTTACCTGCGCCTCATGCCGCCCTGAGTGTGGCCGCGGGTGGATGGGATGGGTTCTCCCCTCCACCCGCATTAGTTGGCCAGCCGCGAGGGGGCGGCGTCCGCGTGTGCCGGACGCCGCCTAAAGAGAGGAAACTTTGAGACGGAGCCCGCAACAGGAGCGGGCCGGATGTCTTAACAACAGCTGTTCCCGGATCCCTCCTGTTACAGGCGCACATACATACGAGAAGAGAAGGAAAACTTGACACAAACCCTATACCAACCCGTCTGGCCAGCGTGGTATAGTGGCCAAAACCTTCTTTCTAAGGATGTCTCCTTTCTATGTCCCTTTCTATGTCCAGCAGTGGACTATTATAGGCTGTTGATGAGTTAAGGTGCGTAACAAACAAACACACTTTTACATTTATAATAAAAGTATGGATGTTTATATAGCAATATATGTGCCCGGTTGACATGAGTGGAAAAAAAAACAAAATAGTACAGTCGAATTTTAAAAACTTCTCTTTTTTGAATCGCTTAAAAGCGTGTTAGAAAATACGTTAAAAGGAAGACTTACCAGTTGAATCTCTGTCCTTCCACCAATAAAAGAAATATGTAATGTCGGACAGTGTAAACCTGTAAAATAAAATAATAACATTATTTTACAATCGATCGGTCAACACGACCGAAGTTATACCACAGCCTCACAGAATACCGGTGTTATGCCATTCTTTCTATGTTTTTACCGACTGAATCTAACAGCCCTAAAAAGTTCAACAATAGTCTTTCTACAACTTCGATATCACCTAGTACTTGAGTTGTGGAGGTCTAATAATCTGAACATCTGTAAATGATAAAAAATCGAAGTTATGTCGTATCGAAGTAGACCTTTTTTTTCCGTGCGGAAATCCCCTCGGATACCACCTATCATCGGTGGCATGTCGGACTCGAATCGACTAAAACCGCACGCCGTCTCGGGTACTAATAGCCGGGGAACTAGGTATACCCTAGAAAGGAAGTCCCTGGTGGTATCGAAGTAGACCTAAAGTCGACTCCAACCTACTATACCTAAGTTTGAGAAAAGGCTCGGCTCGACGGCATTAGGTAATATATAAGTATGTTTATCTCCAGTCTGTCTACCACAGGCACTGATTAATTTGGGATCAGACTGCCATATGTGAGATGTATGCAGCTATTGGGATTGGTTGTGGGCTTCGTTTTCCGCATTTAGACTCAAGAGTGGTCCTTTATACGTCGAGGATTGGTTAGCTAGGTGAACCAACCAAGCTCCTTCCAGAATCGCAGAAGCCTCCTGAGGCGTTCACAGGCTTCTAGGAGCGATTTTGTATCAGGAATGATACTTGCCCGTTGTGTGGCCTCTCCCTCGCATTCCAGGACTACGTGGGCGACCGTTTCTTCTGCTTCCAGACATCCCCTGCACAGAGGGCTGTCTGTCGCATTGATGATGAATAGGTGTCGGTTCAAGGCTGGGTATGTGTGAAGCTAATCTAAAAATAACTTACGTTCGTGCGCTGTCAGTCCACAAACTCGTTATCACCGAGTCCAATATATTTTTCATATTAATATCTGATGTCGTAAACATCTGAGATCCATCTATAAAAAAGAAGCAAGTTGTTGTAAGTTTTAGTTTTGTTTTTTTTCCCGACTGCGTTATGAAGGTAATTTTTGACGTGACAACGTCTTATAATTCGATGGAGCCGGCTGCACGCACGAAAAAACATGACTCATGCGACGTTACCTCGCTCTGAGGCGTTCCATTTAAGGCGTGAAGGGCAAGCGAGAGCGCGGAACGAGTGACAAAGAGGCACAATCGGCCTCCGCGTTCGGCAGCGTTCGACATCTGTCTCTCTCCTACTTGAGTGAGCGATGCGTCCGCGTGGACAGCTGCTACTCGTATACAATAATACATTTTTGAAAAAATGCAACCATTCCATCAGTTTTCTTATGACGTTGTCACGTTCAACTATCGTCAGTAAACCGACTTTACAGACAACCGATTTTTTTAAGTGAAAACTTCTTTTGGCAGTTGGGCATTTTCTGAGATGGGGAAAAACAATTGAAGTCGCGTTACTGTTACCGTTACCGACACCTCTGTACACTCGTATAAGTGTTTAAGTTTTCACTTCTATCGGCTCTCCCGAAGTGCCACTGTGTTTTTTCGTGTGTATGTATATTTCTTTGATACGCTCTATTGCTTAAACGGCTTTTTGGATGTTGACGTTTATGTGAAAACAATAAAAAAGAAAATGGTGGATTTTGGCGCCAAAGTATATGCTTTTTTGTGTGTTAGAGGGGGCAGACGAGCAGACGCGTCACCTGATGGAAAGTCACTATCGCCGCTATCTATCTATGTTTAAATATTTCAAGGCAACGAGAATAGCAGTAGAGAATAAAAAAGATATAAAATTCTTGCTAACTGGCTGTACCCTGCCAAGTTTCGCTGCGGTACATTGTGTTTACATTGATGAAAAATGTGAAACAAAACTGACGAAAACCATCTTAGAAGCATGTTGTGTATCGTGTCAAAATTTGAGATGAATCGATGCAGAACTTTTTGAGTTTAACATTTTCATATATATATAAATTATGTTTCGTCACAAACCTTAGGCAGTAATCATAACTCTGGACAGCTGTACTTACCGCCAGTGAAGTGCTCCAAGAACGTTCTAGAACCGCCGAGCTCTCCGTGGGTAGAAGCGACAATATGTACGTTGAGATAATCAGGTTTTGTCTGCGGACAAGACTGCGAAACAACAAATTATAATTATTTCTAGCTTTTGTCCGTGGCTTCGCCCGCTTGTATTTCGGTTATAAAGAAACCTATGTCATTCCTCAAGAATCAAAGTACCTCCATGCTAACATTTAATTCAAATCGGTTCAGCGGTTTAGCCGTGAAAGCGTAATAGACAGAAAGAGTTACTATCCCATTTATTTTTACCTACCTCGTTATATATTTGATTTTCCGTCAATTCGATTGCCGGTTACAAGTTTTAGAAGCAGAAAATTAAGACGATACGGACATCTGGTAGATGTTAAACATCGAAACTATTTTGTAAAAATATCATCATCATCATCATCAACAACTTACTTTACTAGTCCACTGCTGGACATAGGCCTCTTCTTAGAAAGGAGGTTTTGGCCTACTATACCACGCTGGCCAGACGGGTTTGGTATAGGGTTTGTTTCAAGTTATCCTTCTCTTTGCAGTGCTGTTATCCTGCGTAGTTTGCTCCCTTAGTCGACTCTTACGAAACCCACGGGATAAACATAAATTATAAATAAATGATAAATGATATTTATTTCTGTAAGTAAATCTTTTCAGATATTTTTACAAGTCGGACTTTACAGCTAGGAGCCGGCATTTCCTAAGACTCACGCTGGGAAGAAACGCCGAAACAAACTACAGAGGTGTCTCTTTTTTTTAAGTCCGTAAACTAAGTTAAATAAAACTGTGTGTACAGTATACGGTCTGGGTAGGCCTCTTGAAGAAAGGACCATAGTTTTGAGTCGGTCTGTCCATACAGACGGCATTCAGGCTCCAGCTATCGTGTAGCCTAACTGAAATTGGTCAAGATCAACGACCCGAAGCATGACAATACCGCCAGCAGGACGGTAGGCCGTCGAAACACTCAAAACCACCAGAAAGTTACTAAAATATGAATTAACATTACAAGCCTACATAATACTAACATTTACATACAACAGGGGTGGTGACACTCTGTATTCTTAATACACACGGATTACATAAGTGAGATCCGATTAAGAATACGGAGTGCCACCACCCCTGTTCATCCCGTGGATGTCGTAAGAGACAACTAAGGGAGCAAACTACGCAGGACAACAGCACTGCAAAGAGAAGGAAAACTTGAAACACTCCCTATACCAACCCGTGTGGCCAGCGTGGTATAGTAGGCCAAAACCTCCTTTCTAAGGAGAGGCTTTGTCCAGCAGTGGACTGTTAAAGGCTGTTGATGAACATAAGTGAGAGTAAAACTTTAGTTGGCATCTAAAACGCTCCTGTCTACCCCTTTCAGGAATAAAGATGTACTTACCTCATATCCACAAGCTTCTCCGTACTCCACAATCGGCGTCAACAGATTTTTGCTAACTGCATCAAGAGCCGTTATCACCGTTGTACATATTAATTTTATTATCAATATATACCAAATCATCATAAACCTACAATCATACAAACATTTGATAAGAGAAAGGAGTTATTTATAAAAGAGAGAGAGAGAAATGAGGTAATCCGCGAATTGACGATATGTTTAAAAGTTGAAAATAATTACTAAATACTAGAATAACATAAATAAAGATAAGATTATTACTAGTTTTTTTTACTTTTTATTAAGAAAAATAGTGGGTATTAAAGACACTTTTATGTAGAGAAGTTGACAGATACAAAAGGAAATGACGACCGAAAAAAAGATGGCTGAACCTTGTAAAAGATTGAACTGACGAATGGTAAAGAAGAAAATACAATGCTAATACTCTTAATTAGTACTTCTGTTCTGTTCTTCTGTTCATTAATTTCACATAGAATGTTATGTAATTTCACAAATACACGAACTGTTTAAGAAAGAATTCACTTTAATATTATGAATCGTTAGCTCTCTATGCTGTCGTTATAACTGATGTTTAAAACACTTTATATTGTTTTAAATAATGTCCGTATTGTTTATTATTGTTTACAAACAAATATTATGTTGACTATATGACCTCTTGTTTACAGAGTTCAATGTTGATTGAACTCAATTGCTACGGATGTAAACATATCAGAATACACAAAACGACGGCCCTGTTGGTTTATTCCCAACCTTTCCCGTCACCCCGGGGTGGTGTGTCGGAATCGGACCGACTAAAACCACACGGTGTGCCACTCTACGCCTGTAATAGGAGGGATCCGGGAACTGCGGTTATTAAGACATCCGGATCCCTTCCTAAGCCCTAGTCTTATTCCCAACTAACCCTTTTTTTTTTAACGTGTGGAAATCCCCTCGGACCGTCACCCCTCCGGGGTTTGCGGCGGGGTGGTGTGTCGAACTCGCACCGACTAAAACCACACGGTGTGCCACTCTGCGCCTGTAACAGGAGGGATCCGGGAACAGCTGTTGTTAAGACATCCGGACCCCTCCTAGCGCAAGCCCGCTCCTGGTGCGGGCTCCGTCTCAATGTTTTTCCTCTCTTTATAGGCGACGTCCGGCACACGCGGACGCCGCCCCCTCGCGGCTGGCCAAACTAATGCGGGTGGAGGGAAAACCCACCCCGTCCACCCGCGGCCACACTCAGGGCGGCATGAGGCTGTGATAGGCGGGCCTCCGCCGCCCGGTTCGCCGGCGGCGGATCGGGTCCGAGTGGAGGTCGTCCTCCCGGGCCCTCTCCGCCGCCTCCTTCCGCGAGATTACTACCTCGCAGAAGGTTGCGACCGCGGTAATTCCCAACTAACCCAAGCCAACCCTATTTTGTTTCCCACTCATGGCGGATAATTTTGTGATGAGCACGACCATTTGTTTAGTGTCTGAGTATAATTTATCTATAACTATCTGTTGCCTGAGGCCTGAGTCGGTTATCGCGGTAGCCTATGTCCTTCCCCACGACTCAAACTATCTCCACACGAAATTTCATGTAAATCGGTTCAGCGGTTATTGATTCCCTATACCAAACTTCCACCTCCCCCCCTTTGAACCCCTTTAAAGTATGATTTCTGGGTTAAAAATAAGGTATGTCCTTTAACGGGACTTAAACAATCTTTGTACCATTGGTCTAGTGGTTTAAGCGTGAAGAGTTAACAGACAGGCAGAGAGACAGACAGACAATTTTGCATTTATAATATACGTGTGGATATGTGTGTATTTAGAAATATATAAGTATGTTTATTTATAAACTAGCTGGTTGAATAGCGCTGCCTTAGTACGGTACGCGATTACAGTTGATTAGGCATTGGGTTCGATTTCCGGACCGGGCAAAGTTTTATAGGGTTTTTCTGAGAGGAAAAATAGTCTACCCTCCTCCTTATATAAACGGCAACCTAATAGTAAAATATTATTGAAATCGGTCCACCCGTTTTGAAGATGACCCGAGCAAACAGGCAGACGGACAGACAAATAATATTTAATAGTTTTAGGCATAGATATCAAATCAAATAATTTATTTTGCGAACATTTGTATATAGGGTATATATATTAAGGCGTTAATAAAGGTACTTGGAAAACAATAAGCAGCCACATTCAAGGCATGCAAATCGTGGTATAGTGTAAATAACCGTGTGACCATGAAATTCTATTATTTTGACATTACAAACCGACACTTCAATGTTGTTTATTTGTATTCTTTCTTCTCTTGGGTCCGTGTGGTGACGGGTTAAGAATACAGAGTGTCACCACCCCTATTCATCCGAGGGTGTCGTAAGAGCCGACTAAGGGAGCAAACTATGCAGAACAACAGCACTGCAGAGAAAAGGAAAACTTGAAACAACCCGTGTGGCCAGTGTGGTATACTAGACCAAAACCTCCTTTCTAAGGAGAGGCCTATGTCCAGCAGTAGACTATTAAAAGCTGTTGATGTGATGTGATGTGATGATATTCTTTCTTCTTCCTAGTAGATCCCTCACTGCTGAGGATCGTGACTCCCTTTCATCCTGTCAACCATCTGTTTCCATCGGCTGCGATCAGTCACTTGGTGGAGATACTTATTGGCATTTCTAGCTGCTTTTTCATGGTTTAAAGGGTCAAACGAGCAGACGGATCACCTGATGGTAAGCAACTACCGCCACCCATGGACACCTGCAACTCAAAAGTCACAAGTGCGTTGCCGCCCTTTCAGTCCCTCTCGCTGGAGTCAGTGGGAGGCGGGATTTAGGCTCCGGTAACCTCACTCAGTGAAAGGCAACGAAAGAATTGCTTAACACCGGTTTTCTGTGAGACCGTGGTATCACTCCGGTCGAGCCGGCCCATTCGTGCCGAAGCATGGCTCTCCCACGTGAAAAACTATTCAGCGATCTGGTCTGATCATCTTCTGGGTCTTCTACATTTATTTGTATAGATATATAGATATATGTGCTCGTTTGACGGCGATAGCCTTACCCACTATCGGGTAATTACGAATATAATCAGCAAAATATAAACGTTTCATACGATTGTATCCAGTGTCCACCCCCATGGAAAAAAACGTGAGTACATGTGTGTGAGCAAAGGACAATAGCATACATGTATGGGATTTGTACCACCCTGCGTACCTCATATTCAACAGCCTATAACAGTCCACTGCTGAACAAAGGCCTCTCCTTAGAAAGGAGGTTTTGGCGTACTATACCACGATGGCCAGACGGGTTGATATAGGGTTTAGGGTATGGTGGCGGATTAAGAATACAGAGTGTCACCACCCCTATACATCCCATGGGCTTCGTATCAGCCGACTAAGGGAGCAAACTATGCAGAACAACAGCACTGCAAAAAGAAACAACCCGTCTGGCCAGCGTGGTATAGTAGGCCAAAACCTCCTTTCCAAGGAGAGGCTTATGTCCAGCAGTGGACTATTAAAGGCTGTTGATGTGATCATATAGGCTGTACCACAAGAGTAACACAAGTGACCGTATGTACTTATAAATGTTTATCTCAGAGGAATTTGAAAACCGATATTAATCTTTACAAACAATACTTAATAGTGTTTTAAACATTGTTACTTGTATAATAAACAGAAGAGACGATAAATTATCTGTTTCGTATTTAAATAAACTCAGTTTTAATTTCGTGTGCTGTCAGTGATGTGTCAAAATTATATTTAAAAAATATCAATGTTAATTTAATTTTAAGTTAAGTTAATTTAATTTAATTTGTAAATTTCTTATTAGCAAATAGTACTTTTGTTAAATACAACCGCCGTTAAAAATAACAAAAAACGTGTGAAGTGTATGTCGGGTCATACAGTGTAGGGTTCTTTAGTTGATGATTCTTTACTTTAAATAAGTTATTTTTACGATTTTTTTCAAATATTTAAAAGGAATAAGTTGGGCGACTATTAATTTAAATTGGCAATTTAAAGTTTATTATCTCGCAAACGGATCATTCCCCCCCCCCCCCTCCCCCCCCCCAATGGTTTTTAAATACCTGTCCAGCGATAGCCTACACTAAGGGATAGTTAATGAAAACAAATCATCCCCAGTTTATACGTAAAAAAACGTTTATTTGATTTTGATTTTATTTTGCCACTTGGTCACCATGCAAAATTCTATTCCATTAAGCTACAGTCATTTTAACAAAATACACTGTTGAGCAATGAATCCAGGTCACATAAAGAAACCAGAAAATCACGGCAACTAAGAATACTAGCGAAGTGAAATAAATTTTATTTAATATACAATCAAAAATTTACATAAAGATTAATCAATTTTATCTTAAACAGAAATTTAAAAACACCATTTTGTTCTGTATCTGTATTTATATAAATAGTGGAGACCTGTTAGCGGTCCATGGATTCACCGCGCGGATGCCGCCTTGGACTTGCTACCCAGGAGTGGGTTTAGGGAATACTCCATGCAACATCTCAACTAAACTGTCTGCTGTCTTAGACCGTCTACCTAACCTTATCTTTTATTTCTTTCAATAATCTAGCATTATTAGTTTCCGAGATACAACACATATCTATGTGACCCGCACCATTGCTCTCGAGTGCACTTAAACATTTCCAACCACATTATCTCTTTTCTGTGATTACGTAGTGAGTGTCGAATTCATGATGTGGGGTAGCAAAATATTTACAATATTAATAATCTCTACTTCTGTATGGTGCCTTGATAATATTACGGTAGATCTTCTGACTCCTGTAGCTGAGTTTGGAGAGGCTTGTGGATATCAGGTAAGTCCATGATCTTATCTTCTTTATCTTCTTCTAAAAGAAGGTCCTAAATTCAATTGAATTATTGTTGCGCGATAGGATTAAATGGTTCGATTGTATGGAATGTGGAGGGCAGCGCCATCTAGTATCGACTAAAGTACATCTATTAAGATAGTGGTTAATACGAGTAGTTTTGATCCTTATAGCGCTAGATGGCGCTGCAAGTAACGCGTGACTGATTCTGGAATATTCGTGTTTGTCTGGAACGGACTGTCGAATACTAGGAACTTTCTAGTAAAATTCAAAAGCGCTATAAAAAAGGATCGTGTTGGCCGTTCGACACAGTATCGTTTTACGACACAGCGAATTAACATCGGAGTGAATTTCTAATGCGACTAGCGAGTTATATAGTGATTCCTAGTTTATTACAGTGAGTGTTTGTAAATGCAGTGCAAAAACGTAATTAACCGACAACTTTTATTCATTATATACCCCGCTCGTAACATTGTTTAACTTGTCAAGCCAGCGTCTAGGCCAAAACCTCCTAAGAAGAGGCCTATGGCCAGCAGTGGACTAGTAAAGGCTGTTGATGATAAAAGAAGGAACTGATAGACTGATTAACTGACTGATCGACCAACGTAGAGCTGAAACCGTTGGGTATATATGGGTGGGTGGGAAAGCATGTAATTTTGAATTAAGAAAGGATTTTTCAAAATTCCACCCCTAAGGGTGCAAAATGAGGGATGGAAATTTATATGAAACTTTTTGGTAGTAGCGTTTTCAAACTTACAGTAAATACTCTTTATTAAAAGTATTAAAAATAGTTGTTACTTATGTTAAAAAACTATCCTTAATAAGGGGTGGATATTTGTATGGATAATATACTTGTAATCTTGATTCATTATATCTTCTACGATGTCTGCTTTTGACCACTACGCGGACGAAATCGTGGTCAAAAGTTAGTTATGCATTATTGAGATGATTCTCATATGTTATTGCTACTTTTAAATCATATGCTTTTGAGGCAATGACTGGTTTTAGTCACAGCGATTTCACACGCGATTGTGTTTTCGTCATGGACCAAGATATGTGTTATTAAAATCAATCAAAATTCTTTTTTTTTAAGATTTAGACCTTTCGCGAGTCTTACTCTAGTGTAATAATAATAATTATGTTATTCAGATGTGAAGAAATTATTTTTAAATCAAATTATTGAACCCAACAGGCTTGCCCGATTATTCAGCCGAACTTCCTGAATGTCCACGTTGTTCCTGCAACCCATGCCGAGTTGGCTGGTCACATGAATTTCTACCAGTTCTATGAAGGCGGTGAGTTAACTAAACGATTAATCAACGCAGAACCCAAACCGCTTTGGCTACAAACTTGATATTTTGGTAGCTGATGGTTCTTTATGTTGTAAACACCCACTGAGTAAGAATATTTGAAAATTTCACCCCTAAGGAATACATTAAGGAATAAAGATTATACATAGTTTATTACAAATCGTCATGATAAAGAAACATAACGTGATACTGAAATACATGTCAATCTGTAATAAAATATTATACCTACCCGTCTGGCCAGCGTGGTATAGTAGGCCAAAACCTCCTTTCTAAGGAGAGGCCTATGTCCAGCAGTCGACTATTAAAGGCTGTTGATGTGATGTGATGTGAATTAAATATTAACTACATGAAATATTATTTTGACCTATCCATGTGGTGACGGATTAAGAGTACGGAGTTTCACCACCCCTATTCATCCCGTGGGTGTCGTAAGAGATGACTAAGGGAGCAAAATACGCACGACAACAGCATTGCAAAGAGAAGGAAAACTTGACACAAACCCTATACCAACTCGTCTGGCCAGCAATCCATTCAGCTTTACAATCGGGTAAACAAGGAGATATACATACATTCTAAACCACGTTATGAATGTAAAAGAACACTAATAAAATGGTTAAAATCACTTACTTATGAAGAAACTGAGGCATACTTGCAATCCAAATAAACACACATATAAACACACACGAACACACACACGCACACACACACAAACACACATTTATACATACATATATCAACTACCCATCTCAACATGTACTGGCCCCTTTATAATATTATTTATGTATATGTATTGAAGTAAGTTTGTAAGAATCAAATGAACATAATCGTGTACCAAGTATGTTACAATTATGGTATGGAAGAGCGGAGTCTCCTAATACAGGCATCATTTGCTTAAAGGGAAGCTCCAATCACGAATATTTTTATACTAATTTTTGGTAACGAAATAAAACATTTTGTATTTTTGTTTTTTGGCCAGCGTGGTATCACATCACACATCACATCAACAGCCTTTAATAGTCCACTGCTGGACATAGGCCTCTCCTTAAAAAGAAGGCTTTGGCATACTATACCACGCTGGCCAGGCGGGTTGGTATAGGGTTTGTGTCAAGTTTTCCGTCTTTTTGCAGTGCTGGTGTCCTGCGTTGTTTTGCGCCCTTAGTCGGCTCTTACGACACCCACGGGATGAATTGGGGTAGTGACATTCCGTATTCTTAATCCGTCACTACACGGTATAGTATAGTAGGCCAAAACCTCCTTTCAAAGGAGAGGCCTATGTCCAGCAGTGGACTGTTAAAGGCTGTTGATGATGACAGTTCATTAATATGTTAGCGCTTTGTTGTCTTAATACTATTTTAAAATTTAATTCTTAAATACCGCCTCTGTTTGTTTACAGATGAAAGTTTACCGTTTCAGTATGAAAACGGTATATATGTGAAGAATATTTTTGATTCGGTTATAACCAGCCTTTGGAGTGACCCGAAGAGAACGTAAGACATCTTTTTTTTTTAATAAAACAACTCCAGCACTAGAAATATATCCTGTGTCGCGGGGGAATTTACAAACATACATGAAACGGACACCCAGACTCAAAACAACAATTTATAGATCACATAAAGTGTTGTTCCAAGTGTGGTGACCGCTTAAACCAATACGCCATTCGTGTAGTCTAAGTTTTATACAAACATACATATCATTCACGCTTTTACCCCAACAGGAGATAGCAGAGGCGTTTTAAACGGCCACATTTCACCGACTAATTTTTGTCCTATTTATATGATATTGCCCGCTTATTGCCGCTCAGCACTTTAAGGATCAGATGAGTTTATTTAAAGTGTGTGGTGACGGATTAAGGATACTTAGTGTCACCAACCCTATTCAACCTTCCTCCCCCCCCTTGTGGGGGGAAGTCACTCTAGTGCTAGTGCCAGTTTTTCTTCCATAACATAAAAAAATCCTATTCTATCTATTGATATTTGTAGAAATTTAATGTCATTTTTTAATGATTAATATTTTTACGTGTATGTAATTTATCGCGATAATATAGCCTATTTCCTTACTCAAAAACAAACAATCTATTCTTTTCAAAACCAAATTTTATTTAAATCGGTTAAGCGGTTATTGATTCCCAATGCAAAGTTCCACCTCCCTTTCACTTTAATTTCTGGGATAACAACTATCCTATGTCCTTTCCCAGGACTCAAACTCTCTCTATAAACGTGGGGATCAGTAATTGGCTTGCTGTTGCAACCTCTGCGCTAAGCAAACTTGTCAAAGCTGTTGGTCCTCCAAATTATAAATAAATAAATACCAAATTTAATCTAAATCGGTTCTGCAGTTTAAACGTGAACAGGTAACAGACAGCCAGACACACTTTTGTAATATTAGTAATACCGGATAAATACCGCCTTACACTTGTATATCTGTCGAAGGCGTAGGCAGAGGCATAACCAAACACCAACTACTCGTACCAATTCTTTTGATTATACACACCAAGACAGATTTCAACAAATAATATTTGTTATTGCTTCATCAACAGCCTTTTATAGTCAACTGCTGGACATAAGCCTCTCCTTAGAAAGGAGGTTTTGGCCTACTATACCACGCTGGCCAGACGGGTTGGTATAGGGTTTGTGTCAAGTTTTCCTTCTCTCTGCAGTGCTGTTGTTCTGCGTAGTTTTTTCCCTTAGTCGGCTCTTACGACACCCATGGGATGAACAGGGGTGGTGACACTCTGTATTCTTAATCCGTCACCACACGGGCCTTTTTATTGCTATATTGACCTTGTTTTTGCTTGTAACATTTAAACTAAAATTTTGTTTCAGATTTACGTTGTCAGATATGCCTTATTTCTTTCAATGGTGGAAAAATAGGGATGCTACTGGTAAGTGGTTCTAAATCTACATATATCTATGATAGAAGGAACTGACAGACTGGTGGACTGACTGATCGTGGATCAACGTACAGCTAAAACCGCTGGGTCTAGAAGCCAGGTACGGGCCAGGTACCGCAGGCGACTCAGGCGCCGGAGGTCGCAGAACGACCTCGGTCCTACATAAGCGCAGGCCTGGGGGTGACAGGTGAGGCCATCTGTCTCCCTAGCAGAAGCAGGCAGGGGTGGCGGCGAGCGCGTTGCGAAGCGCGCTCGCTTCCAGGGAGCAGAGGGAACATGGGGTTCCCACACGAGGGGGGTCGTCTACTTGTTGTAGATGTCCCGAGGTATGTCGGGGCACCAGGGACTTCCTTTCTAGGGTATACCTGGTTCCCCGGCTATTAGTACCCGAGACGGCGTGCGGTTTTAGTCGGTTCGAGTCCGACATGCCACTGATAGGTTGTATCCAAGGGGATTTCCGCACAGGAAAAAAAAAACAAAAAGGGTCTAGAAACATGAAATTTTGCACAAATGTTCCTTAGGTGACGTAGGTGCGTACTAAGAAAGGATTTTTTAAAAGTCCACCCTTAAGGGTGCATAATGGGGGTTGAAAATTTAAATGAGCGTTTTTAAACTTGCAGTAAATACTCTTTATAAAAGGGAATGAAAAATGTTGTTACAATTATTTCAAAACTACCCTTAAAAAGGTTTGCAAGTTTGCATTTTACATATACACTAGCTGACCCGGCAAACGTTGTATTGCAAAACAACAAAAAATTAGGGATGGGTCACCCTTACCATTTAGGGGTATGAAAAATAGATGTTGGCCGATTCTCAGACCTACCCGATGTGCACACAAAATTTCATGAGAATCGGTCAAGCCGTTTCGGAGGAGTACGGGAACGAACATTGTGACACGAGAATTTTATATATAGGTATATAATTCTTCTGTGAGTGTGTACGAGTATGTCACTGAACTTCTCTCAAACGACTGGACCGATTTTGATGAAATTTTTTGTGTGTGTTCAAGGAGATCTGGGAATGGTTTAGATTCACAATTTTATCCGCTGGACAATGTTTTTTTAATTAATTTTTAATTTATTAGTAGTTGTTGATTTTGGAATGTTTACATTGGATCAGACAGACGGCGCTACCATCGCAGTGTCAAATTTGACAGGACAACGTCTGTCGGGTCCGCTAGTATTTTATATAAGATATAATCTTGACTCATTGTATCCTCTACGATGTCTGTCTGTAGACCACCACACGGATGAAGTCGCGGGTAAAAGCTTGTACATGGATATTACAGATAAATGAAACCCAGACACAGAAGAATTGAAGAAGTATATGATTCCAAATAAAAAAGTACTTCTGAAATCATAAAAGAAACATCGGATCTGAGGCAACAAACATAAAAAAATACGACCGAATAGAAATCCTCCTATTTTTTACTAAGTCGGTGAACCGACTTCAAAAATGAACTTCACATTCACGCAGCAAAGGCTTTAGGTCGTTTTTATGTGTTTTAACATGTTTTAGTCCGCCGCATGGTCTACCAACTTATCCGACAAGGAAGACTGTACTTCGTAGGTGGGGGTTGGGGGATGAGTGATGAAGCTTCAGCCCACTATCACGCTATCATCGATCACTACACTTACGGCCTCAGGTAAGAACAGGACATCACTAGGACTTCCTGACAATGGCTCCAGCTGTTCTTTTTCATATTTTTTTTTTGCTTTCTTACAATAACCTCAGACATATCACACACGGCTGCCTGATTCCAAACTAGACAGATCCTGTACTATGGTAACTAGATTGATTATAAACATACATAAATATTTCTAATTACATACATATTTTAGATAAATTACACCAAGACACAGAACAAATGATCGTGCTCACCACATAAATATTAGTCTTGGGTAGGAATCGAACCCATGAGGTCTGACTTAGCAGTCAGGGTCGCTAACCAGTATACCAACAGACCCGTCAAATTAATAAATGTGTAGGAACAGCTTAATGCCCCTTCAAAATAAAGGGAGGACCCTTCGACTAGGTGAGGTGATCATGTCTGTGATTATGGGCCAATTACTATGGCAGAAAATTCCAATGATTTTCGACTCAGAATTATGGTCTGAATACACTATTTCAGTATTCGTTACGATGTCCCTTACACCCTGTGTATGATGGCGTTATGCCCGAACGTACATACATTTAAAAAATAATAGGTCTTTACCTATGAAATTGCCGTTTTGTATGCAATAAGTGAAAGTACTTATTTTTTCAAACTTTTTTATTTCTGTTATTCGAAGTAATCACCCATGCAATCGACGCATCTTTGCCAACGCATTGGCAGTTTATTGATGCCCTTCTTGTAAAAATCGGTAGGTGCAAGGTCTGGTGAGTATGGCGGATGAGGGAGAGCTTCCAACCCCAACTCTTGCAGGTTGGAGACTGTCTTTGTCTTTTTGAAGTCGGTTAAAAAAATAACAAACGAAACCGGCTGGCAAAAACTAGTATGAAAATAACTGTTGTTTTGCAGAAAACTCAACGCTACCTTCCTGGAGTGCGGTAGACCCCTGGTCACCTGGCAATCTGATACCTTCGGACACTCAAGAGAATTCGCATCTCTGATGGCGCAGATGGGCTTCGACGGACACTTCATCAGCCCTATCAGCTTCGATGATGAACTGGCCAGAATGAGATCTAAAAGTTTGGAGTTTATTTGGAGAGGGAGTGATGATCTGGGTGAGTATCTTCATTTATCGTATCAGGTCTGATTGTTTTGACAGCGTGATATAAACTTGAAATAAATCCTTTGCTTGGTGGTCACTACTCAAAGGCTCAGTAAGTTAAGTTGAACGTGGTAGAGTCATGTTTACCAGCAGCAGGAGTGAGACCACAGCATCACAGAAAACTGGTGTTGAGTCAAAGAGTGAGTAAGGTTATAGAAGGCGTAGCTCAACTAACCAATCCAAACTCCCCTGGTTAGATTGGGCCTCCTCAATTACAGAATACAAACCTGTCTTAAGTAATTTCCATTATTAATCAATTAGAACTTTAACATATGAACGTCCTGTAACTAACATAGTCAAGCGACTGCCCGAAAGACACCTAGTTCAGGCCGTTTGCAAAATAATTTGTAAAATAATGATTTTACCTTTTTTAGGGTTCCTCAAAAGGTAAAAAAGGAACCCTTGTAATATCACTTTCTTGTCCGCCTGTCCGTCTGTCTGTCTGTCCGTCTGTCCGTGTGTCACCAACGGTTTTCTTAGGAACGGGTAGACCTAGCAAGTTCAAATTTATACCAGATACTGAGGTATATGGTCCCTATTAGGTGTATATAAATCAAGGTCCTGAGTCAACACGATAAAAAGACATGGGCAAATTTTGATTTTCGCGAAAACTTGTAACAAAATTTACCCTAATTTTCAACTTTTTTTTTGAGAATTTTCTCTTTACTTGTGTTGCTTTTAACCAAAATTGACAATTCCAGTTCCCGTTGACCTAGAATTACGAAATTTGGCAAAAAGAAACGTCTTACAGCACAAATAAAGGAATAATTCTAAGAAATAAAAAAAGGTTAAAATTTAGATAACATTTGGTACCTACTTACAAATTTTCGCGAAAATCTACGTAATATCTGGGTAGGTACGGAACCCTCGGCGCAGGAGTTCGACTCGTACCTGAGTGGTTTTTTTTTTCATTTACTCTTGCACGTTTTAGAGTAGTCATATACTAGTTTTATATTAGCTTTAGTAACAAACTTTATGTAAGAATCCGATGACAATAAGATGTAAATCATATGCAAAATGTAACTACCATCTTATTCTGATTCTGCAAATAAATTTTATTATATTTTCTTTTTTTTTCTTTGATTTCTGGGAATCGTTTAATAATAATGCAGGTTGGCATAGGACAATACGTTCTAAACCGATACGCATAGGATCGGAAATTAATTGTCTTGCTTAAATTTGTAGCGAATTTGAAGCTGACGGTTCTCGTAGGGATTGGAAATTGCTGGAATGTTCCTTTACGAGTATTATAAATACGGACACGCCTTCGTTGGAGTCAGTTAAGTTTGTTTGAGCTACAGTAGCCAAGTGAATAGTAATAACCTACGTATTCTAGAGTCCACAGTACATAATATGGATTTATGTAATATAGTACAAAATCTCGTCAATATTTTCCAGGAGCTGAGTCAGATATCTTCACCCACAAACTCTTTGACGGGTACTGGTCTCCTCCAGGGTTCTGCTTCGGCCTTGAATGCAATGACCCGCTTATTGTGACTACAGACTACCAGTTCAACAACGTTATAGACAGAGTGAGTGTATGGAGAGAGAGAAAAGAGAGATCACAGCATCTTTTTTACTATACAGAGTGGTGTTTTCCATATTTCCATACTAATATGTATGACGGGGTAGTACGATCATTATCCTCAATAGGACCCATAGTTCCTCACTAACTGCGGGCGTTGATGGGGAATGTTGGAGCAACGAAACAATTTAGTTCACTTGATTAAATTATAATGTCCAATGAATTCACAATGTAGAATATTACAAATAGACACACGACTATAGCTAAATACGTACATCGCCAGGAACGCGTGACGGTTTAAATATACGACCGCTCGATCCGACTGCCACACAACAAGTGCGCCGTTCGGCCTTTCAACACTGACTCCGTCAAGCGCCAACAGGTGGCGCTGGCGTTTCGGATATGACGTAATTGCGACATATATAATAAATATGTTTGAAAGTCCACTGTACCAAAGCCTCTGTACGATTTTGCAGGATACTGATGATCAGTTTTTTACTCGTTCCAGGTCGTAGAGTTTGCTAAGCTGATGCAGGTCCGCCAAGGTCCTTACTACACAACCAATAACATTATGGTGATTATGGGACAAAGAATGGGATACTTTGATTCACACGTTTGGTTCGCAAATATTGACAAGTTGATTATGTAAGTATTCAGGTATTTTTATGGTATAAGGGTTAAACAATGGGTCGCCTGGAGTCAAGCGATTACCGACATCCGTAGTTATGTGCAATTCAAGAGATTTAAGTGCGTTACAGCCTCCCTTTCTCAAAAATTGAGGGGGGAGGTTGAGTTGATTGCTATGTCTTTTAACCCGTGGTATCACTCCAATTGAGTTAGTCCATATGTGTCTTAGCTCGCTTATCCCTTGGCATATCATTAATCATCATCATAATTTTAACCCCCGACGGAAAACGAGGAGTGTTATAAGTTTAACCTGTGTATCTGCGTATCTGTGTATCTGTCTGTGGCATCATAGCTCCCGAACGGATGGACCAATTTCAATGCGGTTTTTTTCTGTTCGAAAGCCGATGTGATCGAGATGGTTCTTTACTATAAATTTTGAAGATCATCAGCTCACTTCCTAGGTGATGAAGGGATCACACTAAAATCCAAAAGGTCCGATTGATCTGAAATATGGTATACAGTTACTTTGATGGTATTTTCACGACATGGTATCCTGGAATTAGCTGCTGCATCAAGTAGTCTGCGGGATAGCCAATTCCTCAGGCGATTACAGAATATATACCATGTTTGGGCTTTATAAAGTTTTTTTTATACTGTGTTGTTCATTAAAGAAAAATGACACAATACGAAAACGCTGACACTGTTATTATTAAAAAATGACTTCTCTTGACTGAAAGATTTATCAACGTAGCCCCTAAACCGCTGGGGCTACAAACTTGACATTTTGGTAGCTGCCCGACCTACCTCGAGCCATCTACGGCGTGTAGATGACTCCCTCCTGCGGGGAAACCCCATGTTCCCTTTGTTCTCCGGAAAGGGCGCGCGCGCTCCGCAACGCATCTCGCCGCCACCCCGGCCTGCTTCTGCTAGGGTGACAGATGGCCTCACCTGTCACCCCAGGCCTGCGCTTATGAAGGACGGATGTCGTTCCGCGAGTTGGAAATTTCACCCCTAGAAACACGAAATAAAATAATAATCACGCGATTTCCAGGATATTATTTGAATACTGCTCATTTTCAATTTGACCGAAGTCATCACGTATAGCTTCTGTAAGACTCGTTTGGTTTACTTACAGGGGTGTAAACCAAGCAAGGCCGAAGAAGGGACTTCGGTTGCGTCTGACATACTCCACTCCTGCCTGCTATTTAAAGGAAGTTCAAAAGGCTGAGTAAGTAGATTAAAACGACACAAAAAACTTCTTGGTTTTTAAGACAAAGGCCATTTGGTACAGCAGGGAGACTTGGTAGTCAGGATAACTTCTAGAACAATTGACTTGACTGCTGGATGGTGTAGTGGTTTAAACGGTCTGAGTGTTGTGGCTTCTACTCACAAGGGACAACACTTTGTGTTATCCACAAATCGTTGTTCTGAGTCTGGGTGTTCGTAGTGTTCGTTTTATGTATGTTTGTAAAGTCCCCCGCGACACAGGATATATATATATATATATTTTACATAAATTCCTCATGCGGTAGTTGTCTTTGAAATAAAGAAAGAAAAATAATACTTTAAAAAAAACAAAAACACGCTTTTTATAGGAAACCAAACTACAAAATAGAAAATAAATTTAAAAAAAAATACGTTGGGTGCCTGTTGTCAAAAGTAAAAAACACCCCACGCTTTTTTTCAAATTTATTAAAATTTATTTTCTATTTTTTAGTTTTTTTAATTAGTGTATTGTCATCAGTCCTCGATATATCTACAAAGTTTGAACGAATTCTGACCGTTTAAAGTCAGTCAAAATCTCACAAAGGAGTCGGTTACAAACAAACATACAAACATACAAGTGAAGCTAAAATAAGCGTGTAAAAAGAAAAAAGAATATTGAATTATGCATAGGTAAGTCTCTCTGCCCTAAAACTCAAATTGTCGCATGCACCGACTCTGGACAAGCAATCCGAAGAACCAAGAGCTCAGATAGATGATGATCGGGGTTATGGATTACTTAAAAATAATTAATTGTTATCTCCTTGTTTCAGACCTACGTTAAGGACGAAACAGGACGATTTCTTTCCTATGGCTTACGACAAGGACACACACTTCACAGGAATGTACTACTCGCGTCCCATCCTCAAGTACCATGCTCGGGAAATCCATTCACTCATGGTGGTAAGATGTGGAAATCAATTCTTATATTCCAAAATAGAACAAGGGAAAGGAACATCGAGGTTCCAACATAGGCGGGAGTCATCTATAAGCCGTAGATTCCGACGGGTGCCAGGGCTTTCGTTTCTAGGGTATACCTGGCTCCCCTGTTACCGGTAGCTGGATACGGCGTGCGGTTTTTGGTCGGTTCGAGTCCGACATAATCACCCCATTGGTGGTATCCGAGGGAAGCTCCCCACAGGAAAAAAATGAAGGGAGAGAAGAAATAAAGATGTCTGTGCATAGGTGGCGCTACTGTTGCAGTATGTAGCATTCAGAAATGAAAAACTTTCATCTTTCTGAACGTGATAAACGGAAATTAAATGTTGAGGGTATTTTCATACGGTTTTTAGCTATAGTTAGAGTGATTTACGTAGAAAACACAAAAAATCCCTCCTCTCGCTGACTTGAGCGGAAGGGACTCCAAGGGCAGCAACGCACTTGCAGGTGTCCATGGGCGGCGGTAGTTGCTTACCATTGGGTTATCCGTCTCCTCGTTTGCCCCCTTATACCATAAATATATATATATATATATATATAATCAATAGTGTATATATTTACCATAAAAAGGAGAGAGAAGAAGTGAACCGCGTTGGAGCGCAACCTCTAGAATGAGGTAAAGGAAGGGGTTGGGCTTCGGTTACCTCATTCACTCGGAGGGAAGATGCGAAAGAATAAAAATATTTTCGGACATCTGACACAACGCCATCTAGTTTCAAACTAAGCAGAGCTTGTACTGTGACAGCCAGATTGACTGATAGAATACTTATATGTTATATGCAGAGTATCACATCACATCATATGAACAGCCTTTAATAGTCTACTGCTGGACATAAGCCTCTCCTTAGAAAGGAGGTTTTGGCCTACTATACCACGCTGGTCAGACGGGTTTTTTATAGGGTTTGTTTCAAGTTTTCCTGCTCTTGCAGTGCTGGTATCCTGCGTAGTTTGCTCCCTAAGTCGGCTCTTACGACACCCAAGGGATGAATAGGGATGGTGACACTCTGTATTCTTATTCCACACGGACCATCTATGCAGAGTATCACTCCGGTCGAGTCAGCCCAATTGTGCCGTGTGTGTTTCTTTAAGTGTTAAACTTTATTAAATATTCCCCATACTTTGATAATATACGTTTTACTCAATATTCCTACCGCATAAATATAAGTTTGGTAAATATATGTTATGATATAACAAGAAATTAACGACTGTGGGCTTTTTTATGACGGCAAATAATATATTTTTTTACCAACAGATAGCAAAACAGTTGCAAATGTTTGGGCATCTGAAGAACAACGACCAACTCTTCGAAGATATTCAGTGGATAGCTGGTAAGACTCTTTATTTTATACTAGCTGTACCCTGGCACGGTTCGCTTTCGATGAGAAATTAAGACCAAAACTGACGGAATAACAATTAATTTAAAAATTAAAATACCCAAGACACAAAAAAAATGCTTATTGAGACTGTTTTAATAAGCCCAAACATGGAATATATGCTGTAATTTCCTGAGGAGTTGGCTATTCCACAGATTACTTGAATAGCAGCTAGTTCCAAGTTACCATGTCATGGAAATACCATCAAAGTAACCAAAGTAAAACAAATTGCAGATCAATCGGAACTCTTCACTCTGCGATTAATTACACTGCTGTTAAAGTTTAAACCATGGGGTACGAGGAGGCTTATTTTGAATATTTTTTTACCAAATACCCTTTTGACTTAAATTGTTTATTAAAATGTTGTTTCCATTTATCAAAAAATACTTTTTTTTGCAAAATTTCTGAGTAAATAGGTAAGACAAAAATTTCTAGACCGGAAGCAACTGCCTTTTTTGCTAAGTTATCACTTATCAGCCTCCTCATTTCCCCCTAAACCAATATGTGAGGGGAAACCACTGTAAGACTATGTTGACGTTTTCTAAAAGATCTGTGTGAATCCTCTGTATCCAGAGACTGTTTTTTTTTAAATATTAATATATTCGTTTTATACACGAATTGACTTGACTGCACGGATGGCGTAGTGGTTTAAGCGGTCGCCACGCCGCTTCCTACTACGCTGAGTGTTGTGGGTTCAAACCCCACATGGGACGACACTTTGTGTGATTCACAAATTCTTGTTCTGAGTCTGAGTCGGGTGTTCTTTGTGTCCATTTCATGTACGCTTGTAAAGTCCCCCGCGACACAGGATATATTTCTAGTGCAGAAGTTGTCTTTAAACAAAAATAATGATGGTTTTCGTTAATTTATTTTCTTGTTCTATTCCAGGAGCTATGCTTGATCATACAATATTAACTGGTGGTCTACATAACTTCGTAAGTAAATACTACACCGTCAAAGTTCACAAAGCCAAACATTTGTGTATGAAAATAATTAATTCAGCTTTAAAGTGAGTATTAACACCCAAATACTAATAATTAATTATACAAATAAATAAAATTGAAGTGTCTATTTGTAATGTTAAAATAATAGGCTTTTTTCATGTTTACACTGTTATTTACAGGATACGTCTGCCTAAAAACCAGTTTAAATATCTTTTTTCTCTCTTCTGTCTATTTGGTCCGGGTAATCTTCGAAACGGCTGGACCGAATTTGATAGTATTTTACTACCAGGTAGCTGTATATACAAGGAGTAACTTCGGATAATTTTTCTCTGAGAAAAACCTTATAAAAATTTGTTTGGTCCCACTAAGACAGCGCTTTTCAAATTCCGAAGTCGCTGGCACCAGCTAGTTTGTAATATAGGGGCAAACCACAACCTAAGCCCCCCACCCTCTGATCCTAGCGGGACTTAAGATTGACAATACAATTATGAATTTTTGTAGGTCGTTTTAAAATATACAATTCCAAAGTCCATTGTTTTGATCCATCTCATAAGCGTTTGCAAAGTAAACGCACAAAAATATATTTTTTAGGACATCTTCTTACAAATCTTGGAAATTCTCGGCTTTTATTTGATATAATATGCATGTATTATACGTACAAACCTTCCTCTTGAATCTCTCTCTCTCTCTCTCTCTCTCTCTCTCTCTCTCTCTCTCTCTCTCTTTATTGATAAAAACCGAATTAAAATCAACTGCGTAGTTCAAAAGATCTAAACGTATACGTCATCCGTGTGGTGACGGAATAAAAATACGGAGTCTCACCACCCCTATTAATCCCGTGGGTGTCGTTAGAGCCTACTAAGGGAGTTAACTACGCAGGAAAACAGTACTGCCAAGAGAAGGAAAACTTGAAACAAACCCTATACCAACCCGTGTAACCAGCGATGTATAGTAGGCCAAAACCTCCTTTCTAAGAAGAGGCCTATGTCCAGCAGTGGACTATTAAAGGCTGTTGATAATCATTAAATGATTTGAGAGAACACGGAGTACAGCTGCAGGCAACGAGAGAGATGGATGCCCGATAGTTACCTCTGTCTCTGTTTAGTTAAGCTGCGATATGCTACTTAGTGACTACTCACAATCTTCAGGCAACCACAGAGCACGACTAGACAGAGATAGAGGCATCTATCTGTCTATTATCCACCATATCTCTCGTTGTCTATATTGCAAGATTGGGACTCTTGTTCACTCTATGCTTAATTATGTCTATGATTATAATAGTGACTCCTATGTTATAAAATACAGAAAACATTAAATGCGGTTTTGAACAATGTGTGATTCAAATGACTGCCTCGGTGGTGTAGCTGGTAGCGTATGCGACTGCTGTGCTGAGGTCTTGGGTTCCATTACCGGGTCGAACCAAATGTTTGTATGATCTGCAAATATTTGTTTCGGAGTTTGGGTGTTTTCTATGTATAATATGTATGTATTTACATAAAAAAAGTATATAAGTATTCTATCAGGCAATCTAGCTTTCATAGTATAAGCTCTGCTTAGTTTGAAACTAGATGGCGTTGTGTTTAAAAAAAAAGAAATATATATATATATATACTCGTATATATGTATGATGCACTAGCTTTTGCCAACGGCTCCGCACGCGTGTAATGTGGTTATCGCAAAAAAAAGTAGCCAATATCCTTCCTCAAACTATCTACTTACCAAATTTCATGAAAATCGGTTCAGCCGTTATTGATTCCAAATACAAACTTCCACTCCCTTTTTCACCCCCTGAAAGGACGATTTCTGGGATAAAAGCTATCCTGTCCTTTCCCGAGACTCGAACTATCTCTATACCAAATTCTATCTAAATCGATTCAGTGATGAGGTCACAAACAGACAAACACACTTTCGCATTTATTCAGTATGGATGTATGTATTTAGTAATATATAAGTATGTTGTCCGTGTGGTGACGGATTAAGAATACGGAGTGTCACCACCCCTGTTCATCCCGTGGGTGTCGTAAGAGACGACTAAGGGACCAAACTACGCATAAAAACAGCACTGCAAAGAGAAGGAAAACTTGAAACAAACCCTATACCAACCCGTCTGGCAAGCGTGGTTTAGTAGGCCAAAACCTCCTTCTAAGGAGAGGCCTATAGTCCAGTAGTGGGTTGTTAAAGGCTGTTGATGAAGTATGTTTATCAGTAGTCTGGTTACCATAGTACAGGCTCTGTCTAGTTTATGATCAGACGGTCGTGTGTGAGTTGACGTTTCAAATTATTACTCACTTCTTGTAAAATTTCCTAATTTTTTTTTCAGCAAACTTCGCAGAGCTCCCACCAACACCACGTATCACATGTGTCCTTTTAATGTAACCAGCTGCTACACAACCTCAAGCTACAAATCCTATGTAAGTAATCAACCAATCAAACAGCCGAAGCACGAAGGGCCTCCCCAACTTGTGTCAGTGTGCGTAGACTGTTTGTGTTGCGTGACATGTAGTTATTACTTTTGTGCGATACCTACGGGGAATAACCTTAAACTTTGACAGCTGATTGCATCAAGCGTTTAATATTAAGGCAGAAAATTCCACAACTAGATATTGCCTGTTTATTTCTCATTATTGTTTCTGACTTTGAAAATGACGTGCTTCCATACCAGAATGAATACCTTATTCTATACTCTTAGGAGTGGTATTTCCAAAAATCATTTCTTAGTGCTAACAACCAGCGCCGGATGCGCCAGGGGGGGCAAACCGGGGCACCCACTCCTGAGGATACGCAAAATTTCAAAAATCGGTACCAATATCGTATCAAAAGTATCGATATCTTATCAAAAGTATCGAGTATTCTTTAATACATTTGTTGAAAAATCGAATGGAATATTGTTTGTGTTGCTAAGTTTGGCAAAAAAAAAACATTCACTGCTCCCATTTCTTTTCAGCACTTTGAAAAAAAATTGTAGTTCTCTTTTTTTTAAATACCTCCACATTTCGCTTATTTCTCCTGGCAGCGACATCTTCTTGAGATTGATTTAATTTTAAATACAAGTACGAGTAATATATTATACGTTTTTATTTCGAGTAAGACGAGACGAAAGCGAAAGGATAATTTCGTACGCTAGGCAACTCTCTACAACTCACATATTTTGGTGATTTGGTGTTGCTACTTGTTTTCAGAAATATGTCAGAGAAATACTTTCCTATAACTAAGGACCTGAAAGATGGTGTGCAAATAATGCAATAATACCCTTAAGGGCTGCAATTTTCAGATATCTAAATTAGTTTTAAAGACTAAAAACACTACACAGATTATTCAACCCGCAAAAGGTCCATCTATAGTAAGATTACAGCCGGCCGAGAGGCATAGGCCAATATGGCGGCGCTGGCATCAGCTGATTGATCCGAAAAAAGTTTTAGTTACATCATGGTTTCACAAAACAACACCACACGGTTTTTTTCCGCTAATAATTTATTAGAAATTGTTAGAACGAAAGTATCAATTCTAAAAATACTTGGTATCGAAACAAAAGTAACGATACTTTTTGCGTATCCCGCCAAAATCATAATATTAGTATGATTAAAAATCAAAAACTCGCTCCACAAAGCACCTAGCATACGGAAGCCTGGTTGACTTACCGTCGACTTGTAAGAAAAAGGCGCCAATCAGGCGCACACTACAAGTGAGCTTTTACATTTGTGAGTTTTTTTTTAAGTAAGCTTGAACGCATAAGAGAGGGGCGCCACTATCAAGTTTCTACCGCGGTTCGAAAAACTCGTAGATCCGGGGCTGCTTACAAAATACAAATAATTCAGTCAGTAGGACAAGTATTTTTACATGTTTAGAAGATCAATACCACCCCTAAGGGTTGTAAATGAAGGCATGAAGAAAAATGAAGAGTACACTTAAGTACAGTTCATAATGGTATACGTTGATCTATTATAGATCGTAATCTACAACCCCCTGGTGTGGCAGGTGACCCTTCCAGTGAGGTTGCCAGTTCACAGACTCAAATATAATCTGTACGATAACAAAGGTACGATACTATGTTCATCATATCACATCTCATCAACAGCCTATAATAGTCCACTGCTGGACATAGGCCTCTCCTTAGAAAGGGGGTTTTGGCCTACTATACCACGCTGGCCAGACGGGTTGCTATAGGGTTTGTGTAAGTTTTCCTTCTCTTTGCAGTGCTGTTGTCCTGCGCAGTTTGCCCTTAGTCGGCTCTTACGACACCCACGGGATGAATAGGGGTGGTGACATTCCGTAATTAACCAAACTATACCAACCCGTCTAGCCAGCAACGTAGCAAAGTAGGCCAAAAGCGTTTCTAAGGAGAAGCCTATGTCCAGCAGTGGACTATTAAGGCCGTTTATGTTGCGAGAGCGTAATGAGATTATGTCGACTGCCTCAATGGTGCAATAGTAGCGTATGCGATTGCTCTAATGAGGTCTCGGGTTCGATGCCCGGGTCGGGCCAAATGTTTGTATGATCTTCAAATATTTGTTTAGGAGTTTGGGTATTTTCTATATGTAATATGTATGTATGTACAAAAAAAAGAAGTTTATAAGTATTCTATCAGTCAATCTAACTTTTATAGTATAAGCTCTGCTTAGTTTGAAACTTGGACTGCACGGATGGCGTAGTGGTTTAAGTGGTCGCCACGCCGCTTCCTACTACGCCGAGTGTTGTGGGTTCAAACCCCACACGGGACGACACTTTGTGTGATCCACAAATTGTTGTTCTGAGTCTGGGTGTTCTTTGTGTCCATTTCATGTATATTTGTAAAGTCCCCCGCGACACAGGAATACATTCCTAATGCGGGAGTTGTCTTTTTAAGAAAAGAAAAAGAAAATATGGCGTTGTGCGTCTGCACTGCACACCATTACAGAAACTTCTAGAACAGCGTGGAATAATCCAGAATATAATTCGTGTACCATATTTTTTCCAGGTGAAAAAGTAAACCATTCCATTGTGTCAATACCAGAAATCGTTAAGCATATTCCAGAAAGAACTCAAATAAGTCACTCTCCAGCCATGAATGATGAGTTGGTGTTCATAGCTGAGGATATACCAGCAATGGGCTTCCGTTCTTATTACTTGGAAGTAGAAAGTTCTAGACATAAGCGCGAGGTGATTAAAAAGATGGCGAAAAAGAAGAAGAGGAAGTACCTGACGAGGCAGACGAACGTTGTGAAGGCATCTGATGATAATCTGATGAATGCTTATGATGATGATGATTATTTAGAAGAAATGACAGACCGACCAACGATAATAGAATTTGCTAACATCACAAGGGTATATATTTCTTTTATTATCTTTTGGATTACATATCTTACAATACACAGTAGATGAACAGGCGGTACTCCTGACAGTAAGTGACCAATGGACACTGGAACCCAAGAGACATAAATACTTTTGAGTGCCCCTAGAAACATTCAACCCCTCACAAACCACTTACCACCACATATCCTCTGGGAATGTAGTCTTTGGTATAATGAACGTAATATAATGCTGAATAGCTTGCAGGTGACATCTGAGGCGGTATACTATGGGGATCTTGTGTCAACTAGGGTGAATTTCCGTGCGTTTATGCGATTCTGCCATACATATTATAAAAATCAAATATAGCTCACGTAGGACCCGTAATATTTTGTGGCCGTGGTGCTTCCCTGTTTAAAAGGGTGTGTGCCCATTTTACTTCATTTTGTCTCCCGCTTTGCTAAGGAGGGAAGTGGATTTACTGTATTTCCATCTCCTCCAATTTTCTTCTGATTAATTTCGTTGCGGGTTCCAAGACAGTTTAATTTCTTCCTGGGACTTTGCGAGTGTCATAACTCGGTGTGTTCGTGGGTCACTGCTGTGGATTCTGGTGTACAGGAGTTACAGTGGTGGGCGTGTGGGTGGGATTAGTCCCAAAAAAAAGACTCAAATCGAAATTAGCAAAAAGATCTCCGACCAGCGCGATCCCCTTGGCATTACGTAGAGATGTAGCGTCACTCTGTATCCTCTATCGTAGATATCATTGAGAGTGCTTCGAGGAATTGTTCGGACTAATAACGCCGCAACTTTGCGTCATCGTTCCAGATGCCTAAATTTTCATCCCCACCACTTGGACAGTAAGCACTCCATCACTGTGCGCTTTTCGAGACACTTTTTGACTCCCACTACTAATCTTCGTTATCGTCTGCGGTTTTTCCGGATCGATACGACGAAAACTGAGGGTACTCCTGCCTCAAAGGCCAGGAACGCGCTTGTGACTCCTGGGTTGCAGGCGGTCATGGGCGACGGTAGTCGCTTTTCATTAGATGACTAGGCTACTCTGAATTATATTGGAATTATACGGAGCAGTAGGCAAGAAGAAAAAGGGAGTTCTAAAAAGACAGATTGGCTAGTGTAAACAATAGTAAGTCAAGCTCGTAAATCTGAAAATTGAACTAGTATTAGCCAGAAAGATCAAGCCTTCAGACTTTATTCAGCAAATTTCAACTTTATGCCACTGAAAATACAATTGACTTCTTCGACGTTTCCAGAGTACTCAGAGCCCGAGGGATTATGATTTCATGCTGCCAATGAGGCTTTCAAATTCAAGTCTATCTACCGACGCTACTAACAATGAACACGATAGTTATGAAGAAACTATTTTGAGAAACACTTCCCAGTATTTAATACCGTGAGTTGCATTCTACGCAAATTTATAGTGTCTAATTATTTATCGCAGTTTTGTTTTTCTTTTTCAATAATTAGTTTGTTAACTCTTTTGTTAATGTCAGTACCCGTCGAGTACACCCCATGAGAACCACTGAGAATCCTCATAATCCACACAGAACACAAAGGCCTTCCAATACTTATGTAACCGAAGAATCGGTTAATGATACCACTACCGAAGCCATCCCTACCACTTCTACAACCACATCTACCACCACTTCTACAACTCCAGATTACTATGATGAACTGATTCGAAACAGCACCAATGACGAAGAAAGTGTAGGAGAGATGACATGGGCAGAAGAGATCGTCTTCCGAAAGTTGGAGAGAAGTGGTTACCTTAGTGTCAATTCCCCGGATAATTTTATTAAAAATGAAGTGAGTTAACTTATAAATAATAATATTTGTCAACAGCCTTTAACAGTCCAATGCTGAGGCCTCTCCTTAGAAAGGAGGTTTTGGCCTACTATACCACGCTGACCAGACGGGTTGCTATAGGGTTTGTGTCAAGTTTTCCTTCTCTTTGCCGTGTTGTTGTTCTGCGCAGTTTGCTCCCTTAGTCGGCACACCCACGGGATGAATGGGGGTAGTGACAATAAGTATTCTTAATCCGTCATTTATAATGAAAAAACAAAAATCATCGTTCCACACGGCAAAATTTTCATCCTCATCACCTGGATAGTTGTCGCTCCCATACTGTGCGCTTTTCAAGTCACTTTTTACCCTGCACAACTAATCTGTGGAACGGGTTATCGTCTGCGGTATTTCCATACTGACACTACCTTCAAACCTTCAAGAAAAGAGCATACTCCGTCCTCAAAAACCTGCAACGCGTTTGTGACTCCTGAGTTGCAGACGTTCATGGGTGGCGATGGTCACTTTCCATCAGGTGACCCGTCTGTCCCTCATCCGCCATACACACCAGACCTTGCACCTATCGACTATTACTTTTCCAAAATTTAGACAACTTTTTAGTGGGTAAAAAATTCAATTCCCGAGAGGCAGTACAAAATGCCTTTGAAGAGTTTGTTGCCTCCCGTCCAGCTGATATTTACAAGAAGGGCATCAATAAACTCCCAATGCGTTGGCAAAGATGCGTCGATTGCATGGGTGATTACTTCGAATAACGGAAATAAAAAAGTTTGAAAAAATAAGTACTTTCACTTATTGCATACAAAACGGCAATTTCATAGGTAAAGACCTATTATTATATATACGAGTATATATATAACTTATGATGATGATATATTTTTTGCTTCAATTAAACAACTCTCCGTCCTGTTGATTTGTTAGTAGTTATACCAGTAATGATTTATTTATTAATCTAAAACACGATTTTTTATACAAAGTAGTCAACTGTAAATTCACTTGTAATGGTGTAAATAATTAGATTATGACTTAAATTGGATTTTTCCAGCACATAAAGATCAACGTGGATCAAACTTTAGGCAAAATCATAAGCATAGCCTTGTCTAATGGAGTATACATGAATTTAGACATCAAAATGATGTACTTTGTATCTGATGATCCCGACCAGATGGGGACTACTAAGAAAAGGCCAGGAGCCTTCGTCTTCAGACCCATGGACCCGAATCCGGAATCTACATCAAATAATCCAATTTTGAAGGTTATTAAATCTGAATTCGTACATGAAGTGCAAATTAAATTCTCGACATATACAGCAACATCTTTAAGGTTATATAAAGATTTGCCATATGTCGAAGTGGATTGGGTAGTTGGACCCATCCCAGTCCAGGATGGGTTGGGCAAAGATATTTTTATCAGATATACCACAGACTTGGAGAATAATGGTGTATTTTATACGGACAGTAATGGTCGACAGACGATTAAGAGGATAAAGAATTTACGAGCTACGTACACCCCCGTCAATTCAGATGTATCAAGTAAGTCACTCGTGATATTCCTTGCAGTTTTATATATACTAGTGGGTCAATAGGTCGAAATTCGACCTTAATTCGTTTAATTTTTAGGTTTAAACTACAATATTTATACCTAATATATACCTCACACATCTCACACACGGCCGTCTGATTCCAAACTAGGCAGAGCCTGTACTACGGTAAACAGACTGCCGATAAACAAACTTATATATTTTTAAATACATACATATTATAGATAAATTACACCCAGACACAGAACAAATGACCGTGCTTAACACACAATACTCGTCTTAGGTGGGAATCGAACCCATAACCTCCGGCTTAACAGTCAGTGTCACTAACCACTAGACCAACAGACATAGTAATGTAATAAGGTTCTTTTGTCAAATAATATACCCTTATAACCAAAGGTTTCATCATGGCTATAATCTATTTCTAATGCATTTTATGTTTAAAAATGATTTATGCACTTCTCCATATACACTTTCATCAACTGCCTTTAATAGTCCACTGCTGGACATAAGCCTCTCCTTAGAAAGGAGGTTTTGGCCTACTATACCATGCTGGCCAGACGGGTTGGTATAGGGTATGTGTAGAGTTTTCCTTCTCTCTGCAGTATTGTTGTTCTGCGTAGTTTTTTCCCTTAGTTGACTCTTACAACACCCACGGGATGAATAGGGGTGGTGACAATCTGTATTCTTAATCCGTCACCACACGGACGATATACACTTTAACTGTGTCAAATTTCACGTTGATTCGTTCGCGCAATTTTCTTAAAAAAGGGGTACAAAGTTTTCGCTTCACCTATAAATAAATAGATGTATATAGACTCAAGTAGTAGTAGTAGTTGACGACCGAATGGCGTAGTGGTTTGTGTAACGGACTGCTATTCCAAAGGTCGCGGGTTCGATTCCCGCTCAAGTCAAACATTTGTGTGCATGAACATTTAATGTTTGATTTGGTCTGGGTGTTTCTATGTATAATAAGTATGTATTTACAAAAAAAAAAAGTATATATGTATTTATATCAGTTGTCTAGTACCCATAGTACAAGCTCTGCTTAGTTTGGGACTAGATGGCGTTGTGTGAATGTTGTAGAATATTATTATTATTATTATTAAGTCTATATTCTTTAAGAAGTAAGCAGAGCCGTATTAAACGACAAGTTTTGGAGAATTAAAATTTAATTGCACTTACGCGTAAGGACAAGCCTGTTTTTAGGACAAATAATTAACTGTGTGATGAGCAGCATCATTTGTTCTGTGTCTGGGTGTAATTAATCCTTAATATCTATGTATTTAGGAATATATGCAGGGCGTAAGAGACGGTGTGACGAATACTGAAATAGTGTATTCAGACCATCATTCTGAGTCGAAAATGGTTTTATGCAATTAGCTGTCAAAAGTTTTATGTATCGCAGAAAAATAATAACTACATTAAATTTGTATTCCGTGCAAACAGTCTACGCACACTAGCACAAGTTGGCGGCCATTGGAAGCCCCGTTTGATGAATTACATTACAGTATTTGACCGTGTGTGATATTTATTGAATGTTTTAGTTAAATTGTTGTGTTTACCCGCTGTGATATAATTTTTAAACAAAAAAAAAGAATGTCAGGCAGAAAATTTCAATGGTTTACGACTCTGAATGATGATTTGAATACACACATAGATTACAGCCATTCGTTACGTAAGTGATACTAAAAATTAAAGTGAATAAAATGTGGGAGTTGCATACATACATCTGTGTATAGCCATTTAGTAAAAAACATGAGTGTTTGGAATGTGTATTTTTTCCTTTTTAGCTTTTGCTTTTAAAACAATCTATACTAACGATTGCTTCATTTTAATCTTTCTTTGTCTGTCCATATATCATACTCTTGTCTAAGTTCTACTTTCATACATTCTCGATTTATTTTAGCAAATCAAAGTTTATTTGCTATGAATGTAGGTAGGTACATCAAATTACAAATGGAATGGTTTGAAATGATCCGTGTACACTTTGCCTTAAAACTAACCATGGAGAAATTTACAAAAGTATGGTCGAAAAAAATTAAATTAGGTTATTAGTGGAGGTATTTTTTAATTTTACTGTTTCATTTTCAGGCAATTTTTACCCAATAACATCCAAAGTGTATATCGAAGATACTGATAAAAACATTCGATTTTCCGTCTTTCCTGACCGTGCAGAAGGATGTACATCTCTGAACCAAGGCGAAATAGATATAATGCTTCACAGAAGAATTCTCACATCTGACACTGTACTGAGTGGAATTGTAAACGAAACTGAATTTGGTGGAATAGGCCTTATTGTCAGAGGAAACCATCGCTTGTACCTATCCAAAGCCGACTATAAACCCAACAAGTTCTTCGAAAAGAAATTTGCCAAGGAACTTGAATTACGTCCCCAGGTCTTTACATCTGCACACCCTTATTTCGATCCAAGTATTACTTTCAAGAATTGGTCTTCATATAGAAACGAATATTCAGCTTTAAAAAAGAAGTTACCAAATGGCGTTCACGTTTTATCGTTCGAAAAATGGAACCATCAACTGTTGATTCGTTTGGAAAATTATTTAGAATTGAAAGATGTGGTCAGAAACGGTATCAAAATGATTAATATTTTAGGTTTGTTCAAAAATTACATAATAACTAGTTGTAAAGAGACTATGTTGGGAACTAATATTTGGAAATCTGATCACGTTAAAATGCAATGGCAAAAAGATAAATTTGTCAAAAATTTTAATGATGTTTTTGGTAATTCGAGTAATTTGGAGTTTGTTGAAGATGTTGAAAAACCGTATGATAAAGTTGATTTGACAGTGGGTATAGAATTATCTCCGCAACAAATAAGGACGTTTATATGCAGTTATGAACTTCCTCGTGAGCTGTCCTAACTTAAAATTACTATAGCATTCGCTTATTTAAAACGAGTTTTAGGATTTTTAGAATGATTGTGTCCTGTCCTGTCCTGTGATTCTTTCTTTGAGGCCTATGTCCAGCAGTGGACTGCAATAAGCTGGTGTTGATGATGATGATGAAGTGTCATGTCAAATAAACTTTAATTCATTCATAATCATCAGTATTATCAACATTCGTAGTGCCTCAAACTGCCTGAGTGGTGCATTGATAGCGTATGCGACTGCTGTGCTGAGGTCTTGGGTTCGATTCCCGGGTCGGACCAAATGTTTCTATGTTCTGTAAATATTTGTTTCGGAGTTTGGGTGTTCTCTATGTGTAATATGTATGTATTTACAAAAAAAAAAGTTTATAAGTATTCCATCAGTCAATCTAGTTTTTATAGTAAAAGCTCTGCTTAGTTTGAAACTAGATCGCGTTGTGTGTTAGATGTCCGAAAATATTATTTTATTATTATTATTATAGTATTTATCATCATATCATATGCATCTCGTGAAATATAAAAAAATATAAAAAATAGACTAACGAAGACACTCCAGACTTCTTGCACCGAATAGTAGATACAACTTCCTAACATCAACTGTTGTGCTGAGGTCCGCCGTTCTTCCTTTGCGTGAGAGATATACCAATCACAAAAATTACGTTTTTTTTTTTTCAAAACTTTACTTCATTCGTGGCGTCTGCTATATGACAAGTGGCCTTCTTTATGTACACGTTATACCAGTTTGCGTTATCGTGTAACAAAACGGAATAGGCTGTTTACGATATTTAGTATAATTAAGTGAAAAATGTTATAATTAAGCAAATCATACAGGTCTATGTATTAGGGTGACAAGCGCTTTGTAGTAATTTTTTAACATTTCTGTAAATAATTTCGATGGATTTTGTAAAGGCCTTCGAGTCATTATGTCTAAGCCTTGTAGGCCTTAAATACTTCTTTTTAACGCATTGTAAAGATAAACTTACCGTTAATTCTATAGAAAAACATAACTGAAATTGATCTCATTTTCAAAAAGATATTTCTGTTACTGTACAGTAAAGAAGGCAGGAATGCCACAAGGAACAATTCTTAGACCGTATTCAAGTTAAACCAAAATTTTAAACAGTTAAAATGTTCATTGTAATTAAAATATTGAATTGTAACTTAATTTTATCTGTGCTTTTGCTAAGAGACTTAAGAAAGAAAGTAGATCCCAGATTACAGTAGAAAACATGCAAATCTTGTAATGGAGCCTTAAAGTTTAAATGCAATTAAATCTTTTAGATTTACGTATAGTATTAGTCAAGATGTAATATTAAAATGACATTATTAAACTTATTTTAAGTTGTACTTGAGTTTCATTACTTCAGACACCTTACATTCTTTTACATGAAATTACAATTGATCCAGGATGAGCACAACGCATAAACACTTTCAAATATATATTTTTACGTACAGTTTTAAATTCAACTTTCGACTTTTCAGAGACATATTTGAATAGAATAGAATATTATTTATTTCATAAAGCACAGCATACAAAAATAAAACAAAAGTTAAATAACAACATCACAAAGAAACTAAAAATCAAGTAAGGTTTGATAAAGGCAACATTTTCAATGTGTCAATCTTTCATATCTGACAGAACTGACATAACACGTCAATGTGCCACGTATCCAACCGCGCGTCAATAAAATTTTACTAATAATAACTATGTTAGTACTTATCAACTAATACTTATCAACCTTTATACCATAAAAACCTTTAATGTTGCTGAGGATTGTACGCCGTGCTTCAGAAAATAGACTATAAATAGGAAATAAGAACAAGAACTTACTGTACCTAAAAAATATATTAGGAAAAATAATATAAAGAGGTATGTGGACGATTGGACATATCCTACCCTCAAAGGCAAGAAAAAGACTTCATGAGATAAAAAAAAATATATATTTATTTGGTTCATCATAATTACTAACAAAATTATACACAATTACAATAAAAGTAGTAGAAATAACAATCTTTATGATTTTCCAAAAGATGCGGGCAATGATTTTTAAACATTTACGTAAAATACTGTAATAATGGCATTCTATAACCCAGCCTTGCTAAAAACAATATTCTTACGTTCAAATCTACTTTGTCATCCTGTTGTTCGTGTATAATATTAGAAGAATACAGCTCGCGCTATTTTACCAATACAAGCTAAACTGCTTAGTAAGAAAGTCAATTTCTACTAAAATGCCATCTTAAAGTGTAAATTCAACCACCATTGATTCGTTATCCAGTATAACTCGAAGTGTCAAATTAGCGCTGTTCCCTACCATGAGAGGTTTACATGTAAATCTCTTTTGGTTTCTTTTTTGAAACTTGTCATAACTTTTATCAAATCATTTTTGAAAAAGAAAATTTCCAGTCAATTTCTAAAGTAGGTTAATTATTTTTTCGTTTAATAAACCCCAAATATTCCTAAAGTTTTTTTAACGCTAAAATCTTAACAAACCTTAATGTAAAACCTTGAAAAGATTCAAGCATGTACGTATTAATTGGGCGTTCGCAATGTCCGTTGCAATTCAGCGAGGCAATGCTGCCAGTATCATGGGCACCTTTGCACCGGGAGCGACGCGGGGCGGGTTATATGATCTGACTTGAATTGAACGTATTAATTGCATATTGTAAACTTTTAAAATAAAATAATTTATACCAAAGTCACAACCTAAATTTTAATTGTCCCTAGTGGCTGTATATACTTGTGTATATATTTGAGTGACATACATCATTGACCCTATTTCTTTAATTCGTAATCTACAATAAACGTTTTAATTTCTTTTGATTTAACTTTGACTTTCAACCCTTCGATAGGATCGCTGGATTCCGCTACATCACCATTCCACATCCATTTTCTGTATTCATCAGCCCATACATTAGCAGCAAGCATCGTTTCTCTCGCATTTCTTATAACAACATTCTTAAATATGGATCCCAAATCAATTTCTACATCAGAATTTGGTCCTTTATCGAGATAATTCTCGAATCTTATAAGTAGCTTCTCATTCCAAGGTTCCAGAGTCAATAGATGAACACCGTTAGGTAAATCATTATTAACAAAGTTAAAATCATTGTTCAGTTTCAACCAGTCTTCTAAATGAATTGTATGAGCATCAGAAACCAACAAATGTGGTGATAGATGCATACCCAACACATTTTTCTTAAGGTTATCCTTATTCTTTGTAATATAAACCCTGTGTTTTCCCCTAACAACCAAACCCTTGCCAGCAGCTGTTTCATTCAGAGCTTCGCCTACTCCAAAAGCATCATCCCATAACAACCTTCTATGCACCATTAGCTCAATTTCACCTTCAACCAAAGAACTGCCACCTACAGACCGATCAGTCAAAACAGTCATTTTCAAATCATCATTTTGTATATAAATTTCGTTCGTAACCGGATAATAATTGCCAGCTATCGGCTCAAGTAATGTAACATTGTACTGAGGTCGATAATTCAATTTCCTTTTCAACATTTGTCTGCCATTAGAATCTGTATAAAATTCACCATTATTGACAATGTCTGAACCATATTTTATAATATATTCTTTGCCGATATTATCTTCAATGGGAATCGGACCTACAATAAATTCATTTTCTATGAAGTTTAAATTGTCGTATATTTTAGTATTGATGTAACCACTTGGATGTAAATTTACTCTGAATTCTTTGACTATATCGCCGTTGACAACTGTACTTTTAATCATGCTCAGTTTGGTAGGGTTTGTAGCGTTTGGTCTGAATATATAAGCACCAGAAGCCCGATCTGAAGGTTGAGTATTACGGCCCTTGCATCCAGGGTAGTAATACATGTTGATTGTGAAGTTTAGGCGTGAGCCATCAGGGAAAGATACGTCGTTGATTTGTCCTGTCGCTGTGTCGACTTTGAGTTTGAAAAACTGTAAAAGAGGTAAACAGATTTAGAGATTTTAGATGTGATCTTTAGTAACTCCCGCCAAGTGAATGTCTCCCCCCCCCCACAACCTTTCTCTCATTTTAGGGGGAGCACAGAAACGGCTGCAATGCACTTGTTTCTCCCGAGATGTAAGTGTCTGTGGCAGCGGTAATTACTTACAATCAGGTGACCCGTCTTCTCGTTTACCCTTTTCTTCCTCCAAGCCTTTTTCCCAAAGTAGGTTGGAGTCGCCTTTAAGTCTACTACGATACGGCTGAACTTCGTCTTTTTACCAGGAGCGATTGCCATCAGACCTCCACAACCCAAGTACTAGGCGATAGCGACGATCTGTAGGAAGAATATTGTAAAATGTTTTAGGGCTCCCACTACTCATAAACTACTACAGATGTTTGTATGGCAACCGGGACCCTGGGAGGTTTCTCAATGTGTTAAGAAATGGCCACCCATCCACAGACTAACCTGGCTAGGATTGCTCAACTTTGCAATGTGTTAACCTACTCAGTGATTGTAACATATTCGAGTTCACATATATTACATAACCTACCTGGTTCTCCAAGACGTACTCATCTTCAAACTTTTCCACCGTTCTGGGCTCATCCGACAGCATTCTCATTTCTTCGTCATTTAATTTTGGAAACTCAATTTTATTCCTAGCTTTAATACTCTTCGGTTTTTTATTAAATTTCAAAAAGGTCTCCAATTCTCGCAAGTCTCCATCGTTATTGCCATCTTTTAATATATCTACGTTAGTATCTTTATATTCGACACTTTTGAAAGGAACAGGAGCTATCGGTATCTCTTTCTCTCGTAAAAGATTGTATTCTTTTTCTTTTATATCTTCATCGAGTTTATCTTTAATGGCATCGAAATAATCGTTGATATTTGTGAAGTAATCGATTGTTTTATCTCTTTTGACTCGTATATTTTTACGGATATAAAACGATTTGTATCCAAGCGGTTTTAAATCGGCTATGAAAACGATTTCTTTGAAGGCTGCGGACAGACGGGTTGGGATAGACCTAACAGACTTGGAAATATCAACAGATTGAGTTTTGATTTGTTTACCTGTAAACAAAAATTAGTTTTGAAAAATTGCCCTTAAATTCCAAAATTAATTTTACCTACATTTTTGGGACTATAATTTTAGTCCCACTCACATAAAAGGGGCCAAGCCTATTGCCGTCGACCAGGCCTATACCTACTTATATAAATACACATTGTAAATATACATATAATAGATAAAATTACACCTAGACACAGAACAAATGATCGTGTTCATTACACAGTATTTGTCTTGGATGTAAATCGAACCCACGATCTCTGGCGGAGCAGTCAGGACCACTAACCACAAAACCAACAGGCCCGTCATTTTGTTTACAAAAAAAATGGATGAAGTCGTTTAACATAAACGCAGTCGAATTAGAGAACTTCTTCTCATATTAGAAGTCGGTTCAAAACTCCTTATGATGGATCTGAACATGGCTTACCATCAGGTCCGAATACTTCATACTTTGCATCGTCTACTGGTATCCTGATTGGCTCCCTCACTTGCCATCCCAAAGGATTATATACTGTTACCTGTAATATATAAGATTAATTATTATATATTTTACTATTAATACACACATACACTCACGTTTTTATCCAGGAAGGGGTAGACGGAGGTGTATTTAACGCCCACACTTTGCCGCCTGTAATTTTAGTCCCGTCAACTTAATAGGTTTATAGTCCCGCTTACTTAGTACATGGCAAAACCCATTAAGTGAGCGAGACTAAAATTTCAGTTGACAAAATGTGGACGTTTGATACACCGCTTAATATTTTTTCTAGGCCTTCTAGACTAGACTAACAGGACGGACCTTTTAAAAGAATAATGAACTAAATACAACTCACAATAAACTGCTCGCTATTTTCTGATATGTAGCAGCTAGACTCGTTCAAATGGCATCTAGTGAAGTCAAGTATTGGCGGTTTCGATGCGTCTCCTTGCGTGACTTTACTAAAAAGAAAAACATTCAAAATTATTTTATTTATATATACCTCCACTTATAAAACCTCCATTGTAAGGAAGTGTCCAGAAGTGGACTGTATAGGGCTGTTGTGATGATGATGTGGGCTGTGATGATGATGATGATTCAAAATTATACACCTACTGCAGCAAAAAAAACATGTTACTTAAAAAAAAGACTTAAATTCTTTTTTTTTCTAGTTAATTATCTATTTTCTGGCTCCCAAAAGTTGATCACTACTTTCTGTCAGACCCTGTCTAAGGGTCAACTTGTATTTGGCAGTAAAATACACCATACATAGACCTGATAATAGTATGCGATTTTATAATACTCCAGAAGACAGCAATACAAAATTTAGAGCTTTATTTTAATGGGATAAGGTTGATATTTTATTTTCATCATAAATGTGTCTTATGGGCAGGTTTTTTTTAGGATAAGAGGGCACTTCATGGGAAGCGACTACCGCTATGCATAGACACTACAACTCAGAAAGGACAAGTGTATTGCAGCTAGTTGAGTACTCATCCCCACTCCGAATTAGGTGGTAGATAGGGTAGATCTCCAGTAAGCTCACTCACTCGGTGAAAAGCAACAAAGTACACACGCACACACGCACGCACGCACGCAAACCTGCACACACGCACACACACACAAACACAGAGAGAGAGAGACTCACACATTCGCGCACACACACACATTAGCTCCAACTTAAACTTAGTCAATTAAATAAATATAGATGTTAATAAACTCTTTCAATTATTTTATATCAGATTTATAATTTTTTAAATATTATTATTATTATCACTGTTCAAATAGCCTTTGTATTTATTGCTTCCACACGGGATTATCCTAATGTGGCTATCATTGTTAAACAAATTACGTAAATCTGGACTTAAAATTATTTTTTATTATTATTATTAATTGCTTAAGTTTTCTGTAAGACCGATGTTTCACTCCGGTCGAACCTAAGTTAAATTTGACGTCACAAGTTTATTTTGACCTTAACATAGGGAAAAAAAATTGACTGGACAGTCAATTGAGGTACACTCACTTGAAGGCTTCCTTGGCAATAATCATTGCATCATCAACAGCCTGCGTCAATATCCTTTCGTAGTCATGGGTGACATGCTCCTTTTCAGTGCCAGTTATGGCGTCATGGTGTTGCATTATACCTGGATTAGGATGGATGGATTTTAAAAAAAAGAAAACCCCCCGCACTAGGAATATATTCTGTGTCGCGGGGGACTTTACAAACATACATGAAACGGACACAAAGAACACCCAGACTCAGAACGACAATTTGTGGATCACACAAAGTGTCGTCTCATGTAGGGATCGGACCCACAACACTCAACGTAGTAGGAAGGGGCGTGGCAACCGCTTAAACCACTACGCCATCCGTGCAGTCAGGAATAAATGCACAATTACCTGTTATAAATCTTATAAACAAAATCAAATAGTCGAAATGTAAAAAAAAGGTAATCTTTGATGTGGCTTTTATCTTTGTCTATGACCAAATCACAATCACAGGTGAAACTGCAGTGACGACGACCGGATGGCGTATTGGTTTGTGTAACGGACTGCGGGTTCGATTCCCGGTCAAGTCTAATATTTGTGTTCATGAACATTTATTTATTTATTTATTTATTAAAAACAATTACAGTGTCTTTACAGGATTTATCCCATTTTGTAATTAAAATCGTGTCGAATCAGTTTTACTCGATCGTCACAATAATAATCGTTACATTATAATACATATAATGTTTGATTTGATCTGGGTGTTTCTATGTATATATTTACAAAAAAAAAGTATGTCTGTATTTATATCAGTTGTCTAGTACTCATAGTACAAGTTTTGCTTAGTTTGGGACTAGATGGCGTTGTGTAAATGTGGTAGAATATTATTATTGGAACGAAGTACCTTATCGCGCGTTGTGAAAGGGGGCTAGACGGAAAAATTTCTCACGAAAAGTTGTAACGAACTTTTTATGTCAGACATTCAGCGCCATCTATCGAATAGATAGGAAATCATTATTTTTCGTCTCGGTATTTATTTTGAATTGTCACTTGTCAGTCATTCAGCGCCATCTATCGAATAGATAGGCAATCATTTCTTAAGGAGATTTTACCAATGTATAAATTGTTTTAATTAGAAACCAACTGAAAAATATGTAGGTTTCAAGGTAGGAAAAATTCATAGATGGCGTTGTAATTAAAATCGTGTCGAATGAGTTTTACTCGATCGTCACAACTTCGTTCCTATCGGGTGTCCCACGACACCACACGGCTTTTTTATATTATTAAAATCCCTTTTTTTTAACTCGCTAACCAAATTTTCTTTATTACAACATTTTCATTGATGTTCGGCTCCTATTGACCATAGCGTGATCTTATATAGCCTACAGCCTTCCTCGATAAATGGACTTTTCAACATCAAAAGAATTTTTCAATTCGTACCAGTAGTTCCTGAGATTGGCGCGTTCAACCAAATTTTTCAGCTATATAATTTCAAAAAATCGGACATCTGACACACAACGCCATCTAGTATCAAACTAAGCAAAGCTTGTATTATGAAAGTTAGATTGACTGATAGAATACTTGTGTACCCTAGGAAGTAAATCCCTGATACCCCGACGTACCTAAACTCACTAACAACGTCAACGTCACTAAAAACCTAGCAGCAATCGCGGTTGATTTGCTGTCATTTTTTTAAGAGTTCCGTTGTCTGTCTCCAAAACTCACCATCAGAATGTCATACCCTAGAAAGGAAATCCCTGGTAACCCGACGTACCTCGGCCATTGTACAAAACACCTAAACTTCGAAACAAGTATTTGCAGATCATACAAACATTTGATCTGTCCCGGGTATCGTACCCGAGACCTCAGCTCAGCAGTCGCATACGCCACCACTGCACCACCGGGGCAGTCAAAACATGTATTAGTATGGAAAAACTTACCCATAGCACTTTTGAGTTCATTTAAAACAAATTCGTTGTGTTTGTCCAAATCGGCCAGGACTTGCAGTTGTTTAACCATCTGTGAATAAAATTAACCTTTATTTATTAAGAATATTTTAATTGTTAGTTCAGATCACATCAACAGCCTTTAATAGTCCACTCTCCATAGAAAGGAGGTTTTTGTCCTACTATACCACGCTGGCCAGACGGGTTGCTACAGGGTTTGTTTCCAGTTTTCCTTTTTTCTTTGCAGTGCTGGTGTCCTGCGTAGTTTGCTCCCTTAGTCGTCTCTTACGAAACCCATGGGATGACTATTCATCTGGGGTGGGGTGGTGACACTCTGTATTAATTAACTGATTTTGAGTGCTCCCTTCCTTCGGAATTCCTATGGATTACGGAAAGGATTTGAGCTATATTTTCTGATCTCGTATCTTGGTGCTAAACTCCTTGAAAAAGGAGCGCCCTTTGTATCCTTGCCCCAGAATCCAGGCGGGGGAGGGGTACAGGGGATTTAACATCGGTTTTCAGTGGATTAATTCTATTTTTTCTATTTGTGTAGTAAATAAATTATTAAACAAATATCTGCACTCTGCTACGGTTTGCATTGACACATTGTGGTTGCAGAAAAAGGCGTTAGGGGTCTATGGACCCCCGGTCGTAATGAACGAATGAACTTTTCGGTGTTGCTTCCATCAACTCAGAGTTTGTAAAACGCGATAAGGAACTTCGTTCCAAAAAAGGAATAGAACAAAAAAAAGAAATACCAAACTAAAAAATTGAAAATAAATTTTAATAAAATTAAAAAAAAGCCTTGGGTGCCTGTTGTCAGTAGTAAAAAGCACCCCACGCTTTTTCCAAATTTATTTAAATTTATTTTCTATTTTTTAGTTTGGTTTTCTATAAAAAGGGTGTTTTTTAGTTTTTTTAAACTATTTTTTTTAAATATTTGTTTTATTTTTTTAAATTAGTGTATTGTCATCGGTCCTCGATATATCTACGAAGTTTAAACGAATTCTGACCGTTTAAAGTCAGTCAAAATCACGCCCAAAGGAGTCGGTTACAAACAAACATACAAACATACAAGTGAAGCTAATATAAAGCGTGTAATAAATAAAAACCATCTTTAAAATAGGTTGTATATTGTGTCAAAATTTGAACTCAATCGACGCAGAACTTTATGAGTTTTTGAACCGAAAACAAACCAACTTAACATTTTTTTTTTTACATAAAATGTATGATTTACACAATATTACTCACTTGTAAATAATTATTGGCTTCCCTTTCAAAATACTTAGTAGTGGGTCTTGAAGTAAAATACCCGGTCCAATAGGCTGTAGAGTCACTCGCATATGGGAAGAAATCGTCCTGTTTCGTGGGCAAATCCGGGCTAAAAACATAGCAAATATTAATAAAAAACGTTTTTTTTTTATGTGGCAGACGAGCAGACGGGTGACCTGAAAGTGACCATCGCCGCCCATGAACGTCTGCAACTCAGGAGTCACAAACGCGTTGCCGGCCTTTGAGAAAGGAGTACGCTCTTTTCTTGAAGGTTTGAAGGTCGTATGGGTCCGGAAATACCGCAGACGAAAACTCGTTCCACAGATTGGTTGTGCGACGCAAAAAGTGTCTGGAAAGCGCACAGTAGTGGAGCGCCAACTATCGAGGTAATGAGGATGAAAAATTCAGTCAGAACAATCCCTTATTTTATCTACTTAGGGGTGAAATCTCTTAAAATCCTCTCGTAGTGGGTGCTAGAAACATAAAAAGCAACAGCTGTCAAAATTTGAAATTTGTAGACCTTGGTTTAGGCTCTGCGTTGATGAATCATTCATTCATTGTAAGAAGTAATTTTAAATGTATAGCCCACGTTTATAGTCGGTTCGATTCCGACACAACTAAAACTCTGCTGAGATGACGGCCCAACCGGGTTTTCACATCCACAAAAAAATAATAAAATACTGTCTCATTAGGGTACCTATTCAATATACTCACTTGGAATCCTTAATTGCTTTTAAATAACAATTGGGTGTTGAATAAAATAATGTTATATTCAATTCATCTTTGGCCGCTATTAAGTTTGTATATCTGTAATAAAAAAAATAAGTCAGCCATCTTTGTTTATTGTTTTTTTTTTTAAGACGCATGCAAAAAGACAAGGTAACATGCAAAAACAAGCATTTAGCAATAAATATATAAATATTTTTATCAGCTGGTAAATATTAAGTTATTTATTATATATATTTTTATTTTTTTCCTTAATTAAGATGTACAGGTTGTTACAAAAGTGTGGTTATAATATAGTGGCAAATATTTTACCCGATTGTGACAGAAGGAGGGTTGTTTTTCGGGCATATGTATGTAGGTATGTTTTTTGGTACGCTCTGTAACCTAAGCGGCTTAGTGGGTTTGTAGGTGTCGTTATTTTTGTCTTATTTATGATAGTGACACTGAGTATATGCAAAAAATAAAAACTAAAATCGTTCCTTTGTCCATTATAAGTATGTTTTCACGGAATCGGGGGCTTGGTTTCTTGTCCAAATAATTTAGAAATAACTCTAATTTTGAATATCGTGGCAGTTTTTAATGAAATATTTATTGTTCTGTTGCATGTCCGGATATCCGAATCTTGATATATTTGTATATGTTTATTGTGTACATATGTGTATTTGTGATGGTGTTGAAATTACTATTTAAAAAAAACCTCGCAGTACAAGTGAAAACATGAGTTTAATCCTCAAGTCCATTAAATCACAAAAATGCTTGATGTTTGAGCTCCGGGTAACTTCACTTACTCGGTGCAAAGTAACAAAAAAAAACAGTGGCACTCAAGGCAGAAGTAAAAACTTGAATTTTTTTGATTATAACCGTTTTTTTTTGTTTGTTTTTTTCGATTAGAAAAACTTGCGACATGAATACATATCTATGTTGTACGTATATACACAATATATGTTTATATTATATATAGTTATATTATCAATGTATTTCAACCCAAACTCGACTCTGGCGTAAACGGGGTCAATATATGTAGATACTTATAAACAGAGGTGTCGGTAACGGTAACAGTGTCGCGAGTTCAATGGTTTTTTCCTATCTCAAAAAATACATTCTTTTGTTTCATCATCATCAACAGCCTATACTAGTCCACTGCTGGACATAGGCCTCTCCTTAGAAAGGAGGTTTTGGCCTACTATACCACGCTGGCCAGACGGGTTGGTATAGGGTTTGTTTCAAGTTTTCCTTCTCTTTGCAGTGCTGTTGTCCTGCTGTTTCTTTTGTTTGTTGTTCAAAAATGCCCAACGCGCCTATAGAAGTTTTCACTTCAACAATTGCTAAGCATGTTTCCTGTAAGGCCTTGATATACGGTCAAGCCGGCCCATTTGTGCTATACAATTAAAAGTTAAAATATTATTTAATAATCAAGGACCACACATTTTTGCAACACCATATATATGTCTGTATGGTAACAACCTCATTCTGTTAATTTACACTTTTTGGAGGTAAACGCATGACGCGACAGAAATAAAACATATATTTATCCAGCTGCTAAATAAACAAAATGGCCTCAAATATTTAAGTAACTTATATAAGTCAACCTTGAGATGAAACATAGATACATCTTTTTTTGGAAGGGGTGGGGGGGGGGGGGTGGAACAAGAAGACGAGTCTGATAGTAAGTATCTACCGTTGTCAAAGACTGGTATATTACTACCTCCCACCCTGAGAGTCGAGGGGGGCAAACAAGACGGGTCACCTGATGGTAAGTAACTAGCGCTGTCAATAGACACTTGTAACTCAAAAGCCTAGTGTATTACTACCTCCTCCCCCCCCCCTCAGAGTTGGGGGGGGGGGGGAGTTAGACCTCCGGTAACGTTTTTTATGGTATAGTAGGCAAACGCGGACATGTCGTGTCCATTGGCGGCGGTAAATGACTACCGCCGCCAATGGACACGACAACCCTTTCAGTCTTCCCCCCAGAATCAGGAGAAGGGGAGGGTTTCGACGCCGGAAACCTCACTCACTCGAGGAGCAACGAAAGAATTGCTTAACACCGGTTTTCTTTAAGGTTGTGATGTCACTCCGATCACGTCGACCCATTTGTACCATAAGCAGTTCGACTATTTTAACTATTTCTTATCTATGCTTAAAGACACCAACACCAAAATAAGATCACAACCATATCTTATATAAACTCTTTCTCCACCTATACTCACTTTATTAACTTATCTAGATTGATATACCACATGGTGGCGTCTTGGTACGTGAAGTCACCACCCATGGTTATTACAATGTTATCTGTGCGGAAACTTCTTGCTTGGTTCTGAACATAATCTATAAATAGTTGTATCTGAAAAGAGATGTTACTTATTACGACTATTTTCAAATGACTACTATTCACTTATTGTCTTATTGTGACTATTCCACACGTATTTCGTAAGTATATTTACTAAGTTTTGAAATGTCTATCAGAATATCAATTTTGTCGGTAGCAGTAATAATTATTTACTTAAGTTTTCTTTTAAATAAATGTTTTCTTCTCGCTTTTTATAATGTCTTATATATTAGATTTCGCCGCGATGATGTGACGCCTGACAACGTCGCAGAAGGAACTACTCCTTTATAAACGATAGCTCCAGTTGCCTATGTTAGTTGGACATAGTCATGCATGGATTCTCCTATATGTATACTATGATAAGTGTATTATGGTAAAAGCCCTATGTGAAACTATTTTTTATACTTTCATTCGTTACTTTAAGTTTCGTGAAAACTTTAAATAAAGAATATTTTAACGTTCGCTTGTTCAGTTACTAGTGACTGTGATTAGTGTTGGGAGTGACTACTGTTTACTTACAATGTCTATGTTAGAAAAGATTATTGCTTTTTGATCTTATTTTGACTATTCTCAGCTTCTGTTGAGACTAAACTTTCAACCAATATTTTTATTGTGTTATATATAACTACATTTATTATTAATAACATTTATTACTTTCTAGTGGTCACATTTGAGTAAAGATCAAGGAAAGTTAAGAACAAATACAAGGTTCGCCTGATGTTAAGCGGTTACCGCAGCCTTTACAAATCATGTGGTGTCATTTGTAATTTGCCAACACTGTTCGCAATTTCACGGTGTACTCTTCTTACCAGTATAGACAGAGATCAGTACGGTATATTAGACTAATCAGGCGACTCTGATTCGATCACAGATCTGTTGTACCCTTTTAATGAATACGATCAAAGATTAAAGTTTGTTTATAAAAAGCAAAATATTAAATTTATTTTCGCAAAACTAAAAAATAATATAAACATCTTAATTTAAAAAGCGCTGAATTTAATTTATTTTAACTTTACCCCTTACCCCTTCCATTTGGACCACACTTAATTAATGATGCCCCTAAGTCCCATCTCTAAGTTGACTTTTAAAAAGAAATAGTAGTTTTTAACCCCCAACGCAAAAACGACGGGGTTTGACGTGTCTGTGTGTGTGTCTGTCTCTGGCATCGTAGCTCCCGAATTTGATTTTATTTCTTTGTCGGGAGTGTTCTAAGCTATGTTTGATGACAATCGGTCCAAGATGGCCGCCGCCACAAAATGGCGGATTACATGTTTTTAAAGCTGTCAGGGGTTTTAATTCTACAAGCTTTTTTGGATATATTGATATTGTTCTTAAACAATATTTTAAATAGATTTAATAAGCACTTGGCATACATGAAAACAACACTAACTACCTTATTTTTAAATATCTAATATCCGTAGGTTGTCTATAAGAGATGGCCGTGAGCGATAAGACCACCGATTGTTACGTCTATATATTTGTCTGTTACCTCCTAAACCGCTGAACCGCTGTAGATGAAATTTGGTATGGAGATAGTTTGATTCTTGAGAAAGGATATAAGCTACATTTTACGGCGATAACAGTCATAAACGCAAGCAGAGCCGCGGCCAAGTATTAGTATTTTAAAACCGAAGAATCCTGGAAGAATATCCTAATATGTCCGGCAATTTGTGGATAACGAAATAAATAATTGAAAATTTGACAAAAAAAATTTTGAACTTTAAAATTTTAAATTCCCAAAGTGTATGTTTAACGGCCATACGCTTGAGATATTAGGTGAGAGGACCAAAATTATACTTAACAAAATTTTTGGTATTTTATATGTCTCTGCCCGCCTCTTCCGAGATGCAAGCTTGGGCATGTTTGTATTACACCTACGTACCTATTTCCATCTACACGAGGAATTGATCAAATTGGCAGTATGCTGAAGAAGGGCCTCGTCAAAAGAACCTGGTGAACGTGGAAGAGAAAACTGTATATCAGGATTACGGTAAATGACGTTCTATCGTCTCTGACGGGAAGTTAATAAGGCATAAGGTTATGTATACACTAGAAATTAACTTAACAATTAATCTACCAAAGAAAATGGTTCCAAAATATGACCATAGCTGTCTTTACAATAGTAATAACGGAACACATGACCCACACGATCGTGTGACCCCAAAAACTAGACAGAGCCTGTACTTGGTTGCAGTCATCGGGAGGGATCTCTCGCTACCGGCCGTCATACGCTCCATGACCGGTAGTGAAAGATGTTTTACCGCGGTCGCATCCTTCTGCGAGGACATCATCTCGCAGAAGGAGGCAGCGGAGAGGGCCCGGGAGGACAACTTCCACTCGGACCCAATCCGTCGCCTAAATAGAGAATGTACCCGAATGCAGGCGCTAGGAGGGGTCCAGATATCTTAATAACAGTAGTTCTCGGATCCCTCCTGTTACAGGCGCAGAGCCGTGTGCTTTTAGTCGGTTCGATTCCGACACACCACCCCACTGCAAGCCCGGGTGGGTGACGGCCCGAGAGGGTTTCCCACCGTAAAAAAAAATGGTAACCAGACTGCTGATAAACATACTTATATATTACTAAATACATACATATGGACAAAGACAGAAGCACAGCAAACACAGTTTATAATTAAAATATTCTATTGTTTTTGCAACCGACTCCACAAGACTTACTGAATAAGTTTATCAAGATTCTTAAACCACATGCCAGCGTCTTGATAATTGAAGTCATCCCCCATTGTGATCAGGATATTACTTGTTCTGTATGCCTTCGAATAATTGTCGCAGAGCTCGACAAATGTGGCAATCTTTAAAATACCAAAAATCTAGTATTATTTTGATAGTATTTTAATCGCACTTTAAGGCAACATCTAGTTCTTGACCTTATCACATCAACAGTCTTTAATAGTCCACTGCTGGACATACGCCTCTCTTTAGAAAGGAGGTTTTGGCCTACTATACAACGTTGGCCAGACGGGTTGGTATTGGGTTTGTGTCAAGTTTTCCTTCTCTCTTGATCTTGACTTCACCTTCTTGGACTATTGCGAATACACCCAAATCTCTTCCTGTATAGCAATATCCGTTCTTTGCTTATCTGTCCTTTCACATTGAACACCAACTCTTCACATTTAACAGCTATAAAGTGCCCGTTAGACGGAAATAAGTCAGAAATCTTATTACATTACTGGGACCAAAATTAGAGGATCAAATTTAATATGCCTCTGTCTACTGCATCTAGGATTTAGATGTATGCTCTTGAAAACAAAATAACCTAACACATCGCCCAATTTCGACATTTTTTATTCTATTTTTTATTATTAGGTTTTTAATTCGGTTGTTTCGGACATAACTCTGTCATTTGCAAAATTCTTTCTTGTTCGAAAGGAGTTTATTAAAAATTGGTCCCATTTAAATTTCATATAGATCTGATGATGAGTTCCGGAGACAGACATAGGCACTCTTCAAAAATAACAGCAAATCAACCGCGATTGCTGCTAGTCTTTTCGTGTTCTTTGTTAGTATTGTTAGAAGTCGGATTAACTTTTCTTAGGAAGGATTTATTTACCGAACGGTATGAAAATAGTTCTCTGCCGGCCAAGAACCAGGTCTCTGAGAACCAAGGTCATCGACATAGCCGGCGGGCTGGCTATATTAGCTGCAGAACCGACAACCGTTGGGGAAAATGAGTTCTTGAGTGGAGACCGCGTCTCGGCAAACGTAGTGTAGGTGGAGTGACGATTTGCGCAATATGGCTGGCAGGAGCTGGATGCGAGAAGCCCAAAATCGATCTAAATGGCGTGCAATGGGAGAGGACTATGTCCAGCAGTGGACTGCGATAGGCTGATGATGATGAAAGTAGTCGGCCATACAATACAATTAAAATAACCATAACAGTCCCTGGTTTAATATAAAGCTCTACACCTTTCTTTATCAATATCTATACAAATAAATAAAATTGAAGTGTCTGTTTGTAATGTCAAAATAATAGGTTTTTTTCATGCTCACACGGTTATTTGCACGATACCTTTTTTTGGTGATGGGGTGAAAAATCCCTCGCCTAAAAAACAGTTTAAATATATTTTTTGTCTGTCTGTCTATCTGTTTGTTCCGGGTAATCTTAAAAACGGTTGAACCGATTTTGATAATATTTTACTACTGGGTAGCTGTCTATATGAACCCTATATAACCTAAGTTACTAGGTTTTTTTTCTCTCAGAAAAACCCTATAAAAGTTTGCCCGGTCTGAGTATCAAACCCGAGGCCTCATTGACCAATTCTAGGTACTATTAAATAAAATTGAAGTGTCTGTTTGTAATGTCATAATTTATTTAATGCATCTGAACGCATCTTATAACAAAAACAAAACATTTTTTGGCAGTTATTTGATTCGGACAATCTCCTAAACGCCTAGACCGATTTCTATGGACTTTCACAACTAGAGAGAAAATGTTATAAGAAATGTCTTAAGCTACTTTGACTTTAGAAAAAAATAAAGCTCAGTTCCAGAAAAATAAATGTTTATGCGAAACAACAATAGAATCAACCTTAACTGTCTCAAATTGCCCTCTCAATATCTAGGCTATGATGTTTTCAACGCCATCCCAAGGCTGACTTTTATTAAAATTAATAAAAATACAAAAGTAAGCATCATGCACATGCAAAAAGCATAAAATATTTAAATCTGGAAGGTTGTGCTGTAACCGGATTAAAAAAAACTTAGTTTTTTTCCCCTGGTGTTGCTGCTATTTAAAAAAACAATACGTTACAGCATATAAAATATCATCATCATCAACAGCCTTTCAAAGTCCACTGCTGGACATGGGCCTCTCCTTAAAAAGGAGGTTTTGGCCTACTCTACCACGCTGGCCAGGCGGGTTTATAGGGTTTGTGTCAAGTTTTCCTTCTCTTTGCAGTGCTGTTGTCCTGCGTAGTTTGCTCCCTCAGTCGGCTCTTACGACACCCACGGGTTGAATAGGGGTGGTGACACTTCGTATTCTTAATCCGTCACCAAACCATTTAACTTAATTTCCAAAAAAAAAACTATTTATGAAGAAATAGCTTATTTTATAAAATGCTGTTCCTAAAATAGGAATACATTTCTAAACAATATATTACCAATTTTTTTACTTTTCACATTAACTTTATGCACACATTTAAAAAGCTGGATATTCTATGTATAACTGGTTTTTAATTCAAAATTAAAAACAACCCGATGAATCCATTTCAAAATAAAATTTCTCTCCAAAAACCATTTTTTCCTAAAAATTACGTCATTTCTGGGGTCGACAATACGACCCTAAAACATGACCCCACCTTCCTGTAACATTCTGTATATGTCGTCAACCTTAAAACAACTTACTGTATAAGTTTATCAAGATTTTTAAACCACATCGCAGCATCCTGATAATTAAAATCCTCTCCCATAGTAATCAGTATATTGTTCGTTCTGTATGCCTTGGAATAATTAGCGCAAAGACCCACAAATGTGGCGACCTTGAAAAGCAATAAATATATTTAATATAATGAGTATCGCCTGGCAGTTGCATTCCGACGCTTTTTGATTGTCTTGTTGACCTGGTGAAGGTCACGGGAAACAGTTGGATGAGGGCAGCACAGGAGGGTTTGTTGTGGCGAACCTTTCGGGAGGCCCTTATCAACTTAGACTGCCATTGTATCCACGAGTTATTGCTTAAACTCCCTGATCTATCCACCTATCCATTGCAATCCTCATCAAAATCAGTTTTCGTTTATATCTACCCTTTGGGAACTTTGGGACCACTTTGGGAATCCCTGGTCTAAGACAAGACAAACAGCTACGCATGAAAGTAATATATAAAAAAAAATATTCATTGAAATAAATGTCACGACAGATTCTGAACTAGGGTCACCCTAAATGCCTAAGCTACGAGCACTTAGGGTCAATTGGTCGTACCTTAGGTATATACCTAGACCCTAGTGCCTAAGTGGTTGAAGTTAATTAAATCATAAGCAGATCTCTCGACACACTTTCATTTAGGATACACACAATACAAGGTCGTAAGCATATCTGAAATCCATTTTTTACAGCATGTTACCAAAGGTGTGGAGATATATTAAAGCCATTGTGTAGTGGACATCACATCACATCAACAGCCTTTAATAGTCCACTGCTGGACATAGGCCTCTCCTTAGAAAGCAGGTTTTGGCCTACTATACGACGCTGGCCAGGCGGGTTGGTATAGGGTTTGTGTCAAGTTTTCCGTCTTTTTGCAGTGCTGGTGTCCTGCGTTGTTTTGCGCCCTTAGTCGGCTCTTACGACACCCACGGGATGAATTGGGGTAGTGACATTCCGTATTCTTAATCCGTCACTACACGGACAGCGGACAAAGACTAATTTAGTTAAAAAAATATATTCAGAGCCTGTTACCCCGGTTTCTTAATGAAATCTATTAATGCACATAATTTATTTAATGCCTACTACCTCCCTCGGTTGCAATATTAGCGTCATTTTTCGTATGTTGTCAGTAGGGTCGACCACGCGCCCCTAAAATGTGACCACACCTTTCTGTTACAGAAAGGTAAGGTGTATTGTTGCTACACTTAATGTTGTTTTTGACGTGACAACGTCTTATAATTCGATGGAGCCGGCTGCACGCACGAAAAAACATGACTCATGCGGCGTTACCTCGCTCTGAGGCGTTCCATTTAAGGCGTGAAGTGCAAGCGAGAGCGCGGAACGAGTGACAAAGAGGCACAATCGGCCTCCGCGTTCGGCAGCGTTCGACATCTGTCTCTCTCCTACTTGTGTGAGCGATGCGTCCGCGTGGACAGCTGCTACTCGTATACAATAATACATTTTTTGAAAAATGCAACCATTCCATCAGTATTTTCTTATGACGTTGTCACGTTCAACTATCGTCAGTAAACCGACTTTACAGACAACCGATTTTTGTAACAAGCATAGGTAACCGCTTTATAACAGGTCGTGCGCTTGTTTGATAAATAACTTATTAGACAATAAAAGGGTTTGTCTATTGATCATTTAAACTTTTAAAAAAAATTTTTACGCGGTAAATGAATTTAGGTTAGATTTAAAATATATTTTTTTCATCTGAATCATTAAATATTTAATATATTTTATTTTGAAGTACAGTTTGAATAATTATCCTACATTTTCAACTTTGTGTAATAATTTTTTTGCTTTAATTTTGACATTGACATTTTAATTAACTCGGGATGACGTCACGCCTTAGAGTTTATATACAAAAATGTATCTCGTCCGTCGTTGTCACTTTTTATAAAAATATACAGATTTTACTTGACACTGACAGTTATTCATACAATTGTTAACATCATAATTTTAAATAAAACCTTTTGAATTTTAATATCTTTATAACTTTATATTTTTTATCGTGTGGCAACCCTCACAGGTTATAACCTAACAGGCGCTGGTACTGAAGTGGTATATCAAAATCGAACTGATTAAAACTACACTGCGTTTCATCACTAATTGTAGGAGATTCGGGTATACCTCAGAAAGGAAGTCCAGCAGACCCTGGCTACCACAGACGTCAAAATAAACTACCTAATTTTATTGAATTTTGTAAAATTTACTTCTGGCAAGTCAATACCGATGACTCGGGTCTAGTACACACTCATACTAAAGACCCAGTTATATCCTAAGAGCACCAGGGACTTCCTTTCTAGGGTATACCTGGTTCCCCGGCTATTAGTACCCGAGACGGCGTGCTGTTTTAGTCGGTTCGAGTCCGATATGCCACCGATAGGTGGTATCCGAGGGGATTTCCGCACGGGAAAAAAAAAAAAAAAAAGTTTATCCTAAGAAGTAAGCCCCTAGAAACTTATGCAGACCTTGGTAATCAAGAACATCATCATCAACAGCCTTTAATAGTCCACTGCTGGACATAGGTCTTCCCTTAGAAAGGATGTTTTGGCTTGCTATACCACCTAGACGGGTTGGTATAGGGTTTGTTTTAAGTTTTCCCTCTCTTTGCAGTGCTGTTTTCCTGCGTAGTTTGCTCCCTTAGTCGGCTCTTACGACACCCACGACATGAATAGGGGTGATGACACTCCGTATTCTTAATCCGTAACCACACTAATAAAAAAAACAGCGTAGATTAAGATAATCATTAATTCCTAAAAGACGTTTTGGATTTTGACAATGTCTTCAAAAGAAGAATCTGTCTTCAAAAGAAGAATCTGTCTTCAGAAGAAAAGAAGATAAACTCACTTACCTTATTTTCCACATTGTTTAATGGCGAATTAGGGTCATCAACGATTGGTTCATCACTACACAATACGTCGAAGCAAAACCCTGGAGGTGGTGAGTATGTGTTGTAAAGAGCACCAGTAAATATGTCTGATGATTTACCTGGAAAGAAGACAAATATAAGATTAGATGATACCTGGTCGGACCTTCTGGTGACACGTAATATGAGTTACAGTTTCTTTTTGGGGGATTTTTTTTTAGGAAGCAAGGGGTCAGACTGTACGTTCCGCCTTTTGAGTTTTTTTTTTATTGAAGAGGGGACAGACGAGAAGACGTGACACCTGATGGAAAGTGACTATCGCCGCCCATGAACGCCTGCAAATCAGGAGTCACAAACGCGTTGCCAGCCTTTTAGGAAGGAGTACGCTCTTTTCTTGATACTTTGTCTGGGACTGAACTTGTACGAGGCCAAGTTGACAACGATTGAGGCACCAGGTCCTGAGCCTCCCTCCCCCCGAGAATGGGGAAGGAGGGGGTGGGTTTTCGGTTAGAGTAACTTCAAAAACAAGCAAAGAAATGCTAAATAGCGGTTTTCGGGGGTGGGGGGCTTAGTTTCACTCAGGTCCAGCCGGAGTTTGGCTTGTTAGGTGTCGTTAGATTTGTCACGTTTTACATTTTCACGAAATCGGGTTTTGGAACGAACGATGGGAGCGAGACCGAAAAATGTATAACAAGACTTTTTGCCGACACTTCTTGCTATACTTCGTAAATAGTAATCTTATTTGTATTTCTATACATCTAAACAGAGTGTCACCACCCCTATTCATCCCGTGGGTGTCGTAAGAGCCGACTACGCTGAACAACAGCACTGCAGAGAGAAGGAAAACTATACACAAACCCTATACCAACCCGTCTGGCCAGCGTGGTATAGTAGGCCAAAACCTCCTTTCTAAGGAGAGGCCTATATATACAAACTTGATATTTTGACAGTGCTTTGAATATTGTAAGCACCCACTAAGAAAGGATTTTTAGGAATTTTATCTTTAAGGGAGTGAAATAAGGGATGAACAGAAATTCGTCGTTTTCAAAATTAAAAACACGAAATAAGAAGTGAAGTAATTACGCGAGCGAAAACGCGAGTGATGGCCAGACAGCTTTTAATAAAAAAAAGCATAAAATAGCGTAATCCTTCCTAAAAGGCCGGCAGCGCGTTTGTGACTCCTGAGTTGCAGACGTTCATTGGCGGCGATGGTCACTTTCCATCGGGTGACCCGTCTGCTCGTCTGCCCACTCAAACAACCATACCAAAATGTGAAAATGTCACAAAACCATACCAAGATCATCATCTCCGCGCCACAGCATCTCCATAGATTTATCCCTGAGTCTGGTGCCCTTGTCCTGGTAGTCAATCCGTCCAAGAAACAGTCCATCGTACCCCATCATAGACAAGAGAGAAGCGAACTCCCGAGAGTGGCCAAAAGGATCAATTTGCCAACCAACTCGGGGCTGACCACACACGCCGAAGGTTCTGTTCAATTTGCTGCAAAAAATAAATCGTTTTACAGCCCTTAAGAAATAAAAACAACATTACAACATCTCACACACGGCCATCTGATCCTAAACTAGACAGAGCCTGTACTATGGTAACCAGACTGCTGATAAACATACTTATATATTTCTAAATACATACATATTGTAGATAAATTACACACAGACACAGAACGATCGTACACATCACACAATTATTTGATCTGGGTGTCGAACCCACGACCTCTGGCATAGCAATCAGGGTCGTTAACTACTAAACCAACAGGCCTATTGTTATGGTTTCAAAAGCCAGATATAATCATATCTACAATACTCACTCCAGATCCCTTTAAGATAAATAATCCAACTTCTACAAACCTCAAACCCCAAGTGAACTGATCAATGGTACTTTGATAGTGTGATGCTGCCTCATCATTCATACTCCAAGCTCCTCCCACGAACTGAAGCCTGCCTTGTCTGACCAATGTGTGCACTTTCTGCTGGATATCTTCAGGTTGACGGACCCACCATTTCCAGAAAAAGGCAGTTTCCACGTAGATAAATCTGGGAAAAAATATTTACTTCATAATAAGATTTAGTAAATTTGGAGACAAATCAACATCAACAGACAATTACAGTTGCAGTAATGTTGTTAACGCTTTAAGCGTGTTTATGAACCAAATTTGTTTTTTAAGCAAATTCCGCTCGCTTTGAAAATGTAAAATTTGGAAACTTTAAGCTTTTATGCAGAAAATTTTTGTTTTTCTTTGTTGACGGGATGAAAATCCCTTCGGATCTCCTGCTAATCGGGGACTCAGGAGCCAGGAGTATTGGGACTAATCCCACCCACACGCCCACCACTGTAACTCCTGTACACCAGGATCCACAGCCGTGACCCACGAACACATCGAGTTATGACACTCGGGAAGTCCCAGGAAGAATTAAACTGTCTTGGAACCCGCAACGAAATTAATCAAAAGAAAATTGGAGGAGTTGGAAATACCAGGAGTATGTGGTCATTTCACTAAAAACCACCCCGACGGCCGGCCTCAGGTGTCCTACTCTAGGAGGACCCGGACCATGTTATTTCAGGTCCACCCCGAATTGACACCATGCCAAGACCGGCCCTACCCCAGGGGAGAACACTTCCCCCCTCAATCGTGGCAATGCGGCCCGATCGCATCTTAATGCAATCAGGCTGCCATTCTATCACCAGAAAATTGGTGTAGTAACAGCACGCTTCCTTGTCTTTGCAGTGTTGTTGTCCTGCAGAGTTTGCCACCTTAGCCGGCTCTTACGACACACACGGGATGAATATGGGTGGTGACACTCCGTATTCTTAATCCGTCACCACACGGAGCTGGAATGAATAAAAGCAATAAAAATAATATATTCATACCTCCTCTTAGGATCCTCCCACAATTCTTTGACGACGGAGTCCAATATATACTGGACGCCAGCCTTCTGGATGTTGTTACGACCTGGAAATTTATTTACAGATATAAAGTGGTTGGCAGCAGATGGATGCGAACTGCCAAAGACTGGGATGGCTGGCGCTCCTTTGGGGGGCCTTCGTCCAGCACTGGACGAAGGCCGATGATGATGATGATGTAAGTCTTGGAAATAATAGCAAATAATAACGTAACAAAAGCGAGATAGATAGTTTCTTTTAACTCCAACGCAAACAGAGGAGTGTTATGAGTATTTTTTTTTAAACACAACTCCCGCATTACGAATGTATCCTGTGTCGCGAGGGACTTTACAAACATACATGAAACGGACACAAAGAACACCCAAAAACAGAACAACCATTTGTAGATCACACAAAGTGTCGTCCCAAGTGGGGATCGGACCCTCAACACTCACCGTAGTAGGCTTAAACCACTACGCCATCCGTGCAGTCAATGATGTGTCTATATGTCTGTCTAACTAAACGAATGAACCGATTATGATGTGATTTTTATCACTTCATGCTGATGTGAAACAAACCCTATACCAACCCATCTGGTCAGCGTGGTATAGTAGGCCAAAACCTCCTTTGTGAGGAGAGGCCTATGTCCAGCAGTGGACTAGTAAAGGCTGTTGATGTGATGGGATGCTGATGTGAAATTTGTGAAGATCATCAACTTTTATCTTAGTTGATGAAGGGATCTTACTAACTCACACAACTCTGATTGATTTGAAATTTGGTGTACTGTTACTTCAGTGGTATTTCTGTGATATGGTAACCTTGATCTGATGCTGCTGCCAAGCCTTGGGTTGATGCTGATGTCGGGGGTGTTCCAAATTCAAAAATGTATGTTTGGTGATGGGTCACCTGATGGTAAGCGAGTACCGCCACCCATTTAAACATGCAAATCAAGAATTACAAATGCGTTGCCGTACTGATCCCCCCTCCAAGAATTAGGGTGCGGGGAAAGGTCTAAAAGTATAGCCGCAAAATGTGGGTGTTTATATACTTCTTCTGATCACCCCTTCGGAGATACGGGCTATGAAGGTATCTATGAAAATAATTTTAGTCAAATATCCCCGAGGATCCTGAAATAATCATCATCCTCATCATCAACAGCCTTTAATAGTCCACTGCTGGACATAAGCCTCTCCAAGCCAAAGGAGATTTTGACTATACCACGCTGGCAAGACGGTTTGGTATAGGATTTGTGTCAAGTATTCCTTCTCTTTGCAGTGCTGTTGTCCTGCATAGTTTGCTCCCTCAGTCAGCTCTTACGACACCAACGGTATGAATAGGGGTGGTGACACTTATAATCCGTCACCACAGGGACAGTTGCACTGTTCTTTCAATCCTGAAATACTTACTTCCATAGTAGTACTGATCGACAGTCTTCAACCAGCCAACGTCATCGTGAGTGTGAGGTACAATATGTACGTTCAGAGCGCCTGGCTTTACCTTCGGACAACTCTGTAACAACAAGAGAAATTACATAAATATATTCCCGTGGGAGAGTCATGTTTCGGAACAATGTTGAAGACTGCACTGATGGCGTAGTGGTTTAAGCGGTCACCTCGCCGCTTCCTACTACGGTGAGTGTTGTGGGTCCGAAAACCACATTAGACGACACTTTGTGTGATCCACAAATTATTGTTCTGAGTTTGGGTGTTCCTTGTGTCCGTTTCATGTTTTTTTTTTTTTTTTTATTGGGACTAATCCCACCCACACGCCCACCACTGTAACTCCTGTACACCAGGATCCACAGCAGTGACCCACGAACACACCGAGTTATGACACTCGGGAAGTCCCAGGAAGAAATTAAACTGTCTTGGAACCCGCAACGAAATTAATCAGAAGAAAATTGGAGGAGTTGGAAATACAGTAAATTCATGTATGTTTGTAAGGTCCCCCGGGACACAGGATATATTGCTAGTGCGGGAGTTGTCTTTTAATAAAAAAAATGGCGTGCAGGGTCTAAGGACCCCCAGTCCGAGCAAAGTTCCTGTCGCTTTTTGTTAGAAGTTTGCTATGTACACGAAAAATATGTAAGCGCGCCAACTGTAGTGTCGCAAAAAAGTCTTGTTACACATTTTTCGGTCTCGCTCCCATCCGCTCACAGCGTATAACGCGCGATAAGGAACTTCATTCCAAAAAAAAACAAAACAAAATTGTCTAGACTGGATGCTACGGATGCTAAGGCCTCACAAAAAACCGGTGTTTAGCAATTCTTTCGTAAGCCCAGTGAGGGTACATGGTGCGTGGTTACTAATCCTGGTTGCTAAACAAAGAAACAATGTAAAGATTTGTTTAGGCAACTGCACACACAAACACAATAAATTTTACAAGAAAGAATAAAAATAGCAAAAATAAACATTCAAAACAGGCTAGTTGACTCAATCTGAAAACTTGGTTAATTATATACTTTAATATCTATTTTATCCCAAAAAAACCTATATTTTAAAGAAAAGCAATTTTTACATTACGTATTTTGTATTTTAAAAAAACAATTTAAATTTCCCTTGAAAACACTGAATAATGTCATGGCGTCTTGAATGACGTCACAGTCTGCGAAATAAAACTGTTTACATCTGTGTCCAGTGTCAACTGAAACTGTATTAAGGTGAGAAAATATGCTAAAAACGAAACACAATAAGGAGTAACCTGCTCTGTTGTATGAAAACGTCAACAACAGCAATGATGTTTTGCGTGGCGTGACGTAACACTTTCTGATTGGTGTTCGCTGTCACGTGACTTAATGCCTATTTTGTTCCAATTTATTTAAAAAAAATATTAATAATCTTTAACTTTAATGAGAAATAGACTGGTTTCTCTTATCTATGTCTCTTCATTTATAATTTGAAACTATAAACCAAGCAATTTGTTATTAGTGGACACAAGCCTATTGGGGGCATCACATGCGACTGAAACAGCGCCTGGGACTTGGAGTCGGTTAAGTAGGTTAGGAAGGAAAGGTAAGATGGTAGTTATATTATTTTTACTTATGTTCCGTTTCTTTGATAATTTATATTGCAAAATAACTTTTGCCGGGTCAGTTAGTTTATCTATGATATGTATGTATTTACTAATATATAAGTATGTTTATCAGCAGTCTGGTTACCATAGTACAGGCTCTGTCTAGTTTGGGATCACACAGCCGTTTGTGAGATGTGTCTATTTTTTATTCTCTATTATTTAATATCAGCTGACCCGGCAAACGTTGTTCTGCCACATAAATTATTGAAAAATCAAATTGAGATTAAAACATGAGAAGGGGGGACAGGAGAGTAAAAAAAAAGCCGTGTGGTGTCGTGGGACACCCGATAGGAACGAAGTTGTGACGATCGAGTAAAACTGATTTGACACGATTTTAATTACAACGCCATCTATGAAAGCGGCTATTACCTACATATTAAAAAACAATTAAAACAATTTATACATTGGTAAAATCTCCTTGCGAAATGATTTCCTATCTATTCGATAGATGGCGCTGAATGTCTGACAAGATGACACGAAAATAAAGAGCAAAAAGCCAACATCACGTGGTATTCCCAGGCGGTCACCCATTAAAGTACTAACCACGCCCGATGTTGCTTAACTTCGGTGATCGGACGAGAAACGGTGTATTCAACATGGTATGGACGTTGGCGAACGTTAAAGCAAATTTAATGTATGGTATCCACAGTTAGACGTCAATTTATATTAAAAGTGTCGTTCCAAATTTTCGTACGAATTTTTTCCTTCTAGCCCTCTTTCACAACGCGCGATAAGGAACTTCGTTCCAAAAAAATACGATCTATTCTATACATCATCATGATCATCCACAACCTTTACTAGTCCACAGCTGGACATCGGATAAGGAATCAGATTGTATTGTTCAAAATATCTTTGTAAATTACCCATTATTTTTTGTTATATGTAACAGATAAAATGGTTACTGTGGGTTACCCCTAGGAGACAGACATATACCATCCCGGACTTCTTTTGTACTTCTTTCTTAGATGTACAATTCTGTAGTACATTTTTTGACGTGACAACGTCTTATAATTCGATGGAGCCGGCTGCACGCACGAAAAAACATGACTCATGCGGCGTTACCTCGCTCTGAGGCGTTCCATTTAAGGCGTGAAGTGCAAGCGAGAGCGCGGAACGAGTCACTCAAAGAGGCACAATCGGCCTCCGCGTTCGGCAGCGTTCGACATCTGTCTCTCTCCTACTTGAGTGAGCGATGCGTCCGCGAGGACAGGACAACTACTACTCGTATATAATAATACATTTTTGAAAAATGCTACCATTCCATCAGTATTTTCTTATGACGTTGGCACGTTCAAGTATCGTCAGTAAACCGACTTTACAGACAACCGATTTTTTTTTAAGAAACTCCCGCATTAGGTATATATCCTGTGTCTCGGGGGACTTTACAAACATACATGAAACGGACACAAAGAACACCCAGACTCAGAACGACAATTTGTCGTCCCATGTGGGGATCGGATTCACAACACTAAGCGTAGTAGTAAGCGGCGTGACGACCGCCTAAACCACTACGCCATCGGTGCGGCAATTTTAGTCTATATCGTAAGGTTTAGCGAGCATTTTCAATGTAAGCGCACAAAACCATTCCTTTTACGACTTCACAGTACAAATCTTTGAAATTATCGGATTTCCGTGAACATCATATGCATGTATTATACATATAAACCCGTCTCTTGAATCACTCTCTCTCTATTAGTGAAATCTGTTGCGTTGTTTAAAAGATCTAAGCGTACAAGAAAAAAACGACTTTATTTTATACTATGTAAAGATTAGAAAACAACAACAATAATTTAGCAAAATCGGGGAAATAGGCCCGAGTGTATGTTTGTATGCTAGTTATTAAGGATACCTTATCACAGCGTAGGTTCAAAGTGTATCTGACGATATACATTTTAAGCAAACAAGCGTCTGTTTACATTGCTGTTAGTACTAAATTGGACATGAACTGGGCTATAACTTCTTGGTTTCCTTGAACATAATAAACAAGGTAAATACTAGAGTGCCACAGTGGTGTAGTGGTAGCGTATGCGGCTGCAGTGCTGAGGTCTCGGGTTCTCGGGTCGGACAAAATGTTTTTATTATCTGCAAATATTTGTATCGGGGTTTGGGTGTTTTTACTCGTATTTTTCAGCTATTGCATAGCTTCAATCGCGGACCTTGAGCGTGGAGACCGAATCCAGAAATTCCGTAACGAAAATAACCTAACACCCGCCACTCCGACCGGCACAGCGGTGATACATTTTATTTTTGCCATCTACCGATGAATAGCAGAACTTTTAATGACTTTTTTGAAATATCACGCGTCTCTTTAGTTCAGCATCTCGCCTCTAGGTGGCATTGGTATTTTCCTGATATTTAGAAGATATCAAGTCTCAAACCTATGTTTCTTATTTCAGTTACCATAAACCTATAGTTTCAATGATAAATATTCCTGAATAACCTACATGTATTGTAAGATAATAAAAATATTTTGAACAATATTAACTTCTCATTTATTTATTAAAAGAAAAAAAAATTGTTTTCTTATCGGTCACCACGCTCAAAAAGTGTAACTTGAATTAATATCAAAGAAAACAAAAACAAAAGAGAAAAAATACTGCATAAATAAAATAAATAAATAATTATAATTGCATAAGTTGATAAAAAATGCTATGCAATAGCATTTTTTATCAACTTATGCAATATGCAATAGCAATAGCAATGCAATAGCAATAGCAATAGCAATAGCAATAGCAAAAAAAATACGTGTGGCACTCGGGGAAAATGTATCCCTTTTGAGAGACGAAGACAAAGGAAAGCTAGTCATAGGATAAAGGGAGAAACATACCTCATATCCACATGTTTCTCCTGGTCTTGGGGAAATATTGTCCTGGATGGGGACGGCATACGCTCCAATCACTCCAAGAGCAAGCAGCAAAAGGAACTGCATCGCTACCTGTAAAAGAAACCACATAATCAATGTATCATAGACAGAATCCTGACTACCCCCACCTTGTTTCACTTCCACCAACATTTAATCATTATCTTTTTCTTCCTTGTTTCAAAATTCAAATTCAAAATGACTGACTGCACGGATGGCATAGTGGTTTAAGCGGTCGCCACGCCGCTTCCTGCTACGGCGAGTGTTGTGGGTTCAAACCCCACATGGGACGACACTTTGTGTGATCCACAAATTGTTGTTCTGAGTCTGGGTGTTCTTTGTGTCCGTTTCATGTATGTTTGTAAAGTCCCCCGCGACACAGGATTTATTCCTAATGCGGGATATGTCTTTAAAAAAATAAAAATAAAAATAAAACTTTATTTCATAAAAAAAATTAATTGTTTGAAACTTCTTTTATGTAGACTCTAAAGTCATAGATCAACACACACAATATCAACAATCTCTGTTTTGTCAAATAGTAAGGAAAAAAAAATGTGCGTCTCGGGACGCTCGACAGAAGTGATAACTTAAACTAATCAAAGTTGAACTATTTAATATTGAAATTGTTTGACTTGAGAAAAGCTTAGGTTATTACTTAAATTTTATGTAAAGCGTCTGTCCAAAATACGGATAGCACTGTGGGTTAGAGTGAGAGAGGAGGAGCCTGCCTACCGCTGACGTATGCGTGAGAGAAAGGGAAGCCAGACGCGTTACGTAACGAAGCGATTTACCCTCCCATAAGAAGTTTTGTCGTCAGAGCCGACTAAGGGAGCAAACTACGCAGGACAACATCATTGCAAAGAGAAGGAAAACTTGAAAGAAACCCTGTACGAACCCGTCTGGCCATCGTGGTATAATAGGCCAAAACCTTCTTCCTAAGGAGAGGCCTACGTGCAGCAGTGGACTATCAAAGGCTGTTGATGATGATGATAAAGAAGTTTTTACTTCAAAAAAATTAATAAAAATTATGCTTATACAAAATCTATGATATGCCTGTGCCGATCCATAACCGCCCGTTTCTAAGGGATTGAGCCTTATGAGAAGAAAGCGCAAACAAACTCATGGCCTTATCAATTTTATACGTGGTCAGCTTAATATTTAGATTGCAAAAAGTTTTGACTAGTTTCTATTATGATGGGCTGACTGTCTGACACCAACCCCAGATTCTCTGGAGGCATTTTCATCATTCTTTAATAGTCCTTAGAAAGGAGATTTTGGCCTACTACTAGACGAGTTGGTTTAGAGTTTGTGGAAATTTCCATTCTCTTTGCAGTGCTACTGTCCTGCGTAGTTTGCTCCCTTAGTCGACTCTTATGACGCCCACGGAATGAATAGGAGTGGTGACACTCCGTATTCTTATTCCCTCACCACACGGTCATGAAAGGCGGCAACGCACTTTTTCTTGAAATCTTCTCGGATACCACCCATCGGTCGAATGATTATATCGGACTCGAACCGACCAAAAACCACACGCCGTCTCGGGTACCAATTGCCGGGGAACCAGGTGTACCCTAGGAAGGAAATCTCTTCTACCCCGACGGGGCCATCTACGGCGTGTAGATGACCCCCCCCCCCACCCCCCCCACCCCGTGGGAACTTTTTAAAACTGGCTTTTGAGTCCCACGTGTATGTCGATTATCACGGTAAAAATTTGCCTATTTTACACGCTGATAAGGTGGATTTCAGTTGATGAAATGTTACTCGCTGATAATGTAGCTTTGTATTGGTGTAAGAAATTTTAAAATAGCTTTTGTGGATTAGGCATGAAAGCGTAACAAACAAACAAACTCACTTTCACATCATCGTCTGCCTACCCTTATCCCAATTTTATTTGGGGTCGGCGCACTAAGTATGATTCTTTTAATTTTAATTATTCTATATTCCTAGCAATATTCTCGCTCACACAGTCCATTCTCCTTTTCTTTGGTCTTCCTCTTCTCTTGTCACCTTCAACTCTCATACCTAACACTTTTCTCCGCTATATTTTCCTCTTCCCTCTCTGTCTCTATACAAATAAATAAAATTAAAGTGTCTGTAATGTCAAAATAATACTTTTTTTTCATGCTTACACAGTTATTTGCCAGATACCTATGCCTAAAATCCAGTTTAAATATTTTCGGAACGAAGTTCCTTATCGCGCGTTGTGAAAGGAGGCTAAACGGAAAAAAAACTCACGAAAAGTTGTAACGACACTTTTTATGTCAGTCATTCAGCGGCATCTATCGAATAGATAGAAAATCATTACTTTTCATCTCAGTATTTATTTTGAATTGTCACTTGTCAGTCATTCAGCGCCATCTATCGAATAGATAGGAAATCATTTCTCAAAGAGATTTTACCAATGTATAAATTGTTTTAATTAGAAACCAAATGAAAAATATGTAGGTAATAGCCGCTTTCATAGATGGCGTTGTAATTAAAATCGTGTCGAATCAGTTTTACTCGATCGTCACAACTTCGTTCCTATCGGGTGTCCCACGACACCACACGGCTTTTTTGTCTGTCCGTCTGTCTGTTCTGGGTAATCTTCTCTAGTAATCTGATAATATTTTACTACCAGGTATCTATATAAGAAGTAACTTAGGCTATTATTTATCTCAGAAAAACCCTATGAAAATTCCGGTCCGGGAATCGAACATCGAAAATCTTAGATAATAATAATAATAATATTCTACCACATACACACAACGTCATCTAGTCCCAAACTAAGTAGAGCTTGTACTATGGGTACTAGACAACTGATATAAATACATATATACTTTTTTTTTGTAAATACATACATATTATACATAGAAACACCCAGACTAAATCAAACATCAAATGTTCATGCACACAAATGTTTGACTTGAGCGGGAATCGAACCACTACGCCATTCGGTCGTCAATATATGATGTATTTGTCATATATGCTTTAGTGAGAGACCTAGTTAGGTCAGAGTCAGCCAATTGTAACATTATACAGTTAAACAAATTAACGAGAAAGTTGACACTGTTTAATTAACGCCAACATTATTGGAATAGAATAACAGTTTATAGATTTCAATATGACTGCACGGATGGCGTAGTGGTTTAAGCGGTCACCATGCCGCTTCCTATTACGCCGAGTGTTGTGGGTTCAAACCTCACATGGAACAACACTTTGTGTGATCTACAAATTGTTGTTCTGAGTCTGGGTGATCTTTGTGTCCGGTTCATGCATGTTTGTAAAGTCCCCCGCGACACAGGATTTATTCCTGGTGCGGGAGTTGTCTTTTTTAGCAAAAAAAAAAATATCATATAGGTACAGACATATAGGTACAAATATACATAACAGTTATATTGCCGAAAGAAAAACCCCTATGCGTCAGCTTGCCCTTGGACTTTACTTGATTACCAAGCGCTGGTTTTCAGCTTAAACCTTTGACTCCCGTTTACAATATATATATATATATATATATATGGCTTGCTAAGCTTTTGTCCATGTGGTGACGGATTAAGAATACGGAGTGTCACCACCCCTGTTCATCCCGTGGGTGTCGTAAGAGACGAATAAGGGAGCAAACTGCGCAGGACAACAGCACTGCAAAGAGAAGGAAAACTTGACACAAACCCTATACCAACAGCGTGGTATAGTAGCCCAAAACCTCCTTTCTAAGGAGAGGCCTATGTCCAGCAGTGGACTAGTAAAGGCTGTTGATGATGATGATGATGAAGCTTTTGCCCGCGACTTCTTCCGCGTTGGTAATCGGTGTCAGACATCGTAGAGGATACAATGAAAGGAGATAATAACTAAAGAGTAGTTACTGTGTTTGAAAACGCTTGAATTTTGCACTCTTAGGGGTGGAATTTTGAACATAGGTACTTTCTTAGTGCACCTACGTCACCTAAGGAATATTTGTGCAAAATTTCATGCTTGTAGACCCAACGGTTGCAGCTATGCGTTGATTGAACAGTGAATTTTTTTTTTTCTTTTTTTTTCTTTAAAAAGACAACTCCCGCATTAGGAATAAATCCTGTGTCGCGGGGGACTTTACAAACATACATGAAACGGACACAAAGAACACCCAGACTCAGAACAACAATTTGTGGATCACACAAAGTGTCGTCCCATGTGGGGTTTGAACCCACAACACTCGGCGTAGTAGGAAGCGGCGTGGCGACCGCTTAAACCACTACGCCATCCGTGCAGTCATTGATTGAATTAATCAGGTTTTACACGCTTTATATTAGCTTCACTTGTATGTTTGTTTGTATGTTTGTAACCGACTCCTTTGGGCGTGATTTTGACTGACTTTAAACGGTCAGAATTCGTTCAAACTTTGTAGATATATCGAGGACCGATGACAATACACTAATTTAAAAAAAATATGTTTTAAATAACTATAAAATGAAAATAAATTTTAATAAATTTGAAAAAAGCGTGGGGTGCTTTTTACTATTGATTTTCTATAAAAAGCGTGTTTTTTAGTTTTTTAAAACATTATTTTTTTTATATTGTTAATATATTTTTTGGTTTATAAGTATGGATTGATAAAATATTTAGAGAATTAAATGAACTTATCTATAAAAAGACTTACCACTTTTAAATTGCCTTGTGTCTCTCTTTACTCACTCTATTCAGACAATCTATTCAAGGAATGAAATATTGATATGGTTACTAAGGGAGCAAACTACGAGTATACAAGACAACAGCACTGCAAAGAGAAGGAAAACTTGAAACAAACCCTATACCAACCCGTCTGGCCAGCGTGGTATAGTACCCCAAAACCTCGTTTCTAATGTCTGTCTGTCAAAGGCTGTTGATTACAAGGAATCAATTTAGAACAAAGTGTTTGGATAGCTGCTCCCATAAATAGGTAGTTACTGAATTACTCGACTGGATTTACACTCGAATTCACAACTTTTCACAGTAAGAGTACTGCGTTGCGGAACTTTCGCGCCATTTTTGGACATGTTCTGTTTATGATGGGATTATTTATACAGATTATCATAGATCTGATATGATAAAAAAAAAACATTGATACAGATTGC